AAGAGGTGTTACTTGCTTTTCCACTATGTGTTATTGCATTTTCACTATTAAATAATATATAAAACCCTTTAAATAAATAAAGGTTTTGTAGTTTTTAATATAAGGCCCTTCATCAGAATGCCAACATATAATTAATTTTTAATGGCCTAATCTGTACATGCAGTTATGTAGTGTACATGTTTGCCCAGGTTAGCAGCCATATTGAAAACATAAACCAGTCAGCCTAATTTTCATCACAAAAGTTGAGTTTTAGTGGTGAGCCCAAACTCCCACAACAATGGTATTTGCAGAGAAGCTACTTTACAGTCTCTGCATTATACAGTTCAATATCTTTTTTGTGGGAGAATGGGCTGATGGTTAGGTTTTCAACGAAAGGAAATGAGCACCATGCTAAAACTTGATAACAAAGTGAACAAAAAATGACAATGTTTTCCAGATTTGCATTGGTAAACTTCATACATAGCTTGATTTTTTAATGTTGTACTCCAAATGCTCGTATGCCATATGTTCCATATAATAAAAAATTCTATGTATTGATAAGTTTTTATATTATTTTGATGGTAAACATAGTGTGTACCCACATTCAGACAGTCTTGTGATAGGGGTTCTTACTGCCAATTTTTCAAAGAAACTGAAAACTAATGCCACTTTTTGAAATTGCACACCTCAAGAAAAAAGGTTTATCTCCAACTTGCAATCGGTTTTGAAAGTAAATGGAAGAATGAGATTTTTGGAAAAAGTCTAAGTTGACCAATAGTCTGTTAAATGGACCTGTTCTTTCAGAAATAAAATCAGTTTCAAAACTGTTAATGCAAGAAATTCAATATAATGGACAATAGTCTTTATTTTTATGTCACCACCAAAAGTGGTGACATATTGTTATGGTCTCCGTTTTTTTGCGACGGCGGTTGGCGTCCGGCGTCTGTAACAATTTCTTACAACTTCCTATAACTTAACAAATACTGGCTAGATTGACTTCAATTTTTTTCTAAATCATCTACATGTTCTCAGAAGTTCAAATCTGACTTAAGATTTGACATTTGACCTTCAATGACCTTCTCAAGGTCAAAAAGGTCTTTTTTCAACTTGCTTCACATTGACTAAACTTTTTTTCAAAATCATCTACATGTTCTCAGAAATTCAAATCTGACTTTAGATTTGACTTTAGATTTGACATTTGACCTTCAAATCTGACTTTAGATTTGACATTTGACCTTCAATGACCTTCTCAAGGTAAAAAAAAGGTCAAAAAGGTCTGTTTTCAACTTGCTTCAAATTGACTAAAAAAAATTTTCAAAATCATCCACGTGTTCTCAGAAATTCAAATCTGACTTTAGATTTGACATTTGACCTTCAATGACCTTCTCAAAGTCAAAAAAGGTCAAAAAGGTCTGTTTTCAACTTGCTTCAAATTGACTAAAAAAAAATTTCAAAATCATCTACGTGTTCTCAGAAATTCAAATCTGACTTTAGATTTGACTTAAGATTTGACATTTGACCTTCAATGACCTTCTCAAAGTCAAAAAAGGTCAAAAAGGTCTTTTTTCAACTTGCTTCAAATTGACTAAATTTTTTTTCAAAATCATCTACATGTTCTCAGAAATTCAAATCTGACTTTAGATTTGACATTTGACATTCAATGACCTTCTCAATGTAAAAAAAGGTCAAAAAGGTATTTTTTCATCTTGCTTCAAATTGACTAAAATTTTTTTTCAAAATCATCTACATGTTCTCAGAAATTCAAATATGACTTTAGATTTGACATTTGACCTTTAATGACCTTCTCAAGGTCAAAAAAGGTCAAAAAGGTCTGTTTTCAACTTGCTTCAAATTGACCAAATTTTTTTTTCAAAATCATCTACATCTTTTCAGAAGATCAAATTTGACTTTACAAGTTCTCAGAAGTTCAAATCTGACTTTAGATTTGACCTTTGATCTTCAATGACCTTCTCAAGGTCAAAAAAGGTCTTTTTTCAACTTGCTTCAAATTGACTAATTTTTTTTCAAAATCATCTATATGTTCTCAGAAGTTCAAATCTGACTTTAGATTTGACATTTGACCTTCAATGACCTTTTCAAGGTCAAAAAGGTATTTTTTCAACTTGCTTCAAATTCACTTAATTTTTTTTTCAAAATCATCTACATGTTCTCAGAAGTTCAAATCTGACTTTACATTTCATATTTGACCTTCAATGACCTTCTCAATGTCAAAAAAAGTCAAAGAGGTATTTTTTCAACTTGCTTTAAATTGACCAAATTGTTTTAGGTGGTGACATTTTGTCATGTTAATGCCTTGTTTCATTTACTATTGTCCTGATATGTGATGTTCAATTTAGCATATATGCACTGAAGTGTACAAGTAAATGTGTATTTGTAATTTAAAAGGATAAAGTCATGTTCTGTGACAAGTGTTTTCGCTATGTTGATTCAAAAGATTAAGTCACAGGTTGTGGTCAAAGGAGCATGTTATTTAATTCAATTAAAAAAAACTAAGAAAACTTCACAAATAAGTATTTACTCGTATGTTTCGTTATACCAAAAAATCATGCAAGAAAGAGAGAGAGTGCACAGGTATGAGTAGAAACCCTTGCAATAACCAATCATCAAGTATGTGAATAAAGTGTTAATTAATTCTCGAGGTCAATCAATTAACAACTCCAAGCAGTTGGAGAAAGGCAAACAAACATGTTGGACGAAACGTTAAAATATGAAACAAAAAATTCACATTATTGATTGTTGCGCACAATTTATCAAGTGGTGAGTGGAGTTTTCAGCATCGTCTCCTTTAATAAGAATCCGGAGTTTTTCGTGAAAAACCGGGACTATCCAGTGGCAGATCCAGGAACCAAAAAGGGGGGGGGGCCCAAATTTCCGGTCACAGAAAAAAATGTTGGACCCCTAAAACAGAAAATGTGGGCCCAAATTTTGGAATTTTGAGGCCCTTTTTCTTCAAAATTTGGCCTGAAATCAAAAAATAAGGCCTTACGAGGCCTAGTAATGACCAAAAGGCCTACTTTTTGGGGCCATAAGGCCTTTTTCGGCCCAACATTTTTTTGGGGCCCAATTTTTTTTGCTGGGCCCAACTTAGGGGGGGGCATGCCCCCCCCGGATCCGCGACTGCTATCTTAGTATTTTATTTTCCCTGTGTCTTAACAATAACTTTACACTTTGTGACGTAAATTCACACTTAAATCTAACGTTTATTTCTTTTATCTGACCTTGGTACTTTGTAACACTTATTCTAGAAATGGTGCAGACAGGAGTGGTTTGTTTTCCCTGGCCTCAACTGCGGTAGAGAACATTGAATTGGAACAGGAAGTAGATTTATTCCAGATTGCCAAGTCTTTGAAGTCTACAAGGCCTCAATTGCTTTCAACAAAGGTAACAATAAAGTGCAGTTATATAGCTGTTTTCTACTTTACACTGTTATACCATGACGGTTACGTCAGGGCGATTTTCAAAAATTTGCGGCAACGATAACGATGGTGTCGTAAATAATAAGGTTTCAAACGCAATGTCGTTAGACGACTTCGTATGAATTGTATGATTTTTCATATTAGGTGGTTTCCAATGATCAATTGGAAATTGTATGATTATATGTAGGTTACATCTGCAAGTATATATTCCAAGGTTGTACTGTGTTATGCAATGTAGACCATGCCCTATATCAACAACTTCTGAAAAATGGATTGGTATTGAAATGCGTTAAAGTTAAAAAACCACATATCCCATATTATTTTCTCATCGGGAAAACTCGTACTATATTATTGTTTTCAGCATAATTTTGGTTGTCGAAAAGTGACATCTTCAAAACTAGACTTTTAATACCCTTCTACTTTTGAAGAAGTTTTATACCCCTTTTTGAATAATCTTTTCATGCAACAAAAATCAGAAAAAGGAGATCCTCTTTTGAGTACTAAATAGGTTCATCATTAGGAAAAAAAATTTACATGGGGTCCCTATTCATAATTTTTCGAATTGTTTGGTTGATATTTTAATCATCATGGGTACTTTACTTAAAGAAAACATATTATTTTTATTAAAAAAAACACTGTACGAGGGGTGATCTTACAGTCTTGGACGCCCTGCTCTAATTTTGTTGTTTTTTAATAAAATTACTTTAAACTTTCCAATAATGAAGACCAACGACATAACTACATTTGTATTAATTTCATGGTGAAATGATATTTTTAATACAGTTTTCTAGAAAGTTTTTATTTTTAATACAGGGACCGTGGAAGCCGGAACGGTAGAATGACACGTGGCATGTGACAAAGTCATCCAGTCGTGACCTAAATATAAAGATGGTGAGACCTGGCATTCTGAGCTCATAGACATGTTTTTCGGCCATGCTTTATGGCCTTTTATAGTTGTATGGCCTTTTCCCCATTTTTCAAATAGAAGATTGTTAATCATCAAATATTTCACTTTACAGTGCAAAACACATTATTTTTAACACCATGGTGAAGATTGAACAATGGTTATATACTATTTCAATCGTAAAATGTATTATCTAAAGTGTCAACAATGGCATTTGCAAACATAGAGATGGAGTGGTCACGAAGTGCATACTTCTTTAAGACTGTACATTCATCTATTGAAGGGGTTCCTGATATGTAGTAAAAATGATGCATTCGGTATTTATAGTCAAAATAAGTAAACGTGAATCTTGTCACGCCTTATCATTTGTCATCGATAAAATACCACAACATTACAAAGCATTGCACATTATCGCAGTATCAGTCCCGGGGATCAATGTACTATTCGCCTCCTCTTGAGTTTAAATTTCTAGCTTCAGTGACTTTATTAAACTTGTTAATATCAATGTTATATAATAAAAAATAGGATTGGACATATTTTAACTGTACATTCCCCGAGTTTATTTACATGGCGTTTTAACTTGGCACGGCTTCGTACAATTGATCCAAAACCCCGTGTTGATTTTGGACTTGATTTTGAGATGAAACAGCGGGGTAAATTATTTTATACATGAATAATAACTTCTATGTGGCGTGGCGATACTTTGGATACCGATCGCAAATACTATCAAACTTAATTAGCATTGTATGATATTGGATAGATTACATGATTAGTTGGTAAGTGATTCTTTAGTTCATTAGTTCAGTTTGTTTTAAGTCAATCAGTAGAAACAGTTGGGAAGGAAGGTTTGCATCCTCCATTTGAGACGATAAAAACCTGTGTTATATATTTTTTAGTGCAGGCGGTTAGGAGAGTTGGATTTAGAATCACTAATTTCTGATAGTCGCCTAACAACATTGCTTTCAACAATGTTTTACTGAAATCGAAATCATATATTTCGTAGTTCAAGACTTACATGTACACTACATTTTACTTGTATTTTCCCAAAATATAAGCTTTAATCCTGCACATTGCAGCGGTTGCATAATTTTCTTTGAATACTGCTGTAAATATTGACCTGTTTAAAGCTAATCCAGTATTGCGTTTGAGGACTTGCAGAATGTTTAGAAGATTTGCGGCTGAACAAATACCGATCAACTGGTACTCTAATAGTGTAACTAACTTAAAAGTAAAACGTTAAAACCTGAAAACAGATTATAGTTCATGGGATTTTCCTTTGATTGTTTTTCCTTATTTTTTCATTTTAACATTAATTTACGAATATTTGATCCGTGATCTGAGCGTTAAAGTCCATTTCACTGTTTTATTGACTAATACATGTACGTTATCAAAAGACATTGTACAATAAAATATGGGAAAAATATTCATATTTCACAAATGACATTTGTATATTTAAGATTATTTAGTTATGTCCGTGGCCTCTTGTAACTTAAGGAGTTCATCTTTTAGAACGGAGAAGCATCATGTCAAAATTTAAAAGGCAACACGTTGTATTAGCCAAAACACACACAATCCAAAATATACAAATGTCATTCATGGAATGTGAATATATTTTTCCATATATTATTACACAATGGTCTTTTGATTCCTTATTTTTTTTTAGATTTTACCGAGTCAATAAAACAGTGAAATGGACTTTAGGATGGATTAATTTAATATTGTCCTGATTGGTTCAAAAGGACTGACCGGGTGATTTGATACTAAGCCTGTTTAATGTTTATAAGCTACAATATACATAATAATGTGCAATGTATGTGATGCGCCAAAACCTCCACCATATCGCTATTAAGTCAATCAGATTAATCAAGAAGCCCCTTGGCGCTTTTCACCGGCCTCCAAAGTTGAACATTCGAAACCAGGAGCAAACTTCGAGACCCCGTGTTGACACGCCAAGTTGTGCTATAAAATGAATTGAGTCCTTGACAAAACATGTGTGTTATGTTCATGTTTACGAGAGTCAACTATTAAGTCGTATTGCATGCAATTGAGGAGTTAATTGGATTCTCTACACGGGACATGGACTTTTGATTATACCAAATTATTATTTAGTGTGCATGAAACCTTGACGCCTGTCTTATCTGACTCAAAACAGGTTCAAGTTCATAATGGTACACCACGTACACCGTTGTGTTTATTTTCAGGTTAGCTGCGTTTGTGAACTCTACGGACTTGTGACCCGAGTGGGTTGAATAAGGTATTGTGTGGGACGTTAGATTGCGACGCTGTGGTTGTGACGTTGGGTTGTGCCAGTTGCCTCAGAATGTGGATCCGTGACAGAGGCTATGAAACTGCATTGATAGTTTCTGTCTTGATAACTTACATAATATCAAGTGTGCTTTGTTTCATAGGACATCCACTTGCCCCTCGCTCGAAAGGTGAAACTACGTATAATTTTAAATTCACATGCTTAAAAATATACAATGATAATAAAGTCAATTGGACTTGGGATATTGAGAATGCATCACATTATCAACATACTTTTTCAATGACGTTGACCTAATTTTCACCAAAAAATCTTTTACCACGCGGTCCTAACTTCGACCGTTAATTTGAATTTTTGACCTTACAGATGCTCGAAAATCAAGGATTGCGAGTCTCATACTGCACAGTTTTTCTTCAAACTTATACCACTAAAAGCAAAACAAAATTGTCTTTCTGTCGGTGCATTACTTTATTGTTAAGAGTCCCTCGTTCTAGCAGCGTTTTGGTCCCCAGCTGTTATAAGGCTCTCTTACAGCTGGGGATACAGAAATATATCTGTCTTCATGATCAGAAAATATTCATTATCCAGGATATTTATAATTTTCTGTGATAACCTACTATACATGTGTATGTGCGTTTTTTGGAAATTGCAGTTGTCATAACGGTAAAACTATGGTCCCCTTGTTCAAATTGTTAATCAATTGTTCTACAAACATTTCCCGCCCGTTCACTAAAATGCCCATCGCTTGTTGGTCTAGAGTACATGCATTTTGTATAATTGCTTCATGTTATGTTTCATTAATTTCAGATATATTTCCAAATCAACAAGTACAATGGCAGCAAAAGACTTTCTTCACGCAAGTTGAACCCCCAGCATGGGTACATGTGACCCTTTGGCTAGTTGTATTTATATGGCAGCTCGTATGGTTGCTGTATGGTATCCTCACAATCTTTCGCAAAGGATTGAAAGAAAATATATTCTGCTCACCAGGAGTTGTACCGTTTAGGACATATGTATTGTTCCTCTTTGCGCAAATCATGCAGTTGGCGTGGATTCTGTTTTTGGACGTTGAGATCCTAACAATGTCGTTACTATCATTGTCTTTACTAGCGCTCACTCTGTGGTTTTGCTTAGGTCTGGCTTGCATCCGAATCGCAAATGTCGGCACTCTATTTAACACTCCCGAAAGGAACATTTCGATGGATCTGTGGCTGACATTAATTATAGTACACAATGGGCTCGGTATATTTGCAGCGTGGTCATCAGTTGCAACGTTGTTCTGTTTTGGAGATACGCTTCATCTTGCATGGGGAGTCGCAGAAGATACATCTGGTACTGTGGCACTAGTTTTACTGATTATAGAATGTACCAGTTGGGTTATCGTTGATCTTGTGTTCTTGGACAGATACACGAGGTACCTACTGACGCCATACATAGTGATTCCATTTGCACTGATAGGGAGCTTAATATCAAATGTATCAAGCATTGCAAATCTTGTAGAGGCTAATTCTATTTTAACTATGGTACTGCTTTGTTTTTCTGGTATTTTCCTACTGGTGAAAATCTTGGTGCTGTGTGTGAGGCACTTAATTAACTATAAAAACATATACGGTGTGCATTCTTCTAAACTAGCTTATGTGGCTAACTCTGAATTGACTGCTGGTACAATCAATCCTAAGACACACAGCTTCGAAGATCTGACCTCAGGAAAAAACGTAGAATATGTCACAAGCTACGCAGATGTTGAGGACGACAACAATGCAGAACCTTCAGCTCTAAGTTCGATCATGAAAACCAGAGAAAGTCTCGATAACGCATCATCAAATACACCATTGGGCTCAATGAGGGAAGGCGTAATCATGAACACGTCAACGGGGGAAGTTGAGGCAAACGACATGGAGTATATATACGTCCCTAACATAGTTGCAACAGACGTATCTTCTGAGACAAAGGTGCAGGATAACTCACTTCAAAGACCTCTCGATATGCAACAAGAAATGGGACGTCTAACTGCATCATTTGACGATCCAATGTTAGATATTTCAGGCAAAAACAATGAAGGATTTGAAGACATTGCTGAAACAATCAGCAATGTTGAAACACTGAGTTATCACACAGCCGACGAAGGAGCCCCGAATGACGGATACGACACGGTCAGCAATCAAACTGAATTCGAGGAATCTTTTGAATATATACCAGTTGATGTTTCATTGACCGAAGAAGAAATCAAATCTGAACTTGAAACTGAAATTGATTCTAAAATCAAGGACGCTGACTCGATTTCTTTACATTCACAAGATTCAACGTTGACACTCACTAACGTTGCTAACGATGAAACTGGTTATGATGACCACCGAGATACCGTAACTAGGCAGAACACGTTAGCAGACAATGTGAACGAGGAAGGTGCTAAATATGAAAACATGGATGAAACTATTCAGCGAAGAAACACTGAAGATAACAAAACTGTCTCTGATGACGAAATAAACGTGTAGCCATGTATATGAAAACAAAGTGTCACATTTCAACATGATCGTCCTATCCAAACTTAAGGCCCAGATTAGCCTAAAATGTTGCTTGGTACACAGTATTATCATTTAACTTTACTGCTGCTTTTAAGTTAAGAAGACATTTGGATTTAACAAGAAACATGATTTTTGTTTGTTTTAGGCCTATAACTAATCCCAGGTCTGAGTTGAAATAACTTTGATACATTGGTCGTGTTCCGAAAGAAACAACGCATTTAACCTTTTTTATCTTTTACATGCACTTAGATATTAGGAAGACATAAGATTTATTGATATAACAAGCAACATGATTTTTGAATTTTTTTATTACTGCAATCCCGGTGTAAAAGGGTAGGAGGTCCTATCAAATTATGGTCCTACTTTCAATTGATTTATATGGTGACCTAAATACAACTCTTTCCCTTATTATCGTATCCACAATCAGGGCCTTTGAGGAAGGGGACCATAATCCCCAGGGGACCATAATTTCTTTTACACCGGGTCTCTGGTTGAAATAGTGATGATAGTATGGTCGTGTTCCGAAATAATGTATACATCTGATCTAACCCTCTATATATCGGAACAATATCAGTTTAACTCGCCCGATTATATTCGTATGCTTGTCCACTGCAATTATTAACCACCTCCACTTATACTTAAACACATATACGTAATATATGTAACGTATGATAAAAATAAATCAATGATGAAAATGGTCTGCTTTGGGGTTTTGGTTTACGTTGTCGGGAGGTTCGAATTCCAAAAAATACACGTTTCCTTTATTTTCATTCGTAATGATGTAATAACAAGGTCTCGAAAATATATTTTTAAAATGTAGAACTTCATACAACTTTTAAGCAAACATTTTATTTTGTAATTTCATCCATACTCGGGTTTTACGTAACTAATAAGTATATATTATTATTGCAAAAAGAAGATGAAATATGTCGATTATCCTTTTGGTCGATTGGGTATATAACATTCCTTAAAATCCATTCGTTCCATATAGAGCCATGATCTTGTTAGTCTATGTTGACATTCAGATTGTAACTTAAACTTAATTTTGTGTTCTAGAGTTTTCCAGATATTTTAAAATTGTGTGAATTCGGATTCGGCTCAACCTTTTCAATTGAAATAACAGTATTGCCATAGATGTCATCGTAGAAAATCTAAACAGATATTCGAAAATCACAAGTCTCCATTTTTGGTATTGGTAATTTGAAGTCCACTATCGACTATATATAACTTTATTTCGAACAAACAACGCAGGTCAATTCTGCGCCATTTACATAGTCGGGGCAGGGCAGGGATCCGCACACCCCTTGTACAGAATAGAACAATGCACCTTCCTTGTCTTCATGTCCGCCTTGGCTTGTCTCGGGCGCCTCATCCATACATTCAAATACAACGTTGTTAGGGTGGGCGTGGTGCTCAGATACCAAGTAACCTCTGTACTCGAATGTCCACCCCTCTGGGCAGGTCCGTTTGGCAGGGATCATCACCACTCCACGGGGGATCTGACATACTGTGCACGGCACGTCCTGGTTGTAGAGCGAATTTACATTTTGCGGATTAGGGAGTACAAATGGATTACTATGGTCTGGCCTGAGTTGATACTCCGCCCCGTACATATACCCACCAACACGACCGACGCCACTGATAACTGTTCCGTACTCGGGTTTTTTTGGCAGGCAGACGTAATTTGCACCACCCCCAGTGTTGGAAACGTGGGACCCACCTGCTATACCTAAATTGACCATTTTATTCATTATATAGTACGAATAAATTAGTGATTATCAGGTATGGTGTTTAAACTGCTTCTTTATTCGGTACATTAAATATTCCAGGAATACCAAATAAAACAACAATTTACCAAACCTTTACCAAATCTATCGAATGTTTTTTATTTTATCGAATGTAATAATCTATACAATTTATATTCGCTAAATAGTTTCACTTGTTCTTTGTGTTGGCATTCACATTTGATATTTATACACAGTGTACATGTATTTGTGTGATGCAGCGAATCTGTTTGTTTTCCTTAACGCACGTATAATTCAATTAGTTATTTGTACATTCGGTATTTAAATTATTTATATTCGGTAAATACCGAATGCCACATTCGATAAATTTCATTATTTTTCGATACTTTACGAGACTTTCAGTCACGTGATATATTTGAACGATGTAGAATAGCTGCGCGGCCATTTTGCAAATCTCGAGGTCACGTGACAAAATATCGAACAACAACGAAAGTTATCGAATATTGCTTTATTGCATTCGGTAAATAGCAAATTAGCTTTCGGTTAAATGCATTAACTATGTCATAGAAAAATAATCCATTCGGTAAATATAGGCAAACTTATTTTGGTAGGGTTCAAATAGAAATTCGATAGTGTGCATATAATGTGTTACTCTTAAGAAATACCTTAACAATTTACGCAAAAAACATATCATTTAGCGAATGAAATATGTAATTTAATGCACATGGTATTAAGTTATTGGCTATTTTGAAAACTTAATTTGCTGTAACAAACATATAAACGTTTTTACCGAATGGAAAATGATTTAGCGAATATTAATATTTCATATATCGAATATATTTGAATTTAATGAATACTGAAGCAAAAATAATGCCATAATCAGGAGCTGATGAATAAATGAATATGCACACATAGCCAAGCAAGGTGTGTCCAATTTCAGCCGATCAAACTACGCTATTTCACGTAACTGCATACAGTTATATAACCAAAAACGAATTTGTTGTATGGTTGCCAAGGTGAGGAGATTGAATTTGATGCTTTGCCACCTTGACCCTTGCAAAAATTTCATTGGAAATATGTTCTTTTGGTGATTTTAAAGCTTTGAGGTGATTTAAAAATTAAAGCCCAAGCACTGTTCCACAACTATTAGTAGTTACTTTGACTGAACGTCAATGTAACAAAATGGGTGAACTTCCTGGTTACGAGTTTCTGTTTTCTCGATTTAAACCTACTAATAAGTCAAGTTGCAGATTATAATTTGGCACAAAGCTAGAAAATATGGTCTAGTTTAATAGGTTTCTTCGATTTGGAATTTGTTAGATTTGATTTAAGAATTTAAGCCCAAGCACTGTTCCACAACTATAAGTAGTTACTTTGACGGAACGTCAATGTAACAAAATGGATGAACTTCCTGGTTACGAGTTTTTTGTTTTCTCGATTTAAACCTACTAATAAGTCAAGTTACAAAATGTAATTTGGCACAAAGCTAGAAAATATAGTCTAGTTTAATAGGTTTCTTCGTTTTGGAATTTGTTATGTAAATGAAGTTGCTATTCATATACAGGGTGGTCAAATAAAGCGGCAACCCTGCCGCTATTTTTCTCATATCTTTGTCATTTGAGAAAAGTTCTACCTGATATGTACATCATTCAATCTCCTACCAGCCATATTTTATGACCATCAGGTTGATAGTTACAATGTTGCAGCACTTCAAATAACATACTCCAGAGGCCAATTTTGCGCTTTGGTCAAACGTTCACTCGTCGTCCAAAATGTTCTTACTTGACTTCTACCTGTGGGATATGCCAAAGATGAAGTGTACAAAAATAACTTCAGGACAATTACAGACTTCAAAAAGGAGGTCATTCAGGCCATATCTACTGAGGATTGCAGTTTGGTCATAGACAACTTGTGCAGGTTTGCCTAAGCGTGATGATGGCCATACCTGGGGCATGTTGTTTAAAGTGCTGTAACAGTGTGACTATCAGCAGTGTGTAAAATATCAGGGAGTAATTCTCTAAAATGACAAAGATATGAGGAAAATACAGGGTTGCTGACCACCCTGTATTTAGCCCCTCGCTTTTGTTACATTGACGAAAGTTCGTTATATTACCAATGTATATTACTTTGGCGACTTACGTCAATGTAACAACAGCGATGGTCTAAATGCATGAATTACAGCTTTATTTAAAAATCAAATTCCATACGAAAACAAAAAACTCGTATCCAAGAAGTTCATCCATTTTGTTACATTGACGTTCCGTCAAAGTAATTAGTTGGGGAACAGTGCCAAGACTCAATGCATTGTGGCTGCTTCATTCTACTCAGGCGTTGTTTCCTAAACTTTGCATTCCCACTCCGCGGTTATGTGAAAATTTGGAAACAACACCTTCAATGGAATGATTCAGCACGCAATTCACTGAGTCTAGGGCTTAAGTATGCTACAGTTCCTTTATATTGAATCTTCAAACATATAAGTGAAAATTGTGATGATGTAATTAAATTGATTGATATATTTAACATGTTTGATCTATCTTCATGGTATTTATATCCAACCGTCTTAAGCAATATCTAAAAATCAGTTAAACCTTCGTATAACACCTTAGCAGTCCTAGGGCAAACGGTCCTCCCCCATCTCACGTAGGTCGCCCAAACAGATTTTACTGAAACGCATTAAAAGCTTGATCATCCTGGAATTCAATTTTCAGTCAATGTAATATCTAGATATCAATCATTTAAGAGTTCCATATGAATAGAAGGTTGGATGAAATAACTCTCAGAAATTCTCACCATTCTCGGATTGAGATTATTTCTTCTATCTTGATTGGGCCTAATGCAAATTATGTAATGAAACAACAATAAATGCTATGAGAACTGTCTCTGTACAATACAATTTAATAACTAAATTTGCATCATTGACTTTTTCGTGCCGATTCTCGACATGCAAACGGGAAAATTATAACACAATTTATATTTGTTGACTGCGAAGGATGCGACATGCACAATATTCGCCTATATGTATTGCAATAGAAGGATTCTTGTTGGTTTACCATGGTACTGTGAGTGGTGAAACTATCACGACCAACAATAATGGCACAATTCATATAGGTGGACTGCGAAAGATCGGGCATGCGCAATATTCGCCTAAATGATTTGCAATAAAATGAAAGATTTTTTGTTGATGATGGTTCTGTGCGTGTTCAAACTGGTTACGAAAACGGATACGTTTCTGTAACAATATGGCGCAGGTACGGTTTTACTTTGCCATGATTTCACAAGTTGTTGGTAGAACATTCACGACCTTTTCGGCACAAATGTGTTTCAGCATCATTCAGAAATCTAAGATTTTGTGAACGAATATTTCTCAAGACGCCGGAATCATGGTTATAATTCCTCACTATCTTTACGCAAACAAAATGGTTAAATCGCGCTGATGTTAAACCTGCACATCGCTCCAAAACGCAAAATGTTGACATATATTGTTTTTACATTTTTAAGCTCTAATATAAAGTTTATGTAAATAAAAATTGTTTTTTTCTGCGTTATATCAAAGAACAATCATTTAGTTAAAAAAAATAAAAAGGCGACTGCGGGATTCGAACCCGGGCCTCCCGCGTGCAAAGCGGGAATTTTACCGCTAGACCACCGTATTATTAAGTATGGTGGAAGTAATTAAACGCTACTTATTTTGAATGCTATGATTCGGAAGTGACGTCACGTTCTTCATTTAGAAACCTTTCCAATATCATATCGTCGGCGCCGATCGAAGCAATTCAATGAATAAGCTTTGAAATGACACATTTATCGTAAGTATTTCTACACAAGATTTGCCCCATTTGTTCATCATTCTATAATCTTTCATTAAGCTCAAAATGATAAAGTTCACCCCCGAAACAACCCAAGATTGCGTTTTGGAGCGATGTGCAGGTTTAACCGTTTTTAAACATTCGTTTGCGTAACAAAAGTGAGAAATTATATTAATGATTATCATATTGGCGTTTTATGCTGAAGACGTTTAAAGCACGTGGTGCTGACACACGTATGTGCCAAATACGTCGTGAAGATTCTGCCTACATCTTGCGAAATCATGGTAAAAGACAAATCGACCGTTCCTTCAAGGCTGCTCCATTTTGTACAAAAACGAACCCGTTTTTGAAGAGTTCCACTTCAGTGCATGGATTTCCCCGATTCAAATCTGCTTTAAAATCTTAAAGAACCTGAGCTGCTTTTTAAAATCCTGGGCCATAGTAGTGGCATATTTATAACAGCAAGATTAAAGAGATCGAGTCGTACAGATTTCTATTCCGGACAATCAGTAATGTCCCAGTACAATTGCTCATAAAACATCATATATACCTTAGATATATCTTGAGACCAAACCATAAGCACGATATCGACAATATATTGAGGATATCAACAGGACAACCAAAAGAACAACCAACTGTCAGAATTGAACGCAATAAGTCGAAAACAGAATACAATGTTTTTGGGGGGATTTATCTATATTGTAACCCCTTAGAAGTAATAAATATGGCTTCTCTAAGCCAAAATAATCTGAAGGAAAAAGCTAATCAGACTGGAACAAATTTGAGCGGGCTTTTTAAACTTAATTTGAATTTCTATTGCTGTAAGTGGAAATTCATGGCTTGGAACAATCATCGAATTGATACTGTAAACGAATTAATTCAAGCCTCAGAACTGATAAGTTGATAAACAAACTTGTTTTACATCAAATAACACGAAAAGATCAGGGGGTTACTCTTATTGTGTTTTTAGGAGGCCCGATCTCTTTAACAGCTCTTACTGCTTACCTGTCGGTTCTTCCACTTTGCATTTGATATCAGCGTTGCATTCCTCGTTGATAGTATCTAGGTTGTTGACAATGTACTATTTGAAAACAGAAACAACACATTAATGTAATGGGCCAGACAATGTGAAGACTTACCAAATGAAATTATATGTGCGATGCATCTTGCTTCATGAATTCGAAGATTCGGAGCTGTAGTGATTGATTGAGGGAACCGATGATGTCATTATGTTCACTTACAAATTGCTTTTGCCTGATAAAATTCGCTAATTAAAGCGAAAAATATGTAATTAAGTTCAATATTTCAAATCAATTTTGATAAACGAATTTTATGACTTGAAAAGACGAAAAACAGTGAAGTTTTCTTGTTAGGATAACTATTTAGTTATGTTCCCTCAATGCAAGAATGTAGTATATGGAAAACTCATCTGCTAATATTGAAATTAATAGGAATATCTAGATTATTCTTACCTTGGCATTTTTAACACGCTCTTTGCAGGATTTTCCAGAACTCACGATCGTAAACATCAAGCTTATAATGCATACTACCAGAATCTCTTGAGATGATATCATTTTCTCTTGTTTGGTATCTTCGATGCTACTACTGGTACAAGTAAATTGTCTTCCGTAAAGACTAAGACTACTCTAAGATAAATAAACCATAACCCGACCAATTTCAGAACATTACTAAAACATGTTTAGATTATGTCTTATTGATATTTTGTTTAACTGTTGAATAATGATTTGTATAAAGTTCTTATTAATATCGTACCTATTGTTTGATACAGTTTATGGCTGCAATTTATCCGTTTTGTTCCACTTGTCTTCTACATATGTTCTATAATGTTGTTTGTAATGAGTTTTGAGTTTACACGACAAGAAACTTAACAATGGCGAATGCAACATACGTTAATAATGTTAGGAAATATATTTCTGAGAACCAGTGGTTAATGATTGATGCAAACTATATTCTCTTTCCTTGAAATTTAGTGATAGAAATTCTCGCACCGTAAGACATGTTTGGAGATCAAATCATCAAAAATCATTAGATATGTCATTTCCCAAAATATGGTGTAACCGAAGAGCGAAAATTCAAACATAATCAGGCTTAAGTATCTCATTTCCATGAGATTTTCTTGCTGCTAAACGTAGATAGTCATAAGTCTTCAATATATCATTAACATATTCGTATATCGCAGTACTCCCATTCGATCGCTTTCTTAGTTGTGTAACACCAGGGCCTTTTCTTACTGCCATTCGGATTACGACAGAAATTGTGATTTCCAATACCATTTTTAATATTTGTCAAACTGTTCTTGCTGACCTCCCTGTGTTTATGTGGATATTGAGATGTCCATTTCTGGCATGTGACTCCGGATGATGTATAGTCCAAATCACCCGTATACTCTTGGCCACTTTTGGATTTACTTTTAAAACAAGGTCCTGAAAATATATCAGTAATCATTTTATAAGTATTCCATGCATTGACATATAACAAACGTGAACGATCTTTGTTACTAGAGAGATTTCGCAACTAGAAATTAGCATGCTGATTATTCCCGTTTAAATATAAACGTTTGGTTACGTCATCAATTGCGCAGCTCTATATGTGATATTCTTACGTATAGACGACGATTTATAAGAATATTACAGTTAAGGACTGCACAACATTCTCTTCTATTATCATCTATTGATAATGGAAGAGAAGACAAACTACAGGGTGTCAAATAAGTCCCCCCCCCCTGCTACAGCTAAAACCTTAACAGAAGGTACCTAGTGTGATATACCATTGGAAAGATCATCCAAAGTTATGTTAACTCACCAACTCACAAGTATTTTGGATGAAATTTACCTATATTATTATGATGTCTTTTAAAATTAACGTGTCCTTGATATCTCGCCAGTTCTTCTATCACTCTCCCCCATATTCTGCGCAAGGACTCCCATTACAACCCTCCATCGCTGCATCAACATGTTTATTACATGAAACGCAGCAATTCTGAGAAGTCTTACGCAACTGTTCGAAATTGACCAAAACGCCCCGTTGTCTTCCAAAATGCCCCACAGAGTCTATGACTGCAAACGTGTAGTTTCAAGGTGTTTTGATCCAACGGGGCGTTTTGGAAGAGAACGGGGCGTTTTGATCAGATGCGTAGGACTTTTTGAAATTGCTGCGTTTAATGTAATAAATATGTTGATGCAGAGATGGAGGGTTGTAATGGGAGTCCTTGTGCAAAATATAGGGGAGAATAATAAAAGAACTGGCGATATATCGAGGCTTTTGGTTGAAATCTCTGAAGATTTAAATATTTTGCTGATCATGACCACGAACTTCAAATCATCAATTGCAACAAGTGTACCCCAACGGTATGCTTACTTTTGAAAAGTTCTCGCTCACAAATGAACGGATATGAGAATTGAGGTAGCTGTGCCACTGATCCAGCCCATGTTCCAATCCAATCAAACCTCGCATTGCTCGTATCTTTTTTCAATACCATTGTGGTATATTTATCCGAATACCCCGCTCCCCAACGCTCATAAGTCATAGGCTTGTTTGATTCGTCATCTCCGCCATACCAAACGAATTTCCCATTTTCTCGCTTTCCGCCAGTTCTCCATATTTCAAATTTGGGATAGTTCTTTTCGATATGATGTGCGAGAAAAATGTGCTCAGTTAAAGAATTGATATGAACCAAATGTGCATCATATTCTATGCATCTTGAGTGAGCAGGGCCAAATTGCTTTCCATGAGGTCTGAACTTATAGCAACTATCCTTATACTTTATCCATCCTTTCTGGCACTCTGGAACGCAATTAAAAGGATGATCCAAAGAAGTATTCGAAGGAGAGAGGTGCATACATGTATGTATGTGAGACCAGAAATGTGTATATTGTCAAATTTGTTGGTCAATAAATGTACAAATACAAGTATGTTTGGCGTATAGTCAATTGGAATTGCCTTTCTAAATACGTGTGTGCTTTATCTTAGAGACTTTTACCCTAATTGTCACCTGTTTCTTCTTGCTTGTTGCATTGGTACAGTTCCCTTAAATTGGCTATGTCCAAATCACTCAGTGCCTTCCTCTGACCTATTTTCTTTTTCTTCTTTTCGCCGTAGCCAATTACCTGCATTACAGACATATGATATTCCACATTAAACATGTAAGTACACCAATGCTTTTTTAATTAAGGAATAATGAATAATTCTACGAGGGTTGAACCAAAGGTTCTCCACCGTTTTTTTAAATAAAAATCTTAATACTTTATGAATACTGTTCATATTTGTCCTCAACCACAAGTGTCGCACTCTTGCTCCACCTATGCTGTTGCCATGTTGCTATAACTTATTTTTACACAAAATGAAACTGCTATATATGGGACGGTTGAGGCCAAATATGAACAGAATTCATAAAGGACCTTATACACCCTCCATTGGGATCTCCCCATGGGAAAAAATAATTCATCTGATTTTTCAAAATGAGTATTTTGCTTCAATTATTACATTTATATGCACACTAGTATCTTGTTGACCTATATTCAGCATTGTATTGATGTATACATGTAGGCCACTTATTAGGGTCATAATTCAATCATGAAGTGTAGAGGCATAGATTCCAAACCAGGAAGTATTTTTGTGTCTGTCAAAATCCATTTACATCCTACGCATCCCTGCATCTTATCCAAATATGTTACTACATAATGAAATATAATAGTATAATCTTTGGTTTTACAAACTTGTATGATATTTGATAAGTGTAAAAGTTGTTTTTGGAGCATTTTTCTATAGACATTTTGTAGGGGAAAAAATGATGAAAAAATGTACAATCTTTTAATTTTAAGTATGACCTGAATCGATTGCAAACTTCATATTTGCACATTTGATGAGATAAACCATTTGTGTCGTATTGTGAAATTATTAAGTTTGCAATCGATTCAGGTCATAGTGTATTTTTGGTATTTCTGTGATAATCAATGGAAACCAATGGCCTCTATTGGGATCTTCTGATATCCTCATGTTAAGTCAATGGTTCACAGCCCCATGTAAGTCAATACAACCTTACTGAACGAAATGATCCCTATCTCAGCTTATATGTGTCCGAGCACTTTAATGTTTTCCAAAGTATTATATGACATTTTATTCTTCATGTTACACCTACGAATGATTCATTTTGACCATAGGGATATTTGCCAATAATTGCACCTTGTCCTTTAAGATTTTTAGAGCAAACGGTGCAGAACTTTTGAATCTACCCTCGTATATTGGATAAATAAAAGAACTAACCCATGTACACATAATACATCATGCAAAACCTGAGTGTATCATCAGAATGTGTTAGTACATGCATGCTCAACCAGTGCATGGAAAATTAAATGCACTGTAAAATCACTGTTGTGCAGAATTTTACACACTGAAATGCTCTAATGCCTTGGTCACATTTGCTACGATTTTCACTACGGTGCCCGGCCGATTGAGTACTTTGTTCAAAATTGAATACAAATTTGAGCAAAACACTCAATCGGCCGGTCGCCGGCCGATGGATCGGAGTAAATGTGACCCAGGCATTAGCTAGGTTTATTGATGTATTCTGGGTAACCCCATTGTTCCTTTGTGCATACCTTCAGCGTATCCTTCCCATTGTTACTAAAGTAGTCCCGACCATAATGCATAATGGAGGCATAATCATACGGGACCCCTCTAGAATAAACTTCATCTGAACGCCTTATACCAAAGTTCCGCATGTAACCTCTAGCGACGTTTTTCTCGATCACCTTTACGTACTTATTCCTGTCCAATCGTCCCTGATGAATACATAAATCATTTTCCAAATTATAAAAAACGAAAATGAAAAGTTGGAAACCCCTTCGATGCCCCCCCCCCTCAATAACATTGATAGGATGGCGATGGCAACCCAAAATCGTATGAGGAGGGTAGGAATATTTATATGATTTCATTATATTCAAGCCAATGTAATCAAAATTATTCGAAAATCACATTATTCATATGGAAGCATATTCTGTATAGATTGTATAGAATTCTGTACCGCCTACCGACGATCCAAGCCATACCTGCTCATGCCACATGCCAAGTGCATGGCCAATCTCATGAACCATTGTTCCGAACTTTTCACAGCCGTCGCCCAAGCTTACCAATTGCTTGTCACCTTGTTTCCCAATGCTTGACCAGCAACTAATGAAGCAGAAATAAAAAATGGGCCACTTTATTTATATGATCAAAGAGAAGTACTCCCAAGCAAGGCCTTATCAGGATACAATGACCATGATAGCAGCCGTTACATGTACATTCTCTTTCAAAATGGTGGACAAGAATCGATAATTTCGAACTATCAAGTTAACATTGATTAAAATCACTTTCCATTCTATTTGGCTTTAACATTCTAGGCAGATCAAGTTATGTTATAAAAAAACTAGGTCACCTAAGAGATATCTGCTCCTTTTCAATTGTGCAGTTTGACATTGACACAAAATAAGGATAGTTTCTGAGACAAACGGGAGCTAGTATGCTGGTAAGTGAAGTGGTAGGAATTTCATTATGTGGATGGAATTTCAAATTCAAAACTTTGTGTGAAAGTAATTTAAATCGATTGAAATTGCCGATTCCAGTAAGCAAGTTTACTCTGAAAGATTCAGAGGTTGACCAATGTTAAATGTAATTAATTACAAATGTGGGCGTACATTGAGAAATCTAATTATCCCTAATATGATGTAATTGTCATTTTCAACAAACTTCCTTTCTTTCTGTATAATGTTACATAATAATGATAATATAGACTTCCCTAATGTAGACTTCCCCTAAATGTGGTAACAAGAAGATCAGACGCTATCCAATGTGATCCTCTCGTTGTCATATAAACATGATAAAGTTAGGAGGAGGTAAACGCCTCACAATTATTTAACACTAGTTTTTACCAACTATTGTTACCTACCCAGATTCATACAAGAAATGTATCCAATTTTTGTTGGATTTGGTCTTCTTTCTAAACTTTATACACGTTTTCCGTTGAATATGTCGCATTGCAGATCGAATTTTTTTCTTCGTAGATGGCTCTGGAAATGAAAATAAAAACGTTTATTGCGTTTATAATAAATATGTTCACTCATATATGTACTTGTTTTATTGCTCATTTCTTTGTGAAATAAACAAGAAAAATAAATCACAAAAGTTTGAAATAACGCATTTGGAATCGAATTTGTCACCAGAATGACGAACATGAATTAATGTCCTGATTGCTGCCTAATATTTATAGAACTACTATAGTATCTCCGGTAGGTCGTTTGCGTTAATCCGCTGCTCCTGGATTTATTTCATCTGCCATAATTAAGTTTCGCTAACCGTTAGTATACTTTATCTACTTACTAAACTCAGGGTCCATTGTATAAGGTACAACGGCCTCCTTCCAGAGTTTGCTGGTTTTCCTAATGAGTGCTCTTGTCTTTCGAGATTGAGGAATATGAGCTTTTTTCATTTCTCGTTTTTCGTTAGCATTCAAAACTATATCGCCCTCGAAAAAAGGATCTTCGAAGAAAGGGGACGCTAGAAAACAAAAAATCGATTATATTAGTTTATTTTCAGAGAGTACAATCAACAAACGACAATTTTTCCTGATGTAACCTACCACAGTTTTTATGTCACCACCAAAAGTGGTGACATATTGTTATGGTCTCCGTTTTTTTGCGACGGCGGTTGGTGGTTGGCGGTTGGTGGTTGGCGGTTGGTGGTTGGCGGTTGGTGGTTGGAGGTTGGCGTCCGGCGTCTGTAACAATTTCTTACAACTTCCTATAACTTAACAAATACTGTTTAGACTGACTTCAATTTTTTTCTAAATCATCTACATGTTCTCAGAAGTTCAAATCTGACTTAAGATTTGACATTTGACCTTCTCAAGGTCAAAAGGGTCTTTTTTCAACTTGCTTCACATTGACTAAATTTTTTTTCAAAATCATCTACATGTTCTCAGAAATTCAAATCTGACTTTAGATTTGACTATAGATTTGACATTTGACCTTCAGATCTGACTTAAGATTTGACATTTGACCTTCAATGACCTTCTCAAGGTAAAAAAAGGTCAAAAAGGTTTGTTTTCAACTTGCTTCAAATTGACTAAATTTTTTTTTCAAAATCATCTACGTGTTCTCAGAAATTAAAATCTGACTTAAGATTTGACATTTGACCTTCTCAAGGTCAAAAAAGGTCAAAAAGGTCTGTTTTCAACTTGCTTCAAATTGACTAAAAAAAAATTTCAAAATCATCTACGTGTTCTCAGAAATTCAAATCTGACTTTAGATTTGACTTAAGATTTGACATTTGACCTTCAATGACCTTCTCAAAGTCAAAAAAGGTCAAAAAATCATCTACATGTTCTCAGAATTTCAAATCTGACTTTAGATTTGACATTTGACCTCCAATGACCTTCTCAATGTCAAAAAAGGTCAAAAGGTCTTTTTTCAACTTGCTTCAAATTGACTACATTTTTTTTTCAAAATCATCTACATGTTCTCAGAAATTCAAATATGACTTTAGATTTGACATTTGACCTTCAATGACCTTCTCAAGGTCAAAAAAGGTCAAAAAGGTCTGTTTTCAACTTGCTTCAAATTGACCCAATTTTTTTTCAAAATCATCTACATCTTTTCAGAAGTTCAAATTTGACTTTACAAGTTCTCAGAAGTTCAAATCTGACTTTAGATTTGACCTTTGACCTTCAATGACCTTCTCAAGGTCAAACGGTATTTTCCAACTTGCTTTAAATTGACCAAATTGTTTTAGGTGGTGACATTTTGTCATGTTAATGCCTTGTATTGATGTTACAATGGTCACGGAAGCCCTAGCTTTCCACAATTAATTGTTAATTATTAAATGATTAACTAATTATCTATTTGAATTCAAATAAATCACTTTTATTCTGTGGTTCAATACCATAGTTTCGATCATAGTGTACTCACCAATATCGGTGTAGTTGAGCTTACAGATGGACGGGGGACACAAGTCTGCAACAGAAGGAGAAAAGAACATGTAAAGTAGTTTTTAAATTAAATCTTCACTTTCATTTCTGAAGGTTATTCATCTTTCCAAAAATGGTGACATATTGTTATGGTCTCCATTTTTTGTAGGGGTTTGTGTTTTGCGCCTGTAACAAATGGCAGGTGGTAATATTTTGCATGTTAATGCCTTGTTCTTAATGAGATAGCAATAGTTTTGTTAGTTACTATATGGGGACGACATACGGTTTGAAAATAAATATTAAAGCATGGGTCCGCCATATATTGTTTTCCAGTTCTACAATTTTAGTATGGCTTATATGGGTCGCTTCAGATTTGATTTTATCTTAGTTTTTACTGCGTTCTCATCACTCTGATACTGTAAGCTATAACTTTTTTATATTGAGCAAGATATATTATGGTATTATTGGTGGTTAAGGCATTATTAAGGCATTATTAGTGGTTAAGGCATTGGTCTGAAAAGCAGGAAGTCTGGCTTCAAGCTGAAAAGTAGAGGTCTTGGGTTCAAACCCAGGTCACAGCACTTCTTGTGATTTGTCTTTGACCTATGACTGCTGACCTATACCGGCGATTACTAGAGTGCTGCTAACTCGATAAAAGGCTGGCGCTGGCTAGAATTGTCTATGGTTCTAGCCAGGATAAAGATACCAGTTCTTCAACTCGACAATGGGAAGAATTGCTCTACCTTAGTGACTAATATGTCATGATATGACATCTAAAGAGTCAATAAAAGGTATATATATATTATTCCTTGCGACGCAAGAAGCTCTGATTTAAAGATTCCTGTTTTGTTTTCTCAGATCATCTGATGGGAGGGCAAACTCTATATAATGTCAACAGAAAATTCAAACTGTATTGCTTTTTACCTCAATTAAATTTCGGAGTTTTACACTAACAGTGGTATAACAATTGTAAAGTAGGCTATTTGTCAATGTTAGCGCATCGTAATTGCTAATATACCGAGTCTCGCACTATATTAACCACGTTGTAGGTCTGCAGGTCGAGCAGTGAACTAATTTCTAAGTCGTCCGGTTCCTTCACGAGATTATATGATTGTAGGATCTTGAGGTATTCGGGAACATTACGATGTTTAATCAATGAATGTTATAGATGGAGACGTCAATAGCACACTGCAAACAGATAGGAATACCTTCCATGCGGAATCAAGTGTGATTTACGAGGTGTCAGCGATCTTAGGCGATGTAATTGAAATGTTTGCTTTCAAGTGAAAGACCTAAGATATTACACGTTAGTTGGGTGCTCAGTTGCGAAAGCTTAACATCTAGATCGATTCAGTGTGTTTTGGGTGGTGGTTTCGGCGACAAGTTAGAAGAAACATATCTGGAAAAATGCTGTAGACTGGTAAATGTAAGTAAAAACATAATATTGAACCTATTTCATTTCATATTAGCTGATGAGATTCGAACAAAAAGCACATATGATTTTGATTTCGTGTTAATATGCTAGTTGTTCATGCTATATTGATTTAAGCTTATAGCTATATGCATTGATATATTGTTTTATTATTAAAAAATTGCATGATCAGCAAGCAATACGAGTTTCTCGATTCACTCACTACATACCAAGATCAATTCGATTACTAAATGTATTCCTCATTGTGGGATCCACAGTCTGTACTATCCTTTGAAATACCCCCCCCCCCATAAGCCATAGATAAAGAGGGACTCTGATACATCACATTATTGAAATCGAACACCCTAATCATGAAAGACAGTTACGTCATATAGTGTTAACCAAAATGTTCAAAAAGGCCTTAGTTATGTTTTTATGTCCTGTCTGTTTAAGAACCCATATTCTTACTATTGAAAATTGATTCTACCAATACTCTCCCACATGACATGCATGAATCTACTTGTTGAGTCTTGATCAACTTGAGTTCTTCTTAGAAAATGAAGATTTCAGCAAGGGTGTATATTGAATATTGAATATTAAAATATTGAATATTAAAAATCAGTTGACTTTAATCCTGCATATCTACATTGTGCAATGCAGATATGCAGGGTTAAAGTCAAGTGTATCCCCATGTAAAGTCAATACACCCTTGCTGAAATCCTCATTTTCTCAGAGGAAATCTAGTTGATCAAGTCTCGAGAAGTAGATTCATGTCGGAGAGTTGGTATAATCCATTTTAGTAAGAATAGACAGGGTTCTAAACAGGACATTGAACTTGCTTTTTAGAATTTTTTGTTGGTACTAATGTAACATGGACGTGTAACTATTATATGACGATTAGTTGCATTTGCGTGTTCGTGTGACCTGTAAACGTTTTGTTGATCGGAACATTTTTTATATTTAAAATTTATTTTTATATCATTTTACAATTACAATGCAATGTTTCTTTTATCAAGTTATATTTTAAAATTATGTAAAATATTATTATTTTGGTACAATTCCAACTTTTGCCCGTGGATTGTCCACTTAGCAACAATTATAAATTGATTGAGATACTCTTTTTCTTTACAAAAAATACCCTTAAAGATGGTTTGTTCATTTAAACTTATTTCACATTTGTTTCTTATAAAGTCTAATATTGGGAGTACAAAATTGCATGCTATAAATCTATGTGTTAAATCATCTTTATTTTCATTACAAAAATTACAATTTGGCGTTTCCTTATTTTAATTTTACAGTTTATCATTTGTTATCACAACATTGTGTAAAAAATGTGATGCAGTATATCATTGATTTACATGACTTTTGTGTTATAGGGGCATGACACAGATGATGCAATAATCCGATTAATCGATTCCCTAACAACAAACCTCATTTGGAAACAAGCTCTTTTAGACTAGCTTGAATGCTAATTTGGATTTAGACAATAGGCATTGTTCAAGGTTATAACGGGAATAACACAGATATTCTTTTTCTAAGGGATAATGTCTTTTTCATTGCATGTAAAACCCTTCTAACAGATCCACTATTTCTATAGGATTACATATAAACATACATACATTTGACTTTTGGAAATATTTGATAATGAGAAACTATGTATTACATTGTAGTATTGATACATACACATGTATCCGTATCTGGACATTCATGTATCAATATTTGGGCATTGCTACATCTACATATCTATGTATCCATATCTAGGCATTGCTACACGTGTCCGTATCTAGGCATTCATATATCCATATTTGGGCATTGCTACATATCCATGTATCCATATCTAGACATTGCTACATATATAGAGGTTATTTAATGGGAGGTTTTTGATACAGGGTATATCTGAGGGAAATACAATATATCTACCCGAGGGACCGTAGGGACCGAGGGTTGATATATTGTATTTACCGAGAGATATACTCTGTATCAAAAATCGAGCATTCAATAACTGATTTATCCTATACTTAGTAGATAATGAGAATTAAATATGCATCGAATGTTAGGGAACCCTAATGTAATAATTACAAACGATAATTACAATCAAAACATGAATATTTTATCTCAATTTAAAGTCCTCAACAATTTTTGTTTTTTAAAATTCAACAGCTTAACATTTGACAGTGTACGAAATTAATGTTTATCGAATAGAGCCAGATTATATCCCGGGAATTCAAAAAAGCACCGAAAGAAATCCCTGCGGGGATTGCTGATTAGCGGGTGATATATATATCTCCCGCTTACCTTATCGGGATATATATATCACCCGCTCAGCTCAGATATCGATTATTATCCTACACTTAGTGTACTAAATGTATAATAACATTAAAAAATAAATTTGATATTTATTGGCAAAATGAATATCCGGAGGATATCGTAACGATATATTCCGGGCGGAGGATATCGTGACGATATACTCCGGAAAACCCAATATGCGGAGGATATTGTGACGATATACTCCGCTTGTTGATTTTCCGCCAAATTGGCATGAAATTCATTTTGCAATGATATTATATACAATTATTGACCTCTCCAGAGGTTTACTGTCAAAATTATATCCCGAGACTGTAAACCTCGACCGTACTGTCAAAATTATATCCCGAGACTGTAAACCGAGACCGTAGGTCGAGGTTTACAGTCTCGGGATATAATTTTGACAGTAAACCGAATGGAGAGGTCTATAATTGTTTTGTTAGTCCGAAGAATATCTTAGATTTTTCTGACCCTTGAAGTTGACTTGAAGTTGGATCCAGACCCTCGAGATCTACATCTGCCACGGCAGTAAGTTCACTCAATGGAGTCAAATTACTCTCCTGGGCGAAGTCCACTAAAAGCTTTGTACAAAGTTTTGGATTTTTCTTCGTTTTTTGACTTCTCTAAGAGACTAATAATATACTCATCTTCAACATTTTTGAAACGGCTAGTGCTAGCGGCGGCCATTTTATCGTCTGATAATGACGTCATTTTAGTGGAATGCTGGGAATATCATTCACCGGCAATGCATTGCGCGGTGTACAGTTAAAATTATTCACCGCTCGTTGACCAATCAAAATCGAGTATTTCAACTGAGGTACTAACAATACATTTAGTACACTCCTTGTAAGTGTAGGATAATAAGAACATCCTATGATTTTTTCAGAATATCATTTTAATCTACTCGGTGATATTGATATATGCACTCGTTCGCTTCGCTCTCTCGTGTAGATATCAATATCACCTCGTAGATAAAAATGATATTCCTCAAAATCATAGGATATCCCATAATATTCCTGCATGTCATTTACCTATAACACTACTAAGTATGGAATAAACCTGTATCCCAACATACATGTGTCCATGTTTAGTAATTGCTACATGTACCCATACCTTGGCATTTCAAGTCATTATGTAAAACATGTACTTCTCATTCGGAATATAAAGGAATGGAATCTTGATTCTTCAATAATAAAGATTTCTTTGAAAATCTTTAATCCAACGTTCTTTATTAGGGCTACTCGCGTCTTACCATGACGATTGTGAAAAGCAATTAAATTGATCGCATTCGGAAATGATAAGGGGATACATTAATATCTTTAGATGTATAGTGTATTGTTCAGTTGTCTATAACACGTTTGTATTCTCACCATATTAATTCCTGAACAAATTGAAAAGCGACAGCAACTTGTGTTTCAGAACAGTGAACCTTGAGAAGGTGCAGAATACTTGCAGATGTTGACACTATTTCCCTAAAGCCTCAGTCACATTTGCTCTACATATATGGCGGCCGTAAATTCACAAAGCTGATATAGAAAATCTACATCGTACTGCTTTTATTCCTATATTTTATGCAGCACATTTCTCTCGATTTTGGGGAGCTACGACCGTCGTATGGTTACCATAGATCAAATGTGACCAAGGCAGAAGAAACGCAGGCAAGATTGAATTAGTTATGCCTGGGTCACATATGATCCGATCCATCGGCCAAACAAAACAACATACAAAATACTCAATCGGCCGGGCGCCGTCGTGAAAATCGGAGCAAATGTGACCAAGGCATAAGCGGTCGTACTTGTATATCCCGATCGGTTGTTGTTCACTTAGTATAGCCTTCTATTGTAAGTCTTTCTGATCTAATTATCGCATTATTCACCGCAGTTGCGTCTCCAAAGAGTGTACAATCGAATTAGCGAGGCGTGTTGATGACTCGCAATACCATATTGATGGATCCATTTTAGTAATTGACCTTTGCTGTTATTGAAACATGTTACTAATTAAAAATAATCTTGGGTCAAGAAACTTTGCGTGGATATTGGTTAAAAGCTTTTAAATTTACATTTGCTGAGCTGATTTTAGCTTCATGAAATTCTTCTTTATCACGAATAAATCATACAATAGAGAGTTAAAGCTTGCATATAAAATCGAAACGCCAATCCATACGTATGACCAATCGTCGATACAAATGCATCGCTTAAATATCTTCCGCTCACGTTTAGGTTGTGAAAAACATTGCAAGCTTAAACTCCCTATTGTTAAATACACGTATTATTGCTGTTTTATTAAGAGGTTCCAGCGGAAAGTTTCTCTAGAAATAGAGAGGAAAGCACACAGGACGAATCAAGTATGACTCGAGTAATGCACGTGTTCATTGTATAATGGCCTAAACTCGGGCTATCTTTTTATATAAGGTGCATACAAGCAACTAATATCTTTACATGACTCCGGCTACAATTGATCAAATGATGTGTTGAAAACATCTTATTATTTTCTAAACCTAGAATCATGATATCGGTATACAAGCCTAATATAGTCTCTCATCTTACCGTGTTATTCTCATGAAAAGGTCTCGACATTTAGTAGAGATATAAGAAACAGTCTCATAGCCACTTTAATTCCCAAGATTGGTGAAATTAACAGCCTATTTTAATCCGCAAATATCTCGCGAGAAGGGCAAATCGTACTTAATATCATGACTAAGATGACGTCGACGTGATCAATAACAAAGTTTGTGTCGTCTCTTGTTCAGGAAATTTAACTTTCCGTTCGGTGTATGATTGAAAGGGCTCACTACAAAAGAAGACATGATTATAGTGAAATATTGAACGCCAAGTGTTTTTAGCATCTGCCATATGATATTTCAATTTAACGAAAAACGTACCTTAGAGATGATAGCAAACCCGCACATTCGAGAATATAAGATAAAATTTATTAATTGGATTTTACCGACCTCAAGATCAAGGCCCACTTCCATCCAAATCATTACGTATAAATTCGACTGTGTTGATCTTTGATAATGATGGTCTATTGCATATTGCAAGATGTGACATACATAGATTCTTGTCGATGAACTTTAGATGAACAAATTCCGTTTAATTCTTTTTTTATCGTTTCACTTATTATTAATATCAGTAATACATTACAGTGGGATTTTGTTTCAATCGCCCCATGGCGGCCATAAATACTGAATACTCTGACATCTATTCCCAATAGAAATTAGAACCATGCCTGAGAAAGATAAAGTAGCTAGTAATATGTAATTCATTTTTTTAATTTCGGTGAAATATTAACCAATTTAAGTTTTCTCATCCAAACATAATGACATACATTTGTCTTCCAGGCAATCCCAGAGGGGACAGAACTCCAAGATTAAGTAATTATCTTCAAGGAAAATCAGCTCTGTAGCAGTAGACAGTCCCAGATGAAATGGCGGCGTCAACGGAGTCGGGTGGATTTAAAGTTTCGGAAGGGGTAGTTGTACAGGCTTCACCCGTGAATATAGCAGCACCGTTCTGTCAGCACGCTGATATAAATGTACCACTTTTGGGAGACAAAGGAAGTAAAATAGATAATGATTCAGTGGATGTACAATATCTAAAATTGGATTTAGATTCAAATGTATATAAGTTGATTCCACAATCAGATGATATAAACTGCCTCCGATCGAATCCCTTGATTGTTATGTGTTTGGTTGGCTTCGCAGAACATCGACCAATTTCTCTATATCCCGACCTTCTTTGGCACTATATCGTGAAGGGTGTTGCGTTCCATGTGCATTCTAACCCAGATGAATTACGTGACATATTTGTGGACCATGCGGGCAAAAGGGATGTTGTTATAAAGCGCCTTGAAACAGATCGAGAGGAGACGAATGTTGATAAATGGAGAAATCTGATCAGAGAATTCGCGGCTCAAATTCAGCCAAGTTTGAAAGAGACGTCACAGATTGTCTACGGAGACAGATTTAGTACCACAACAGATGTAATCACAGATGTCTCTCGTATCGCACTCATGGACACTGCTCAGAGGTGTTTCCGGTTCAAATCAGTTATCATTTGCGGAATTCCAAGCGTGGCATTACTCGGCAATGTTGACGATTGGCGACAGCTAAAACGTCAAACAGAGGCCTTGATCAAACTGTTTGAGCCATTCGATGATGAATTAAACTTAAACTGGTGGAAGAGGGCTATACTGTCAGTCTTGGAGAAGCTTATCAAATGCTATGAATGCCCGGATGAAAAAGCCAACGCTGATTGGATGGCAAGAATTTTCAAAAGTAATCGAGAATTTTACGGTGGCGATAAAAACGTTACTGGTTGGATCAACGTTTTCTTTCCGTATGTGGGCTACAATACCTTAGAGCCGAACGAAATGGCCAAGGTGGCTTATTGTGTTAATCGATCCAGAAGCACCTACGTGGACAGTGATGATGATTTAGACACTTTTGATATTGTTGAAAATACTGCAAATGTTGAACTTCCAGACAATGTCGCATATGATAATAAAACGGGTGATACAGATTCAGATGAAGACAGCGTTCTATCATACGCAACGGATCACGAGTCATTCCAGCAGACGGCGCTTTACCCAAAAGCAATTTCAACTGCCCCATTTACATTGAACGAAATGGGAACATTAACCAAGATGGCGTTTAATGGCGGACCGTGCTGCGTAACTGAGCAGACTGTTCAAATCGAAGGAGGTCCTACTCAGATAGGGACCCTACATGTACCGTTTGGTTGGTCCGTTGTGACAGACAAGCCATCTAAACATGGTTGATGACCTCTCACTGAAATGTTGATATAAATGTGGTCGGCCCTAACTAAACTGATGTACTGCAGATTTAAAAGTGTAAAAATTATAGGCGATTGAAATAATCTCAGTTTTGTTGCTGTTCTTCATTTTGCCTGTCAAATTCAGATAAAAGTTAAAGGCAGAATCAGATCTATAGTGGGTGACAAAATTACAAGCGACTTTTATAATTTACCTACCAATCTCTTCCTTACAAATACAATATCTCCCAAAAGATTCACAATATGTTATAAATTAGTGAAGTTATTAATGATTCAAAGTGCAAAAATGGGTGGAAATGTTTAAATCCTCCCAAATAATAAGAAATTACCATTCTTATAGAAAAAGAATACATTATTGTAAAAATCTTTAGTTTTCCTTGAATAAACTATGCATTTTTGTGATTTTTAGAAAATAGACATGAGCGGAATGACATGAGCCAAAAATATTCTAAAATTGAGACAATTTTTTGTTTAGCCTGCTCGCTATATCTGATTCTCTCTTTAACAAGGCATTAACATGACAAACTATCACCACATTAAAAGTTACTGCCAAACGGAACTTGTTTCAGACGCCGAACGTAGACCGCCAAACACCGTCCAAAAGTACCTAAACTAAAAATATAGTTACACGATATTCCACGTAGCAGTGTATAATGTGTTGTTCTCATGATAAAAAAAAGTCATACTAAACTATGAAAAAATCTGCCTGCGGTTATTTTGGCCGTGATTATGTGATTCCTGTTTGCAGTCACAATATTGGGCAAAAAATAAACGGGACCATCATCCACTATAGATATTGACTACTACGGCACTACCTTCATCCTTATGCAATTTATATTCGATGTGAAAGATGAATGCATTTGTGAACAAGAACAACCTCTAGTCACTTTTCTATGGGCGAATAATAAGCAATAAATTCAGACGTAAATTGGTAAAGATAACAAGAACTGTCAAAAAGCTTTGCTCTTGACTTATTTATCTGCATAAATTGATTTGTTGTTCAAGATTTGAAACGTGTTATTTACTTGGATTAAATAAGTCAGAGACAGAAAATTATTATAAAATCAATGGCGTTGTATAATCGCATTTTAGAATATCAGAGTGAATAGATGAGAAATTCGTGTTATGTTTAAAGTGATCAACTGTTCATTGAAGAGTTGTAACTTGAATACACGATAATGACGTAGCAAGAGATTCACACATGGCTAGGCAAAGTGTCCGATTCCAGTCAATCCGAACACAGTGTTTCATATAACTGCACTACATTATAAAACCAATGACCCGAACAAGGTCACTCTTTGAATCGTTGTCAAGGTGGCAACTTGACTCTACATACTGAAATTGATGCTTTGCCAACTTGAGCTAGCTAGTGATATAATAAATTAATTTATCGCTAACGACCAATAATACCTTCATATAGTTTAGATTAGCTCCTATTCCCACTTTTTTAACACACCCTCCTTTATATCGAGGAATATGTATGAAAAGAAAAAACTAGTTTCTACATTGTGAATCAAGGGGGGAGGGGTAGCATAAACGACAAGCTCGCTTTTATTAAACAAACTTGCTAATGATATTATTATTATTATTATTATATATTAAATAAACACGAATGTATTATGTTCCGTTATAATTAGCAACTGAGAAGATCAAGGAAAGGGACACAAACAAAACCTTTGCAAAATCAAGAATTCCTTCATTCTATTATTTTGGTTGCAGTAATATTCTAATTCCCATGATATCATTGGCTGTATTTCTTTATAGCTGCGTGCAATTTCGCAATATCATTCCAGACTCCAGATGGCCCTGGTGTAAAATCGTCTAGAAATATATAGTCTTGATCTGATTGACTTGTCTCATCATATCTAAACCTGCCAATTGAAAAATGATATTACACTAATATTAATGTTGCATCGATCGTTATGAGACTTTTGGGATTCTGCCTTTCTTTTAAAGGTACAAATGAGTGCCATAAGAATCAGAAATGATGCTTGGCATGCCTAGTTCGTACGTACAGGGATGGCCAAAAAATTGAAACATTTTTATACATACATATTTTTATCAATAACATTTTCACAAGTAATCATTTTACCACTACCTGAATGTTTGTGAATTGAAAATGTTCCGATTTTTATTGGTCCACCATGTACATGAATATTACCTACACCACACTGAGCTACATACTCTGCTACATAAACTGAGTATGTAGCACTTACATGGGGGGGGGGGGGCAGAGGGGCGTCGGAGACTATAGTGCAAGACAAAATATACTTGAGGAGTCAATAGGTTTAATAGCATAGCTAGTGTTCCCTGATAAGTGTTTCTGAAATGACCATCCATCAACAAGATGACCATAATACTATACCCCTAAATACCTGTAGGACTAAATACCATTCGTCCTATGTATAATTCAAGCTAAGGGAACATCACTGAACTCACTCCCAGATCAAAGTACCTTGATATTGGCAAATATGCCATGGACATCAACTCGAGACAAACTTATTGTAATGGGTTCTCGTTATGATAACATATCAGAATCATATTGCATTAGTACCAAGCGACTTAGTATGGTTGAATTGCTAAGAACCTTTTAGCCTTTAGTGATTATCATCCTGTTTCTGATATATACACCCATTCAAAGCTTTATGGAGCACGAGTTTAATGGAACTAATATCTTAGAGTATCAGAATTAAGGATGCTCGTTGGTCATAGCTAAAGATAACGCTGTGTAAAATGTAATGCATTGTGGTTAGAAGTGTAATTCATTGTGGGTGAAAGTGTAATTCATTGTGGGTGAAAGTGTAATGCATTGTGGTGAAAGTGTATTGCATTGAACATAGCAGTGAAAAGTGAAATGCATTGTGGTTGAAAGTGAAAATCATTGTGGTGGAAAGTGTAATGCATTGTACATATCAGTGAAAAGTGTAATGCATTGTGGTTGAAAAAGTAATGTATTGTGGTTGAAAATGTAATGCATCGTGGTGAAAAGTGTAATGCATTGTGGTGGAAGTGTAATGCATTGTGGTGGAAGTGTAATGCATTGTGGTGGAAGTGTAATGCATTGTGGTGGAAAATGTAATGAATTGTGGTTGAAATAGTAATTTATTGTAGTTGAAAATGTAATGCATTGTGGTGGTAAGTGAAGTAATGCATTGTGGTGAAAAGTGTAATGCATGGGGATGGAAAGTGTATTGCATTGTGGTGAAAAGTGTAATGCATTGTGGTGGAAGTGTAATGCATTGTGGTGGAAATGTAATGCATTGTGGTGAAAAGTGTAATGCATGGGGATGGAAAGTGTATTGCATTGTGGTGAAAAGTGTAATGCATTGTACTGCATTGTGTTGGAGACTCCTATACTTCTTTTTTTACTGAGAAATAGTCATATCTAAAAGAAGGTTAGTAATAAGTTAATAGCTAGAAGGGGACCAAAACTAACTATCTAGAAAAGACAACCTTACTTTTATTTATTTCCCATGGCCTTTTGAATCTCGTCTTGCTTCTTGTTTGCTGTCGGGTACCATCTCTTGCTAAGCCTTGTAATTTCGGAAAATCGATCAAAATAACGAAAATCATCAAACGGTACGCGGCTTTTAAGAATACAAGATCCATTTTAAGCTCCTATGTTACGATTTGATCAGATTTCCCTCTAGTCAGTGCACAACATGTTCAATGTAACCGTATCTTTTATGGGGCAATTTTAACTACTTTTAGCTCGGTTCTTTGGTCTTGATTGGGATCCCTTGCTTTAGATTCTGCTTTGTTGAACTATTAAGTATTAATGACGCATCCAAAAATTAAACTTAAAATGAAAAACCGTGATTGCGAAAAAATGATCTCAGTTCTAAATTATCTAGTTTTAAATTCCGAATTCCATGTGTTCCACTTTCGAAGAAAACTATATTCAAGTCCGGAGTTGGTTTTTATGCTGTTTAGAAAGATCTTATTTCAAGTGGTTTTTATTGAACCTTGGAAGTAAACTATTTTATGAGTGTTTTTATTTCGCACTATGTGGTTAACCGGGTAAACCGATACTGACATATTTTTATCATTAATCCAATGATCGTTCAAAGATGTTTTCTTAATGGCGCAATAGCTTGGATGTTATCGTCAAAACCACACTTCAGACATAGCAACATCTTTTATTGCTTTTTCGTAATTCAGAAATTAAAACTTCAATATTTCACAACAGATGTATCATGTAGACCTCCTGCGAATTACGATATTATGCTATTGCAGCTATGCCTGATCAGAAGTCACCGAAATAGTGCAAATAATGATTTATCCCATACTGTACGTACTTGGACGTGTTACTTGCAGTTATGTCCCTATCATTGAATATATGCCTAGGGTCTGTCACCAATATAGCCCGAGCTTGCAAGGGTTATATTACGACAGATCGAAGGCATATATTCAATGATACGGACATAACTGTTGTATTACATACTTTTATATCATGGCTACGTTATATCAATGACGCCACGTGTCTGTGTGCGAGTGAAATTAGGAAGAAATGAAACATGACGTCCCGATGACGTCATAAGATTGTCATGGTCAAAGGTTTGGCAGTGACTGCGACTGCGACCTATTCATTAACAAATCGCAGTCTGCGATGTCCATGCGACCAGTCGCAGTGATTACCACGTGGACGTGCTTGTACACGTGTTAGTTATCCTTTCGAGAACTTCTTGTATCATTTCGTAAACTTTTATAATAGTTAACCCTAGGCATGTGACATCGCAAAATAAGGTCCACATTATCGTTTATTTGAAGAGGATCTGTACGATCTCTAAGTACGCGTTCTCTACGCAGAGCATTACGGTTGAAATTAACCATCGGTTGCGCCATTTCGAACGAATAAACGCTTCCAACAGACGATTAACGTGTCATGCAAGATTGACAATATGGATACTGAGTGGGCACAGCCACGTGGGTCAAAATCCAAAACCACGTGTAACGCACAATCACTGCGACCGGTCGCACGGTGAAGTACTTGAAAATACAAGCCGAAAACTAGCTGTTTTTGGTAGCATCAAAAACATGTTAAACATAATGCATATGCTCTGCAATTTTAATATAACATGGATCGAATATCGAACTATACGTCCTAGAATTTCTATATAATTTCATAAAGAAATTCAACTAATTTAAGACATTTTTCGTGAACTAAAATCACTGCGACTGGGTACCACCGGTCGCTTAAATTTGGGCCATTTTAGGGGTATTTCATTGCGACGTCGCAGAAAATTCTACCGATCGCAGTCGCACGAGATTGATGAATAGGACGTAATCGCTAAAAGGGCCCTTGCGACATCGCAGGCTTGCGACGTGCTTGCGATAGCTTGATGAATGACCCCTCTGGAATATATAGCCGACCTTCAGCTCCATTGACTTCAATACAAATGCTTCGCTGGGTATGTAATACAGGTACATAAAGCAGGTTTGTAAAAACTTATATTTTCATCAGCGGGCAGATATAGCTTTACGTCCCGCTCCGAGCGGGCAGGTATAATATATCTGCCCGCTACGTCATAATCGCCGCTCGCATATTGGTTACTTTTTTGTAACGTTCACAAAATAATTGTAAACGAGAATTGAGAAAAACGCAGACAATCGCGATCTGTTTGATGGTTTAAAGAAGGGAAGGAGCATCCGGTTAATTAAAAATTAGAGAAAATAAATGTGGGAATATCTGAAAGAACAGTTATATACGCCCGTAGTCGATTCCTTTGGCCAATATAATATATCTACCCTCGGGACCTACAGCCTTTGGGCAGATATATTATATTGGCCTCGGGATAATCCCAATATCCTGAACCTCATATAGGATAACCTCTATTTATTTAGACACGGATTAAGATAAAGCGTTTTTAACTCTAGGTTACCCGGTCAAAACGATTCTTATGAAATGCTATAATTTTTCATTCTTTCAAATGCAGATGTTGAGACCTGTTAGCAATGAAATCCCATATGTGTAGAAATGCTCATAGTCCCAAAGTCAGGATAAGATGCAGTTAACTGATTACGATTGCACTCTATCACATTCGCAGCTTTTGAAGGTTGACTTAGACGCAGTTGTTTCTGGATGCATATTTTATTTTCGATTCAATTTATATATTTTCTCCTATCACAGAAAGGCGGTTCTAGAAATCAAGGGTGATTTGCAAACGTTTTATTCAAAAAATAAATATCTGATCTTGCGCGTAAAAAAGGCCCCATAAAAATTTCGACATTTTTACCCGCTTGCTTTAGAATAGACACAAAATTAATCACAAAGTTCAGTATTCTACCGTCACCCAGTTTATTTTTCGAAGGGCAAATTATGGGCCGTAAAATGTTGTGGGTCCATCTTTTTTATCACCACCACTGTATAACTGAATGTTTTTGTTTGAAAAAACCTTCACAATAGTGTTCTATTTGTATGAAATATTTCAAAATCTAGAACATTGTGAAAAACGCGACACGATTTCAAAATAATTATTGCCAGGGCATTAAAATGTCTGGACGACTTACAAAAATTGTTGTTACTTGTTGAATTATACTGTCCTTCTAGGTACAGTAAGAGTCAATTTCAGGCCAATTTCAAAATAATTATTACCAGGGCATTAAAATGTCTAGACGACTTACAAAAATTGTTGTTACTTGTTGAATTATACTGTCCTTTTAGGTACAGTAAGAGTCAATTTCAGGCCAATTTCAAAATAATTATTGCCAGGGCATTAAAATGTCTAGACGACTTACAAAAATTGTTGTTACTTGTTGAATTATACTGTCCTTTTAGGTACAGTAAGAGTCAATTTCAGGCCAATTTCAAAATAATTATTACCAGAGCATTAAAATGTCTGGACGACTTACAAAAATTGTTGTTACTTGTTGAATTATACTGTCCTTCTAGGTACAGTAAGAGTCAATTTCCCTACCTATATTGCATTAGCATTTTTAACACCATATGCTAATCCAGCAAGCGTCTAAGGCAAGGGAAAGTTGTAAAGATTTATTTCAGTATACGACATCTAAATGAAATAGCTTGCTGCCAACAATATGCGAGTTGTGATTACAAGATTTATTGAATGTTCAATGATCTAATTGATCTAAATTCAATATTCTTTATTACAAATGTCAAATGATAGCAATAAAGATCATTAAAAATGTCAAGTTTTTGTCTTATGGTCAAATTATAGACTTTGACTGTTAAACCCCAGTCACATTTGCTCTACGACTGTCTTACGGCTGTCGTAGCTACATAAAATCGATATAGAAACTTTTTTGGTACTGCTTATCCATATAATCTACGAGGTGATATTGATATCTGCAGGAAAAGCAAATTTTATGCTGCGTATTATTCTCGATTTTGGGAAGATGCTGCCGCCGTATATGGTTGCCATAGATCAAATGTGACTGGGGCATAAGGATCTAAACGGGGGGACATATCTTCCAAAATGCAGTCCTTCAAAAATGTTTTAGGGCGACCTCTATCTCATTTACAGATTGCCAAATGCAAATTGCAGAAAAGTAATCTAAATGGAAGAGGACTTACAGTACTCTATAGGAGGATAGATAGATGTCAGTAGTGAATTTGACGGGGCTTGACTTCTACATGTTATAGACTTAAGTCTTTTAAGGATATTGGGGTAAGTCGCCTTGCCCCATATACGAATGAGTCGACGGAAGTAGTAATCACTGCTCAAGCTGCTAGACTTCGCAATGTTTATCAAAACAACTTGCAATTTTTCAAAAACTGAACTTATATCGTGGTACCGTAAAACTGGTTTGTTAGTCTACAGAAAATGTGATGTACATCTCTCCTCCATAAGTTTGGCAACCTTAGCTCCCTCATTGAACTACGTGTTAAAGCCTCTTTACGTTTGGATTTTTATTTACTTAACCGGCGATGAAATAACTTAAATTATTGATGGAAACGTAACTTGACTTTATTTACAATACTTCCAAATTCTATCAATTTTTTCCTCAATTACAATAGGTCGAAAATTGATGATAAATTTGATGAATTTTTGATGCCGATGCGACAATCATCTGCCACAATTATGACGACAATTCTTGCAAATTATGTTCTCAGAATATTTTCTAACAGTTCTGTTGCATTTATCAAACATCTAAGGATCTTCCTAATACATGTACATTTCAGGAGGGTTTCTTTGGATTCTTTTTCCAGTAGGATATCTATCTGATCTTTTGGGAAAGACCCCCCCCCTATGCTTGGCTCCATCGACATTTGGGCTATTTGGCGGGAATTTATCATTGCCAAAAAGTCAACATTTGATGATTTTAATAGCTTCGAGAGGTTCTATGCATGCTTGCAATATTTGTGCACCAACTGTCAAGACACGGTTCTTTTGATTTTAATTACAGATACGACTTCTAAAAACTTTTTAACTTCCTTCCACTACAATTTAATATAATATTAATGCACTGTGATTTTATCCGGGATTCGGCTGCAATCCATTTCTCACGCATGCCATCCTTCCTATTTCATTTGTGATCCATTTTTAATATTAAATGATAAAGTTTGTCCCAGCATGTAAAGCTTCCCATCGGATCCTGCCAATATACCTATTTGAATTATCATGAATAATGAATGGCATTGTAACTCAAACTCTTAATTCATAGCTCGTGAATTTTCATTTCATCAGAACGATCAAATGTAGCAGAATACAAGTATTTTCTGTAGGTTTATATTGCCGACCACCAGTTTTTGCTACAGGTATTACTTTTTTATTCTGTTTAGTTCAGTAATCAAATTGGTATGTACTCCAACACCTCAACACGGTTTAATTTGGTATATAACATTTTGGATATCATGTTTTTATGTAAAAGATAAGATATTATTGACACCCTGTACAAAGGAAAATTTGGTTCAAAAAGTATTCAAAGAGTTAAAACCCCCAAAAAACAAAATAGATTAAAATTAAACCTCTTCCATTCACTGAATACTTTTTAAAATGAACACAAGGGGTCGGCCCACAAAACTTCTTATCTGGTATAAGAGATAATTTGTATAATTACAATATTGAGAGACCTAATATATGTCATTTTATTCCAATGTGGTTCGGATAGATGTTCAATTTCATTTTGAACATATGATACCGAGAACAAAAGAAGTGTCTGATGTGTTTTCTAAAACAATATAGAGAAAAGTATACCAGGTATATTTTTTCAAATCAAATTGCTACCATTCAAAAGATGATCATTAAATTGACGATGTGTAAAACTTTCAGATTTCGATACTAATTCTTTGTAATGACATCTCCATATGTGCCAGAATATCGAGTTGGAAGCCTGGGATCCAATGCTCCTCGTCAGCCAACTGAACATTAATTAACACACATATTTTTAAACATGTAATCACCTTATTTTCTGAGCATTGAACTTCAGTTCCATCTTTGTGCACATTGATTTCATGATTTGAATCTAATGACACACTTATTTTATCAATGTAGAATATTGAATCTCTTTATATTATTCCAATCGTGCAATTGGTCGTTTGCACGTGGTTGTTGGTAACACAAAATATGAATCGTCACATTCTTCTGTTTAATCATCACACTACCCTACCACGTGACCACGTTTAAAAGGGAAACAGGGTACAGCTTAGTTGCAAATGGAGGACGTGGGTTTAATTCCATATTTCTGAACGTAAAATACATTTTACATTTATTTCTAGTGTTCTACCAGACATAGAATTGATTCATCAAGCAGTGTGTAGAATATTGTTGGCAAAAAACCACTATAGGCAAAGATAGATAATAGTGGGCGCAGTGAAGCAAAACACGAATGCAATACACGATACATTTCGGTAAATCTATCAACGTACAGGGAGCATGTAAGTTTCCCTTCGAAAATGTTACATTGATATGTAACAAAAAAACCAGTTAACTGTTATTTAAACTGCGTGTCATCGTGTTATAGGTGGATACGTTTTCTAGTATGTTAGTCAACTGTATTTTTGTGAATTTGAATAAAACATTTTGAATGATCGGTTTTTGAGGACGGTAGTGAATTAGACCATTCAAGGGGTTCTATAGAAAGATTCTTCACATGTAGTTCAGGCAATTTTAATTATTCTGAGTAGCAGATAGTCATTAATACTGAGAGCGGATAGTCATTTATCATTAACGTGTTAATATTTAATTTCGTTATTTTATTTCAATTTGATACCTTAGTAACACGTATAATCTAGCCTTCTTGTTAATTTAATGACTAAAATGCATACGACCTGAAAGCCCGTGTCTAAATCTACAACATAATGTTTACTTTATTTGGATTAGATAACAATTGATGACACCTCCAAAGCATCAACAGGCGGCCTTTTTAGCATTACTTTCACTGTTTGCAACGTAAATGTACATGATGTCGGGACATAGTATGTCTGTATAATCAGCTTACTTTCTCGCTCCCTGTACTATTGAACAATTTACATTCCTTGTACCCTGTATTGATCAACTTTTGCAACTGTGTACCATGTACTATGCCATATCAAATATTTTAAAATCTAAAACGATATTATTTACATTCTTTCTTCAACTATCATATAACTTGGAACATGGACTTCACTATTGCACCACTGAAGTGTAGCGAATAGCAATATTGACTCACTCCGAGCACCAAACGTATTAACCTTTTGACTAAGCAGTCGATATACTCAAAAGCGACCTGGTTGAACGCCAAAAGATTCGCGCATGCGCGATCGAGGTAGGGTAGTGTGATTATATACTGCATTGCTCTTTAAGCGTTAAGCTTGATATTGTATAACATAAAATATTGCCGTGGATATAAAGTTGCCGATTGCCGAATGTAAAACAGAAACGGCAACATAAAATTCGGAAATATAATTAAGTAATTGAAGATCGATCTTAGTGGGCGATAATATGGTAGTTGTCTAACGTGTGTCAACTTACTGTAATAGGGTAATTTTCTAACGAGTATCAACTTACTATACTTTAACAAAAATCATAAATAAAATACGATAAAATCGAAGCTTTATTCCCCAGCATTACAATTACAATAAAAAGTTAATAATAAAAGTGTTGCAGTTAAAATACATGCAGTAAATTCTACAAAATATCAAAAGGATTGTCATGTTAAAAAGTTAAAATGTCAGAAGATATAATCGTATCCAAGTGCTTTGGAAATCCCAGGATTAAAAGTTTTTAATCTCGATATTAAAAGTTTTTAATCCTGGTATTAATTGTACTGAGTCGAATGCGGGTATTATGTTAATAAATCACTCAAATTGTCACTCATAATGTCAGGATGTCAGGTTTTCTCAGTCAGTCAAATGAAGGTGATTAAAATTCAGTTCGGTAAATCAAAATTATATTAGGGGTGTCAGTTTAGCAATATTTTATTTGGCTTTACATTTAGGGGTGTCAGGTCGGCAAACTTTTATTCGGCAATAACAATTTCAATCCAATTCGGAAAATAAAGCACCCGGATTTAATACATATTAATATACAGTTTACTGCATTGTTCTTTAAGCTTCAAGCTTGATATACTGCATTGTGCTTTAAGCTGCGCATTTCTCTGAGTATAACATAAGACCTCAACAAGATCTTGAACAACGTTTTTGTTTTACATCCAATAAATCTTGTCTACAAGTTTTTTGTCTACACTGAATAGTGTTGGGGCATTCTTGTTGGTACTTGTTAAGGCGGCCATTTTGGATTTTCAGTCCTTAAATCTTGTCTTTCCAGGCTTGTCTACAAGCTTAGCCAAACCGTTTAACTCATGCAATACTGGGGCAAAAAGCACAATAATACTGACGAATTTTTGAAAGTTGCCATATGTGGTACCTCTGAGATAATATATATAGTATATACATGGGTAAACATATATTTTGTTATACGTCATTTTAAAGCATATATGCTATACTCTTTCAAAATCAATAGGTTTTTAAGTCCCATTTTATAAGTTGTCATGGTTACAAGATTCCAAAAATACATTGGGTTTGTGCTTGAATTCATCTGAATTTTGAGTTTTTTTCTACGTAACAAAATAAATACGGATTAATACTACCCTGGATAAATGTTAATGCGGCCATTTCGGATTTTGCATCCTAAAAACTTGTCTATTTTATTTAAGGGCGCGATACTGTTCCCTCTGTCTTGTCTTAAATATTACAATAACTCAACTGATTAAAGCTCTAACACCACTTCTATGGCCGAGGTCTTGAATTGACATAGAGGATATTAAACATCTGTTCGTCTGTTAGTAATCATTTTTCTTTATTCTGTAAACTTTGTGTGCCAGATGATGAAAATGTCATACAAATCTTTTGTTTTCAGAATTTGAAAGATGTTTTTATATGATAGATATTTCTCGTAAATTGAAAATAATTTAATTCTGAAATACCACCTATCTGTTAAAATTGTTAACGCTTGCTCAATGGCTCAAATTTGTGTTGCCTAGCGATGGAAAAATTTTAAGGGATTGAGAATCCACCGATATAAGCTAATTACTGGTACTACAACAATAGTCTTTATGGAAAAATATCACTTACAATGAGCCTGGTTTCCGTTTTAACCTTATCACTTGATAACACTTTAAATGTTTTTATTTTACAGAGTCGTATAATATTAACAATATATGAGCCTGTCCATGGGAAAGCCGGTCTCATCACAATCATTAAAATTGTGCTACAGAGGCAAAAATATGACTTTTGGTCTATATACACAAGGAAAAATTTTTAAGACATAAGCCATGGCTCATTCGAAAGGTCTCTTTGTGCTTTTTAAGATAAACAAAAAATCAGAATATTGAAAAAATCTGTGATAAGACCCCCTTTCCCGTGGCCTGGCCCATATTTTTATATTATTTAGAGTGAAAGTAAATGCATTTGTAATTTTAAAAATCACACCTGTTGAAATCCTTAAATTATTGATAAATTGCACAAACTTGTGATGTTCAACAGAAATATGATTAAGTTCTTGAGATTTAGGAAACTGTTTTGGCCTAAAATAAATGTTTCGTAGTTGCAATTCCTAGCATTAACTTTTCGGGTACAACGTTTCTTAAATCCATCCTTGAGAAGAGTTACCACTACACAAGTTTTCTTATTGAAAATTGGCATATGTATCAAATGATGACATGTAGTTTTCAACTACATCATGGCAAAATATGTACTGCTCCTGAAACATAGAAGTTAGTATATTAGTTTTATTTTATAGGAAACGAGCATATGACTAAGGGAAGGAGAATCGCACCCCCTTGCAATACCACCATAGTCCATGGTATGAAATCTCCAAGACGTCTAATAAAGGAGCTGGTAGCACACTATAGCGCAGCGATATTATGACCTAATATTAACATACCTACATATGTCCCCTAATAATTTTTTTATTATAACCATTCAATATACTTCCGGCGTTTAGGCTGAATTATGCCTGCCATTAACAGAGGTCAAAAAATCACCAAAAAAAATAAAATCCCAGCTCTTCACAATTTTAAGTAAAAAATGCAACAAAAATAATACAAAATGGTTTTAAATATATGATGTAGGTTTCTAAGCTATACGTTTGAGGTTATTTTCTTATCAATACCAAAAATTATGTAATCAGTGTATCGACGTTTTGTATTGTTTCTCAGGTATTAATAACATAAACGCTACAAATGAATCACTTTTATATTAGAATGACATATTTTTAAATTATACTAGTTTTTCATAAAATGGGTCTCAATACGTTTTATTCAGCGGTGAACATTATCAATAAAGGAGGACCCATTGCTCTTCCTTGACTAATTGGGACTACAGCTAAAATCATATTTCTCGGAGTTAGATATAGCTCAGTTGCTTAAAAAACAACCACCAGGAATTGGTCGAATTCATGAATAATTGAGAAAAATCGTTATCACTATCTTCCTAACATCTTCTGTAACATTTCATTAGATATAAATCTTACATATTTGTTATTGTATTATGTTTTATAAAACATGAACAATAATTTGTTGTTTGACCCCTTGCGATTATATGGAAAAATTAAGAAAATTAATATGTTCACAATCATAAATTACCTAAATATTCCACACAATTTTTCTGAATCTACTTGGCTCATATTTGAAAAACCAAACAAAATCTGAAAAACACACTGTCATAATTACACTAATTAAACACCGACATTTAAAGAAAAATAACAGTATATTTTTACATTATGATAATCTATTTTTTGTTCGTATGCTTAGAATAACGGTCTGTGTCTTATAAAATGTATAAAAGTTTGAATCAAAATCTTTACGTTTTTTTGACCCCTTGTAATGAAAGACATTTTTCGACCCGCAAGCCGGAAGTTTTTTCAGCAAATGGTATTTTAAAATAATCAAGACATATGCACCCTCATAAATATTGCTTCAAATGTTGCTTCGCTATAGTGTGCTACGGATCCTTCATATTCGTAGTCATACCATGGACTATAAGGCTTGTATCTCTTTCACATTGTTTGTGAGTATTAACAGTTTCTCAACTTGTAAATGTAATTAAAATGAAATAAACGAACCTAAAAAAGTTATAATTTCTTTCATCAAAGATACTTAGCAAGCTTATTTATTGCTTAGTCATATCATGACATTTAAGTTTTAAATAACTTAACACATATTTCGATGATATCATAAGTTATAACTCATAACAATAGAGAGATTTCGCACATAAGTGAAAGTACAACTTATACGTATACGTATAGTTTAAAGGGTCGTGTCGAACTATTATATTTACTAAAATCAATTTTAAATTGTACTTAATGGAACATAACTATTCCCGTTATAAAAAAAGCTCCATCAACTAGAGACTGTGAATGCACTGTCATCTGCACGTGTAGATTATAATTACATGCTTGCTTCCGTGTCCTTGTAGTTGTAGTGTATTATAAACACGATCCTTTAAAGTGAGTCATGATTCTTTAAAGTGAGTCATTACATAAACAAGTTGATTATTTCAATGTTTTCGTGATCAGTATAAGTTCAATGAACTTACAAAACGGTATATTTACGTAGATGATAACGTATACAGTTGGATCTCCGTATAAAGATTTGCCTACATGTGTGTGGAACAATTGACCGCAAGCATTTTTTAAAATTAATTGGCTGAGTGGGAACAGTATCCAATCAAATACTTTAACCATCGATTTGAAACACCAATCAAACCAGTAGGTTCTAGCAATTCCTGGAAACAGTAAATTCAGTAGCTCAACATATGACATACAGGGTGTTTCATAACGAGCATCTCCAAAAAGTCAATTTGAGAAGAGATGGGTCTATAACATAGTCTATGTACTATATATGAGCCTATTTTATTCAAGACAAAGACATTTGGATCAACTAAACATGCTACAATTCAAGAAAGTACAAATGGCATCCCTTTGACCTGTATTTATTACAGTCCGAGAAGATCTTTCCTGACGAAAAGCCAACATTATGAAACACCTTGTACGTTACCTATAAGTATAAGTATACGTTATAAGTTGTACTTTCACTAGGTGCGAAATCTCTCTAATAAGTTAAAACTTACAACTTAACAGGTATTGGACTTAAATACCTATTTAACACAATAACATGCTATATACTAATATGGTAAATCAATGATATAACTTTCATGTGCTTAGATTCATAAGTAGAAAAACTATCTAACTGTACTTTAGTTTTACCTTTGTTGGAAGCAGTTGAGGCCTTGTAGTCTTCAAAGACTTGGCAATCTGGAATAAATCTACTTCTTGTTCCAGTTTTATGCTCTCCACTGCAGTTGAGGCCAGGCAAAACAAACCACTCCTGTCTGCACCATTCCTAGAATAAATATTACATTGAACCAAGATCAGGCAAACATGTTTAAAAGAAAAAAAGAATAGCCCAAAACAGGTAAATAAAAACAAACACCAATATCCCATACCTATGAACCATGGTATTGGATATATGTTCCTATGAATCAATCTTAACGTGCAATATCTTGTAGAATAAATTAGAAAATTAATAAAACCTGAAGAGCCTCTAAGCCTCCAAACATACATATTTCTTCAATGAGAGTTAAGCAGTAAAATACAGCAAAATGATTGTTATTGATCTCATGATCTCTATAGTGTTACATTTTATCCGAAATCGATTAATACAAATCCATGTTGAATTATATTCTTCAAATGTTGAGCCCACTCATGTTACACGATCAACTATTATAAGTGATAACTTTTGGGCAATCTTCTGATTATATATGACAAATGCGCCTTACATGCAGTGTACAGTGATTGGTTTGTTGCCATGTTTCTGTTGCCATGCCTCAACAGCTGAGAGCAGATCAATCAAACCACTACAGCCATCCGGACATGCAGCATCAGGCGACCAATTTTGGATGTGGAACTGTTTCACTTGGTGCTCGGTACCCTAAATCATTGAAAAAATATTTTTGATTAAAGTCATCGATGATAAAGTTATACTTAAAAATGTGTATTTGAATTAGATGCCGTGACGGACCGTCTGTACTCTTGCTATACTTTGTGTGTCAAGATTAGAAAAAAGTCGTGATATTTGTAATACTTATTTATATTTTCTGGAGGAATTTAATTGTCAGTTTATTAAGCTATGTTCATTTTTAAATTTGACATGTAAACATGACACAAACTTTCTTGTTTTCATTACACCTTTGGATTACTCACATCAAACTCCACATTAAACTGTCTCTCTGTGAACGAATCACGATCATTGCAAGACAACAATGATATTTTGAAGGGACTAACATCCACACCCGAGTCTTCTTTCCAATAGCAAGGGGAATCCTACACAATAAATAAATAAGATACAGAACATACAAATGCACTCTATTTTATGTATTTATGATTTTAGCCAAGGACTCGATGCATCTTAGATGATTTAATCCACCCATGTGTTATTTCCAGACCTTTGCATGAATGAACTTGCACAAGAGTTACATTAACATACGATTTTCAAAGGCATAAACGTTCCATTTACAAGCATATCAAAATAACACAACAACCCCGTCTCGCAGTAATAAGGTATTTAAAATAAAATTATATTTGTTAAATATAAGCAATGGTAAAAGGATATATAAACTCAATAATTAAAATTCAACACGTTTGAAATTAGAGTTGAATTATTTTATTTCCGGTTGATATAACGTCTTATAGCGTTAGTGAAATCGAACGCGATTTCAACTGATTGGATAACATGATGTGATCATGAGTAGGTTATGTGAGTGGATGCACGATGGGATCGTGTTATTCTGCGAGTAGCAACCGAAGCGTTTATACACAGTTTTAGTTAATGTTGTAAGTTGTCATACAACCGATTCGAAAATTTAGTTTTATTGTTCGAGGAGGCATACCTTTTTCCCTTTCGAAAGTCACAAAGATTTTGATGTGGGTTTTAACGGTGTCAGGTCGATAAACTAAAGTTTTTCATATTGAAGTCAATGAACACTTTCTTTAGTGCTATTGACCAAATCAACGTTTTTGAATGAAGTATACGTGTTCTGACGTTAATGTAACCTGTTCCCAATAATTACTATTTTGGGAAGTATATTTTTCTGCAATTATTACAAAGCAGTGCATAGCATAGGATGTTAATTTAAGTTAATTAAAACATTTAGATATTAGGTTTCTAAGAAGCAATTATGTAATGTGCATATACATCTGAAACTCAAGGCATGGCTTTTTACTGACAGCGCATTGAATCTAAGTGAATAAATATGTATTTAAGTGCGTTTCTGTCATATTGTTTCAAGGAAGGCACAACGTTTTGCTTTTAAAGATATTGATTTTATCCGAAAGTCCTTCATATTTTTAGATATGTAATATCTATTTCCAGAAGGGCATCAATTTTGGTAATTTAAGATGATAGTTGTGTTCCTTTACAACATTTACAGTAGTTGTGTTATATCAGTGTGACAAACACATTAAGAGAAGTGCTTGTCAACTAATTGCATTTTATATTAAACAGATAGTATTGAGATTTACAACGTTTCGAAGAATTGTTCTTTTGCTTTTGTTGCAATACGAGATAAGTTTGTATTAAGGTTTGCAAAGCATGGTGCTTTCCAGATATTATATTGTTCATCACAATAGTTTTAGAAGATCGTATGATTTTTGTAGTCCGGGGTCGTGTATTCTTGTGATAATCACGGAATTTTTGTATTTTGTGACCAACAATGTCGCATATTACGACAGTCTGTTAAGGAAGGAAGTTTCATTAACTTTCTGAGTTACGTGTTTTGCCAAAAGGCAATGTTATGGTTACAGTGCAAGTCTGTAGACAGTGATTTAGATTATTGTTATGTATTAATGACAGTGCGTGATTACTGTATTAGATAGTGAGACATGTTACTCACAGATTTTGCATAGTGCTAGAAGGCACTATATACATGTATGGTCCTTATACACGTTTTTTATATTGCAAGTTGACAGATAGTCACAATTTAGAATTGGTTTATTCCGAAATTTGTGAATTAATTTGAGATCTTTGACGTGTTAACAAACGTGTAGCCACAATGGTTTTAATGACAGTTGATCATTAGATATGGATGGGTTGTTGGATTTAGATGTTTTAATTAGGCACACGGTGCCTTATTGATGCCTTGAAGGCAGTTAAACATCGTAAATCAGCAGCGAGGTTGGGAGCCGAGGACGGATGTTGGGTATATTTGAACCTAAGAGGTTTCTGGCATTAATGCCATCGGCATCGTGGCCGCTATGACATTGGCATCGTGGCCGTCATAGGTACCTGGATGCATCGCGACCTGGCTACATTTTTTTTTCACTCATTCTTTGTATCAGATGTACTTAATGCTATTCCAATAAACGCGGGCTGCTGGCTCGAATTTAATCCTATAATATATGTGATATTATGTTGTGTGGTTTGTGGTGAAGACTGTTTAATTAGGAAATAAGCTTATAAACTAGTACTTACTTTACTTGCAACGTACTTGTCGAGCATAACAACTGTATGCGATTGATGATCTCTCAACAGTCTGTATAAATCAACAACAGTGTTCTCCAGTGGCATCTGGGTAATGATATAGGCATCTTTGTGTTTGAAGCCCTAGTATTAAGTATGAACGTTCATGTACTTGCACATTAATATCAATGAAACACCAAAATCTAGTATTGGTCATGTTTTCAGTTGTTATTTAACATACTAAAATTAATCACCCCCCCCCAAGAATGAATGTGCAATTATGAATACAGGCCTGGATGATCAAAATATTTCCTAGCTATGTATATAAAGATAATCCACGTTTGGTTTGATTACAATACATAATTTTGTTACGAACAATTTAATATAAAACCTAAAATCTCTATATGCCTCAGTCACATTTACACTACAGTTAGATTACAAACCTATGCATCATTGCATCATCACTTTACAGACAGCCTGGCAGTCACAAAATCAAAATGTGCCATGCGGTAAACCCCTTTGACTGCTACAGCAGCAGCAGCAAAATGTGACTAATCACAAAAACTTACGTTGACAAATACTGCATTTATGTAATCAGTTCTGTCATCAAATGTACCCCGCAAAAATGGTCTTGTTCGATTCACTAAAATAAAAGGTTATGATTAATGTATCACAAATATAGTTAATATTAAAACACAGAGTAATACTTTACAATTCCGAACTCCACTGCTAAAACAACTGTTATCATTGATCAAGATACATGTACACAATCTGACAATTACAATAATATAATATAAGATCATAGTTTATCATATACATTGATATTATGTATAAAAATGATTATTCGGCCTATATGACATATCATACACAGGAACAGTCCATTCGATTTTAGACTTACATGGCAAGATTAATTTTGATCTATTTTTACTAAGATTGTCTGGTAGTGTAGCGTGGCTGCAGTCGGTGGCATCTAGCGGTTTAGTCAGTGAGCACAGAGCCTGAAAAATAATATGACAAGTTATGCCCAAAATGTGCATTGATATACATGTTTATTTCAATGTTATGGCCACTGCAAAGAAATTTAAATCTAAAACAATCCGTTGGTATTTTGGTATAATGATTTGACTGAGTGTAGCAGTTTTATTTCTGTCAGGAGACGTAGCGAAAAATACATTTTTGCAGACCAAATATGTGACAACTAACTATGCCATATTTGCACAAGTAGTTTAAAAATGTTCTTTGCGTTAGAATGTATCCTCGGGGCCAAAATGTAGTGAAGTTGAATTACCTCATATTGAGTAATAATTTGCGATGTTGCACCATCATTGGCCTTTTTCAGTTTCAGAAGAACGTCACTGAACTCAGACGCCACTATTGTCGTGTTCCCAACTCGCAACGCCTCGTCAAGTGTTTTATGAACAAAGATGTATTGCTCCTGAAATGCATTGGAACCTTCAATTCTCTTTGATTTGAATTGGCTTCTTCGTTAAAATCATACACTGTAAGTTGTCTCTTGATTTTCAGAATAGGAAGCATCAATTGGCTTCTGAAGCAGCGAAATCACCATTCTCATTGTAACGTTTATAATATGAATACAATAGCATAAATTCTCGATAAATGTGACTCTTATTACCTTTGTTTGAACCATCATATGTCTTTGTGTACGTAGTTTCTGTACACAAGTAAAAACATCTACTTTGTTTTCCTTTTCAGCCTGCTGAAGTAATATATCAAGAGCTATGAATGTTCCCGTCCTTCCGACTCCAGCGCTGTAAGAGATACATTATGATGACCTTGTAACAAATAAAAGACATGGACGCCAAGAGAAATCCAAGGGGGTATGAACATGAACTAGGAAAGATACATGATTTAGGAAAGGTTGTCATAGAATAATATTAAAAATCCAAGGGGGTTTGAACGTAAACTAGTATAGATACATGATTTAGGAAAGGTTGTCATAGAATAATATTAGAAATCCAAGGGTGTTTGAACGTAAACTAGTATAGATACATTATTTAGGAAAGGTTGTCATAGAATAATATTAGAAATCCAAGGGGGTTTGAACGTAAACTAGTATAGATACATGATTTAGGAAAGGTTGTCATAGAATAATATTAGAAATCCAAGGGGGTTTGAACGTAAACTAGTATAGATACATGATTTAGGAAAGGTTGTCATAGAATAATATTAGAAATCCAAGGGGGTTTGAACGTAAACTAGTAAAGAAACATGATTTAGGAAAGGTTGTCATAGAATAATATTGATATTTACACATTACCTGCAGTGTACAGCTAGTGGACTATTTCTCCGTTCACTCAGGTTATATTTAGCTGCCATAACAAGTCTATGGAAATATATCACGTGACCCGAATTGGAGGGAGCGCTATGATCGAGCCAGCCCGTAAAATGGTATTGTACTATCTCTCTTTCACCTGGCTATAATAAAATTAGTGACAATATTTATCCTTAGGATGATTATTCTTTGAAAATCACCTGATAGTTATTTTAGTTGTGTATCAACCCGGACGTACTATCCTTTATTTACAATATGATATGTATTATCTTGTAAGTATACTTACATCTTCCTTTTTCTTGACACAGAATATTCTTTTTGTATATATATTTCTAGTTTCTTCACCCATTGCTTCTACAGTGATGTCACCGTAGTGCTCTTTGTGTTCATTATCTGGCCAATATTTCTCACATTTTTTCTAAAAGAAAGAAGAAATGACTATTTTGTAGGATGCTTCACTTCTTTGGAACTGCTGTTTTGTTCTAGACATTATATATTATATGATAGTCCCAAAACCGTGATCTTCAATGTGTACCATTCACTCTGTTGTATGAAATAGTAAGTAGCTATTGTTTCCCGTACCTTTCCATTTTCTACCAAATTAGTTAATGTTACTACTAAAGCGATGTTTTCCTGCCACAACAACCTCCATGTATCGTTTACTGTGTTAACTTTCGGGCCCTGTAGTGCAATATACCTCTTTTTGGTGTCCCCATATCCCTGCAATAAAACCAAAGTACATACTCCGCACTAAACAGAACGTTTAAATAAATAATATATATTACTTGATCGTTTTACATATTTTTGGAATTAATTCTCTCGTAATTCAAATTTATTATGGAATCATTTTAGTGAATCCTAAATATTCGGGATGACGTTGTCGAACCGTATTTGCTTATTAGTCCAATAAATTGTATTCAAAGTAGTTAGAACATGTTTTGCGGAGAAAAATTGTTTAAATGGGATCCATCAAGAAGTGTAACGCCCCCTTTTGACAAATATTGACTCTTTAGGGAAGTCTTGCAAAGAAAACATACATCCTCTCGTTTACTACGGTAAACTATATTTCAGGAAGAATTGAAGAAAATAACAAAAGTTAAATTAATCCTCCGGAGAGCATCCATTGGTCTGCCAAAAATGAAACCAAACAAGTTTCAAGTTTTGGTCATTTTTGTTAAGGAATGAGGAAGTTCTTCATCAAAAACTTGACATTATCAATCATTTTTATTATGCGCATATTTGTCAGAGATATCTAATTAGAGGATATTATTTTAATGAGGTATATTGAAATATTGGTTTGTCGTTTTATTGATTTTCCTCCGGTATATGAAATGTGTTTGTAAATTCGCTTACCTCTATATACGATGCACTGATATAGTCAGTATCATTTGACGTTGTGTCAAGTACAACTCTGGTATGGTCGTCTAAAAAGTTGAAATATCATGGCCATAATATTGATGGATTAAGAATAAGACACTTGGTTGTATAAGCAAATGTTGAAATACACATGATAAACGAATTAATTGAAAGTATAGTGGGAATTGTAAATGTGCAATGTGCATCAAAATGACGCGATCGCAATACATCATAATGTCGTAAATACAAAACTGAGAGTAAATGTAGCTACTAATCTTGAATCAGGCAGTTGAAGTTCAGAAAGTAATTTTGGAACCCCCGAATGGTATTTGAGTTGTGTTAGACCCTGTTTTCCAGGAAATTACACATCAAGTGTTTGGAATACTTGGAATTTGTGTCCATATCGCAATATGTACACTTGAATATTATTTCTCTACCAACGCATATTTTAAAATACTTGTTTTTCTCCTGTGTCACTTGTGTTTAGATATTTGTCTCATCCAGACAATTGCATTTAAATCCAAAATACAACTTTAACATATGTATTTAGAGTCCCAACTTGTCAATGCACACTATCTAGTATATCAAAAGCTGACTCGGCAAATCAAAAATTATTTTGAACACCACTTACATGTTGGTATGTTGACAAACCGATTTCTAACTTTGTTTTCTTGCTTTGACGATACATCATATTTTGCTTGTGGCGTGGAAGGCAATTGCTGAAACAGTCGAATAGTTGGGAAAATAAATAAAACATATAGTCAAACTAAACGTAATTAAGAAATATAGACCGAAGAACAGGTGTTATATCGACGAATACATCCCACGGGGCTAAGCAAAAACGCTGTCTGGTTCGAAAGCTTTTGTGCCTAGCCCTAAGGGGTGTATTCGTCGAGATCACACCTGCTCTGAGGTCCCATTACGATTCGAACATGAAAACTCAACAAAATCTTTCAAATATTCATTTAATTGTCCGCCATTTCTATGGTCCGCCGTTATGACGTCACATATTACTCGTATTACCAGGGGTATGGTTCGCGAATATACCCCGGGTGATATGTTGACTTTGTTCCCAGTTTAAAAAAGACATGAATACAGTCATGCTCGAATTTACAATACGGGATGAATTAAACCACCCAGTTGTTCATTAGACCATGGACCTTAACGTATTAAAACAACGCACTGTACAAAAAAGTGTTATAACATGAAATAACACATAGTTGTACAATTAATTTGCTCAGTTTTAACTGAGACTAACATGAAAAATAAAAAATGATGGTCTCAGGTTTTAACAACTTTCACATTTGCCAGTTGTCATTGAATAATGGTATTTCTATGTAGAACGTCGGATATATCATCCTACTGCAAAAATGTATATATGCACCTAGTCTTTCCAAAACTCGATCGGGTCAGTTTAAGATAAGCTTCAATAATAGCCCAGCCTGTAGACATGAATATGATGCGGAAAACACAAAATCAACTCACATAGTATATAAAATCAACCTAAAGAGACCCTTAACACCAATAAGCAAATACATGCAAAGTAAATATTACACCATGGTCAGAGCAATATCAGGTACATAATAGGAAGTGATAAATCACATATTTTTTTACAAAATTTTCATTTTCTATTTCTTATTAAAAGTCCATGTTTTATTTAAAATTTAATTTTTTTCAAAAATGTCGATTTTGTTCAAAAAATTTCATTTTTTAAGTAATATGTTTATCCTAAATTCCCAATGCACGTTAGGGCGGGCCGGGATGATATGTAACTTTAATATTCCCAACATCGTTTTCTCTCATTCAATAGAGGACTTTAGGTAGATACCTGTATTGCTCTTGACCATGGTAGAAGATCGTTATTCACTTGTCGGGATGATAGGAGGTATACACCTCGGATGATATCAGGCTACGGTCGCCGTATAGCAGTTCCTCAAAATCGAGAAATATGTAAGACCACAGCAGATGATATACGCTCACCTCAAGCTGTCATTAGTGTATTAATCAACTTACATCAAACTCAGCCTTAAACGCAGCATTGTCATTTTGAGAAAGGCCATCTATATAGGTAGGTAAACGTTCGACTGGTATACTGGTATCCTTCATGGCAGACAAATTGCCGTATATATCCGTATCCAATCCATCAATAGCTATATCATTAGTTGAGACAGGAAGCAGGGAGTCTAAAACAACGTTGTCTCATATCATGTTAAGCGTATACATTTATCATTTATACATTTAAAACAACGTTGTTTCATATTATATTAAGCGTATACATTTTAAGTCTTGATGTGTGATATAAGAAATTAAAATTGTCTAAAGACTTGTAACCAAGAATAAGGTAATCATCATTAAGCGTTTCACAACTCTAACGTCTAAAGAAAAAGAAGTAAATTGACCTTTACTAAGTCACGAGGGAGGTTAAGATACACATAGGGAGCACAGGTAACCTCGTGGTTACGGCACCCATGCGCCTAACTCGAAGGTGCTGGCGCTCAAGCCCTCCCGGCAATCTTGACAAACCCAAATCAACTTACGTGAACCACAGATAACTGCTCCCATCTCAATTGGTTTTCCCACTACTTAGACGACCATAATTCTACACGTTCACGGATAAGATCTTAAAAGGTGTAGCTTAACCTCCCTATTGTTATTTAACATGATAAACGACAGAAGTAAAATTGAATTACTAGGTTTTGCAGCTGTTTGGAATTTTCCTATTTGTTTATTCGTTTCATTATTGTTCGCATTTTGTGTAGCTCTTTCTAGTGATGTCAGTTTTTCCTCATCGGTTGTATTAATACCATTGGCAAATCCAGCATTAACGTATCCGTTACCTCCAGTAGCGCTCTCTAAATTTGTAATATACAATTATTTTTCAGCCATGCTTTACCAAATATGTAAATATCTAAGTTTTATGTACCGAGGGGGTAAATATTTGGAATTAATCAATTAATTGATCGAAGAACAGTGCAAGTGGGTATTTCCTATGGTAAAGTCTTTAGCTAAAACCGAATGTTCATAAATGGTTTTTAAATCATTTTATACTTGAAAAATTCTCAAAAACTCAATTGGTGTTTTATTAGGAAAACCCGTATAGATTGAAGAAGTTGAACCCAATGCTTGTTAAACTCATCATATATCTCACCGTCAACATATGCTCTTTGCCTATCGTCTTTCTTTAGACGTCTTTTCCTAAAACAGACCATCGTTCCACATTCATTTCTAAACTTAGTGCACGTGAATGTATAACAATTTTCATGAAAAATGTATTTTAATATGTTTGTCTATAGGTTATGATTCAGATGCTATTTACAGTTCCTCCATGAGGTTATTCTTGATTGTATTACACCCTCAAAAAGTATTTTATATCATGGTAATATTATATGATAGTATTTCTTTAGGATATACCTTATAAATACAACTATTACAGTCGCAAGTACAGCCACTAGTATGACGCCAATCACTGCTCCAATAATCGGTACAGGATCTGTTGTACCTGGCCCTCCAGCGCCTAATGGGGTTCCCGATTAAAAATAAATGTTTTTTCATCAGTGACTGATTTTTTCACTGATATGAAACCTTCATAATTTATAATGAAAATAATTTTGACAAATTGTTAGATATCTAAATACAAGTATTAAACGTTTAACAAATACTAATATTTCTTTTTGAATCAAAAAACATCCAAACATATGAGCCAATTCCAAAATATGGAGAAAGAATGGAGAAATACAAGTCTTCACCTAGATATATGTCTATTCCTTGATTACCTTTTGCTGTTTCAAACTTAGCTCCATTTGCAGGTCCAAAACCTGCTCGGGTAGATGCACGTATTTCACAATCATACTTTGTGTATTCCTCTAGACCGCTGACAAAGACTTCTCGAGTTACAGAAGGAAGGGTTTGGTTGAATACTACAAAAGTTGTGTTCTCATAGCAGCTGACCTTGTAAAATCAAGCAGAATAGCGACATTTAAAAAACCAACATTAGGCCTAAAATTCATATAAAAACTGAATTTATATAAACACTTTGAACATCCTTCAACTTTCAATTCAATTTCAATTCAATTAAATTAAGAGGGGGGGGGGGGGGGGGGTGGGGCGGAGTGTCTAATTTTGCAAAGTCAACTTGTTAAATTGAACTTCTAAATTCACATTATATTACCTAAGTGAAATGTCAGGATTATCTTTTGGTCAGTTGACAGTTTGAAAATAAATTATATTACTTTCTAAAAAGTAATTTATTATTTTAAAGCAAATTATTTTACTTTTTCAAAACTAATTTTATATAGGCTCAGTCTTCCAATTTTCTATTGAAGGTAAAACATGCCCCTGTTCATATAACACCATATCATCAAAATATAGCAGACCTTCGTCATATCTAAGTTCACACCAACGGCGCTTTGATGACATTTTAAAGTTATAATATATGTTACAAATAGGTGAAGCATCAATTTTGACCATCGTTTATTTGCTCAAATATTATATGTTCGTGAATGATTTGAAGTGCAATACAGGATATATCCTGCTCGAGAGATTCTATATTGGAACGAGAACGTTTTTTTTGTGTGATCTTAGGTCAATACATTTTACTTCAGCTAAGTTCACACCAACGGTGCTTTGATGGCGCTTTGGGAGATAATCCCTAGGAAATATTATGTATTTTCTATATAGCTACTGATATTGTTCCTTCCGTACAAATATTTTCTTTGTTGTTACGGAGATGATCAATGGGAACAATCTCAGTAGCAATACAGATTGGTACAGCACAAGAACTGACCAATCAGAGGGCTTCAATTTACAGATGATACGATAATATATTATATTATTGTAATAATTGGGTTCTCATTTAGCTACATGTAGTTGTTAATGTACATGTTTCTTGATTTACTTTTGATTACCTGATACTGCCGTAACCGACCATTAGTAAACTCTGGAGGACTCCATGTAAGATTGAATGAATTCACATCACTTCCGCTAAGACTAAGCTCCCGGGGAGGAGATGGCTCTAAACAAAAAGTTCAGATAAAAACGATTGATATAAAAATATGATAATGACATATATAACAAATCGTCAATCAAATCAAAAACTCTTAGGGTCAACGCTTATAAAAATTACAATGCGTCGGGAAGGTCGGATTACTCATAAATGAAAATGTATCCACTTACTATCAGCAGGAGTAAGTGTGTCAAAGACTAAGATCCTAATCCCTTCGAGATTTGCATTATTTATCATAGTCAGCTCCACTTTGTATTGGGTATCAAAGGCAAACTTATCTATCGGTAGTTCTATATTATTTCCAGCTGTTTCACTCAATTTTTCTCCATTACGATAAATATTGTATACTTGAATTTCGTCGCACTTTATTTCATCATTGTTAGGTCTCTGAAAACAGAAACACAAATCAAAATCAATCAAATCGCTTTCCATTTTCTTGAACCAGGCGAATAAGCCCGAAAGAATTACACAAATGAAACGGGAGTGCGTCGACCTTCCAAAGCAAAACTTTGCGTTCCATCATTCAAAAACGCATGTATTTTGACAAAGTATGTCATTTGGGTGGGCTCGATGGTAGGACTTGTGTTATGTCATTCTTTAGGTAATACGTAACAATTCTCTGTTCATTTCTCCAGTCTCTTCTTTGATAATTCATTCTCTGCATTGCAATTGATGCGCATTGCCTTCGTCTCGAATGAGCAAAGTTAATCGTTCTTTTTCGACAATCTCAGCTTAATAAGGGTTCTACCATTTACATACCATCCATGTTAGGCTTGTAGTAAGAGTTGATGGGCCTGTATGATCCAAGGATGGCGTAATGACAAAGTCATATGTGGATTTCAGAGTTGAATAAGTTGGATCTAAAAGTAAGAAAAGAACCATATGGTTTTTAATGCTCTTATTTTACGATGCTATTTCTAGACCATCTATTTTTTTATTTTAAGGAATGTACATTTCCTGTTTCACAATGCGTCTATGTACAATGTTTAATCGGAGTTTAATTTTGAACTGATTTAGACCAATCTAATGCTTACCTCCACATGTGATAAATGTATCACTCCAATCAGATGCAATACCCATCTTTACATCATTAGCTATATATTGATACAATGCTGACACACGGAAAACAAAACTGCTATCCTTTGATAAGTTTTCAATTCTTGCCATTGACCCAGAGCTGTCAAACGATACTATATCATTATCTTCGCCTGTGGAATTTTTGTATTCAACTCGGAAGGATTCAGTACTTGCAGTATCACGTTTGGTTGTACTCGTGGTATCTACAATATTCCATTCTATCTCAATGTAATCAGCACCCCGACTCCTGAACGTAGGTTCACCATCAATTCTATTTGCCTCTGAAATTAGAAGTGGAATTTAATCACGTTTCAATGTTCAATGATAATGCCAAAACACAACCTATGAGTTTACTTTATCCTGGTAAAAACATGTATTTCCTATAACCGATTTATCACTGTACTGTACCTTGAATTATATATTTATTATTAGCAATTTACGAAGAATCTGAAAAGAAATACAAACAAATGTACCTTGGTTACAACTGTATTTTGGATAGTATTTGTCTTCACAATCACCACTGCAAACACCATCTTCCCTCTTACATTCATCCCGTGTCTTGCAATGTCTTGTACACTCCTCTGCACAGTTGACTCCCCATTTTCCGGCAGAGCATCCTTAAATCAATTAATAGTTAAATTGTCAGACACACTCATGCATTTTGATACAATGGTCATTGTCGTTTATTTTTGAGAGCTCAAAGAGTCACGATTTGTGTCAGTACAGGAATTCATTTTAGGATGTCGTCGTTTTCTTAACAAAATGAATAATTCTACAAATCGACATAATGCTAAGTTGAAATCATTAAATAAGGATTTGATGTCTACTTATGCATTCTCTCTCGGGTCCATATCCAGCCATGCAATCTCCTGGACACCATCCATCAGATTTGACACAAGTATCACCAGCTTTGCATTTTCTGGTACATTCTATACAGGAGGCACCATAGTGACCATCAGTACACTCTAAATAAGAATAGATGAAGTATATACATGGTGTTTCATCCCCCATCAATCACCAATCCTAGATAAAAATATACCTCCTATAAATACACTCATTGATCTCAACCTCTGTACCCCTGAGTATTTTTCCAGAATCGCGTATTTTATATTAAACGTTGAGCAACTTGACAAACCAGCGTTCGAATTGCTAAAGCTAAAGGCCCGGTCACACCGCCTAAACATTGCTGGAGCGTTCCTTGAACGTTGAAAAAAATCATCAACGCTCGTAAACGTTCACCACCGTTTAACAAAAGTTGGCATCCGTTAAAGCAACGCTGTAAACGCTCGGCCAACGCGGATGTTTCTCGAGTGGCCATCCTAACGCTCCAAAAGTTTTGAGCTGCTCAAAATATTGCGAGCGTTGAAAAAGGGACAATTTTACTCCCTGGCAAAGTTTATCACCGCTCCACCAACGCCCAGTCAAAGTTTGGCACCGCTAGACGCAAGTTCGTGGACGCTTGAATCCGCTAGACCAACGCAGAAATCTTAAACGCTGGACCACCGCTGCTTCGTCAGCGTTGCCCGGGCGGCGATTAAACGTTGCACAAACGTCGGCGGAGCGGTTGTTAGCGTTTTATCAGCGTACATGGGGTTGTTGGAACGGTGTCGGACGTTGTCGCTGCGTTCCATGGCGGCGATGAACTTTGCTTTGGCGTTGGTTTAGAGGTGTCGGAGCGGGACCAGTATTTGGCTATAAATACGTGGAGAAATGCACCACTGTGTAGAACACTGTGGAGACACTTGTGCATTTTACATTTGATATATATTCATGTCTGGCATTTCAATTTTTTGCATTGTAAATTCTTAAATTAAGCGCTCAAAGTTTGTGATTTTGGATTTTAAAAAGGTGAATTATGCGATTTTTGTTTTTCATTAAATGTTAATACAAATAGATTTTTACTGAGACCTTTATTTTAATATAGTATATACCTAGTGTTTTCACGTCAACCAATTCAATAAATTATCTGTGAATTTTCTGCGCAGCTTGTAAAATGTTGCACTCGTCATGGTATTATACAAAAAGTTGATGCGCGCACAGCAATGCAAACATTTGTCATGCGTCATGATTATTGCTTTGCTGTAAATGTTATTTGACATTGTTAAAGCAATTTGAATGTAAATCGGTTCCAACTAATGGAAATGCAACGATTAAATTGTGATATGTTTGTTTGAAATGATATGAGAGATTATTAAAGAAAATTGTAATGTTATTCATTCTTAATGTCATATTACATTAATAGAAGCACTTTAGATTTAAAACATTTCTTCTTTAATCCTTGAAGGACTTTTGTTAAAGTTACAAATTCCAATAAAGGTTCCCACTTGAAATAATTTCCCAGTAGTCAAACGCGATATGCTGCTAAACCAACGCTGCTGCTATTTATACCCCCGCCGAGGCAACGCTCTCATGCGCAGAACGCCGCTATACCAACGCTCGCATTACCGCTAAACAAACGCTAGCTACCGCTCGCAACCGCATAACCAACGCTAAAGCAACGCCGGCTTCAACGGTGCACCGCTAAGCCAACGCCCGTGTTTTTGTTTTTTTCCCCATTTTGTGCGCGTTGACGAGCGTTGATGATTTTTTCAACGTTCAAGGAACGCTCCAGCAACCTTTAGGCGGTGTGACCGGGCCTTTAGTTCACATCAAAGCGCCGTTGGGCGCCCCAGGGGAATGCTTTGATCCCACATCTGACATCAATGTCATGACCCGAGCAAAGTGTAACAAGCCAGATAAAGAAATTGAAAGAAAGTGTGCTAAATTCAATGCCCTATGTGGGAATCGAACCTAGGAGCATTGAACCCAAAGACTGATGCTCTACCGACTGAGCTATAAAGGCAGGTGGACTGTAGTAGCAACTTGCTATCAAGCGTGGTAACATTAATTTAGGTAATGCAAATATAATTCATTCAAACAACGCGCCTGTATTCAAATCATAAAACTGTTAAGTTCTTGTCGTTTTCGAAAACAATTTTTCTGCACCTATATTTGTCCATCTTGTGTTGACCTGTTATGCTATTTATAACACGATGAAATCGATGTAAAATGTGTGTCTCACCATACGCCTTGATGTCGCATATTGACAATACTGAACTAGAAGAAGCAGTGTCTTTTACTCTAATTGTGATTTCATTTGCAGATTTGGAAGAACAGCCAATTGTCTCTTCATCTTTATGACCAAATACTTTCTCCTCACATTTTTCTCCACTGGGATTCATTGTCACTTCTAGTGTTTGGTTTCCAATGTTTTCTGGATCTTAAAGAAATTAAATATTAATATATAATTCTAAATCAAAAATACTAATATAGCAACAAATATAGTAACATGAGTAAAACGTTAACTAGTTAGGTCCAAATCTTGTCAAGATATCAAAGAAATCAAAACAAGAAGTATTAATTAATTAATTTATAAATATAAGATGAATACGAGGGGTATCCAAATGTTGTTTGATGGTAATTCAGGTCTGCACCTCAAAGTGTCCAATGTCAAAATGTCATATTCGCATATATCAGAATCCCAAGCTAATAAGTACATTTGCCAGGTGTATATTGTTACAAAACATGCATTGTGGTGATTTCTCTTTCTTTGCACTTATACGTGAGATAATTAGATTCTATTGTTAGTACCTCAACTAAAATACTCGATTCTGATTGGTTGATTAGCGGTCAACAATATGCAATGTAACAAATAGCTTTAGGCCAGGTAACCCTTAGATCTGATCTAGAAATATCTATTTTATACAGGTCATGTTAAATGCATGTAAAATGTTAGTAATCTGGTAACTTTAATGACCTCGATAACGGTTTTAAGAGTGCAGACCAGAACCACCAACAATCAATTTGACTATAACGTACGAACACTTCGTCGTGGTTGTAGAACTCTCTTACAGTAACACATTATACAATACAAATCTGTAGAAAAATAAGTCGTAATTTCTTATCAAGACTTAACGCCCTTTGAATAATTTAAACATTGACTTCGTTTGCCCGGTCTCCCATGATGATGCGAGTGTTTTCAGTTACTGTAGGAGAGCTCCATAGCAGAGAGTTAGGTTACATTACATGACCTTATTTTATATGTTTGAAGACAAAATCGTATTACTTGGTAAAGAAACACCGCCTACAATAACGCATATGCGAAGGGTAGTTACCAGTTTCACCACCAGGTTGCTCATTCGGGTCAGATAACATGGCGGGTAAAGTAGAAAATTCCCCTTTTCTTGAATTTTACCTGTTTTAGTGGTTCAATTTCGTATCACTCTTATGTAACTAATAGTTATGCAAATTAAAATATGTTCAGTGAAAGAAAATGTTATATGTCCAATACAAGGAAAGATATCAAAAAAAAAATAAAAAATTCAAAGTTGATAAACAATTTTCAATACCATATTTCAAGATAAAATGTTACATTTAGATTTCAATCAGTTTGACTGAATTTTTAATTGTTAATGACGTAAATCAAGATTATTTCTACTCGCATCTAGTCTTTTTAATCTATGTCAATCATAAGTTATACATTAGGAAATCTGAGTCGATTCAAATGTAATATGTTCGCTTAAAATTAAAATCATTTTTTTTTATTTTTTTTTATTGAATCAAACATAAAAGAATACATTAAAAAAGGCAAAGATGAAATATTAAACCACTTTCACACCACCTCCATTCATTCAGACATTCGCAACAGTCATACCCAGAAGTTCTGGTATATATATAAACATGGTATTTTCAAATTGAGTCACGTCCAAGTTGGGATTTACCTCATTAAATTGTTTTGCATATATATAATATTTGATTGCTAGTGATAGCCTGTTTAGCAAAGTGTTTTCATTATTTACAGATCTTCCGAACACCATATCATGGGCATTAAAATTAAGATTTACATTGAATAATTTCCCCAAATTCTCTTTAATAGCTTTCAAAAAAATCTGAACCCGCCCACATTCCCAAAACTTGTGCTTTAAAGTGTCTCTTAATGGACAGTAACTACATCTAGCATCCTGTTTAATTCCTATCTGCGTTAAGTAAGCATTTGTGGTACAAATACCATGTAGAATCTTAAATTGAAGTTGTCGAATTTTATTTTGTTTTGTGCAGCTATAAGCCATTTTGAAGTAATCTATTCTTCCTAACTCACGATCATGTTCATTTTTGTACAGTGGTTCCAAATATTTGTTTCTATTAGAAATAGAAAATTAAAATCATATCATATTATAATTTATTTCAAATGAAATACGTGAATGTTGCAGAATGTGTCATCATTACCCACAATGTTGGTGAATATGTGTAAAAATGAAAAAGAATGAAACATAATGGAGGCAATATTAGTATTTAAATTATGCCTCACCTCCTATGAGACTGTATGTGTATATGCTGTTTGATTCAGGCCCGTACTCTTGACATATATCTCCAAAGTATTTACAATTATGTTTGCCGGGTTCAAACTCAAATGCACCACAGTAACCAGACTTGTCGCATTCAGTTTTGCATTCTTGAAATGAAGATCCAGTGAGTTCTCCTTTTTTGGCATCGTCGCACTTGTTACGTGTAACACTGTAACGTAGTGGATCTGGAATAGAATATACGTCTAAAATACATGACAATTACCATTCCTAACGAAAGGCTTTGTTAAAATTCCTTTGTATAAGAAGGAAATATGAAACATTCAAGTACATTGGAAGATAATATACATCTAAAAATATATTAAAACACCAGAATCATAACTGAAATGGACATTATTTCTAACACGTATTGATATTTCTGCGTCGATATGAAGAAGTTAACCGTAAATTTTGTAAAGACATATGCTGTAGAAATACAGTTAACTTCATCACCGTATGTACAGTGATTGTCTATTATTTCAAGTGCGTGAGTGATGATTCGACAAGATCCGCAAAATTCTAACACCCCAGTCACATTTGTCGCACGGCGGCCGCAAGTCGACCGCAGAACAATTAAATCGGTGAATTTCTGTGCCGAGCGTAGAAAAACTACGCTCGCCTTGCGGCCTCCGTACGGCGTATGCAGATTTTTACAGGCCGCAGGGAAGGCGTAGAAATTATAACTCGGAGTTATAATATTTGTTAATTTCTGAGGTCCCCGTAGAAATCAACTGGCTCAACAAGATTGAATCATTATTTGTCAATGTTTAACGATCACTTTTCATTTGATATTACATCCTAGCACTTTGAATAACATTTATAAATTGTCCAGATGTAAATAAAATGAAAAAAACTAATTATTTATCGATATAAATTTAAAATTCACTGTGCGGCTGCCGTGGGAAATGTGACTGCAAAAGTATGAGAGCGCAGAAATTCTGCGGCGAGCGTAGAAAAGCTACTTGCCGCAGAAATGATAGACCGCAAGGTCGCCGTAGGAAATGTGACTGGGGTGTAAATGTCGGAGGAAAGGTATGTTTGTTTCTTTTTTCTTCACCACTGTAATATTATTTTACCTATAAATGGTATTCCATATGCTATATAAGAGACTCAAGATTCATTTGGCAAAAGGATCCAGTGATTGGCTTAACCGAAATATCCAAACTGAGTTGATAAATGAAGCAAAATCAATAACCCACCGAACGAAAATGTATATTTCATCAAATTTTCTGCTCCACAAAAGCAACATACAAATGGTTAATATACATAATTCTTAACATTCCATGTATACCAGACGTTCCCCTTCAATACCGATTAAAAAGGATGCTGTGAAAAATAATATGTGATCAGCCAAGTGTGGTAGTTTACTATGTGGATTCTTATTTTATATGTTCTTTGCATTTCAGAGTGGTTGGGTTCACATGTTATTACAGCCCTTCTATATTAACTCCTAAATTCCATTATAAACATTATAAACCACTGTAGAACATCATGTCCATGTCTTAATATTTTGTCACAGATTGATTGAGGATTTCAATGAATGAGATATCATCATATTCAGCCTTGATTATGCAGTTCCTATGAATTAGGAAGAAAACGAAACGAAATGTACACCCACATAGTGACCATTTTATTTAATGAATCACCGAATGGTGAAGTTGATTTCCCCCAAATAAATGTTCTATTTGGTTTCGGACAAAAAATGCTGCGAGAAGCCCCATTTTTCTTCTGATGATCAAAATCAAATATTTCTGGGTGTCTGGTCTGCTGAAACTCACACTATAGGTTGATCCATTGATTTCTGTGTTTAATATATATTCTATGTTATTAAGAGGAAACGTGAATTTTATCATGGTCAAATGGAAGCCCAAACCCCAACCTTAGTATAAAAAATTAAAGAGTGTAAAATGGTCTTTTGTTTTTCATATTTGAAATCTTTTCAAATAAAATAACACATACACTGTATATATCACACTTATATTCTCACATCGTAAATTCCATCACATATACGAAAAATGGTCAAACTGATATATATTTTTCAAACCATATGGGTATTATGGTGCCTACAAAACCTATTGAATCACCAGTAGCCTATAATATATACAATGCATTTGGATTTTGCGGATCTTGTCGAGTCATTACTCACGCACTTGTAATAATAGGTGATCACTGTATATATGCAGTGTTCATAATCTTTCAAATTGTTAGCAATAATACATGCATTGGTCGACACGTCTTCAATTAAGGGATAACAATACTTGATATATTAGTGTTGCCTGATGGCGCAGTGATATCGAGGCTCAAAATAAACAATAAGCACTGACACTAGAAATGGGATCAATGATCCGTTAGATCCAATCTAGCACTTACCACCCGTAAGTGCATAAACATCCATTGCCCATGGTCCTCCTGTACCAACTGCCTGCTCACCATTCCTGCTACTGCCTGTACACTTATCTGAAGTGCCATATTTGTTATATGTGCCGTGTCCGTCCCTTGAAGTATAACAAATTCCACCATTTTCGACACAAATTATTTTTTTATCATTGGCCGTTACAGCAGTGAAGCACTTCTTCACTTCCAATACTCGATTCCAATACTCATCGTTCAAATAATCAATATCCTCGCCATCAATGTTCCAATCCAGTGCTCTATCCCAGTCGTCCCCAAAACATCCGAAATATGTATACGGAAGAGCTAGATAAAAAGAAAAGTAAACCTGTTTAATCCGATTCATTGCATTTTTCGTGTATAATAGTATACACAAGACATACACTCCCCTCCATAAGTTTGGCAACCTTTTTCCCCCATTGAACTGCGTGTTAAAGCCTCTTTACGTTTGAATTTTTATTTATTTAACCGGTGATGAAATAACTTATAATATTGATGAAAACGTAATTTGACTTTAATTCTAATACCTCCAAATTTTCTCAATTTTTTTCTTCAATTACAATAGGTCGAAAATTGATGATAAATTTGATGAATTTTTGAAAATCGTCATTCCCATGTAATCCAATGGGAAATGGAGGGTTCGGGGCAAATCAGAAATCAGGATATCTTTTCAGTAAAAGATTCAGCAAAAAATATTTTCATATAGAAAATTGAATTGTCTAACTTTTTTGAACACTAAGTGTTTAGTTTATTTGATGAATATTAAAGTTACAGCGCTTCAAAGTCATTTTTGAAAATAATTTTTCGCCTCCTGTGTTATTTCAATGGGAGAGTTTTTTTGAAAAACAATTTTGACTTTAAAGCCCTTTAACTTTGTTGAACCTGAAGAAACATATCAATTTTTTGTTAAATAAAGTTAGCAAATTCAATTGCCTGCCTAACTCGTATTTTTTGCAAGGACTCGGATAGATGGATATTCTGTCATATGGCTTGCGGCAGACCTACCATTTCCCATTGGTTAACATGGGAATGTCGATTTTCAAAATTTCATCAAATTTATCATCAATTTTCGACATATTGTAATTGAGGAAAAAAATTGAGAAAATTTGGAGGTATTGGAATTAAAGTCAAATTACGTTTCCATCAATAGTATAAGTATTTTCATCGCAGGTTAAGTAAATAAAAATTCAAAGGTAAAGAGGCTTTAACACGTAGTTCAATGGGGGAAAAAAGGTTGCCAAACTTATGGAGGGGAGTGTACATGTAAATCAAACAACTCTATGGTAAGTGAAATAAATATCGACTACCTGGCAACACAAATTATTTTTAAATGATAAAAGTGTGCGCGCCCCTGCACTTACGTACCTCCAACAGTGATTCGTAAACTATGCACGTAAAACTCCCTGCCAAATGATAATGTGAATGTTGGTTCCTCACGACCATTAGTACGAGCACATGTTGTCGCATCACCATCAGTAGCTAGTGATGCCCGATAATGTATCTTCTCATCATTATCATTGAACTCATAGTAAGTTGACGACTGGGCTTTTATTGATATCGGAATCACTTGGGTATTTGATGCAGCACATTCAACATCTGGAACGTTCAAAAATGAATGACAAAGACAATGCATTTAGCAACTGGAAGTGCTTGGTTATTTAAGTTCCCGATCATAACTTCTAAAACAGAATACATTTATTTCCGGTACTACGGAGAATTTGCCTATACTCACATGTTAGTTTTTAACGCTTATTGTACACAAATTTATAACATTAGGACATGTTAGTACACTTAGATAGTAACTATATATTAATCAATTATAGAAACTTCATATATCCAACAGTTTGTATATACTATGACGCTGAAATAAAAATAATATTTCGTTTTACAGTTTAAATGTTACCATTCATTCAAGAAGTCGGTAATTCTTATTTTCTAGTGTACATCGTACATACCACAGTCTACTGTACATATCCAGATTGATGTACATGTTGTGTGATATTTCAAATTAACACGCATTAAGCTGTTAAGACAAGAACCCAATCCATTACAGATGTTTCGTTTAGTGTAGTTCAATGTGGACTTTTGTATTGAAAAACAAACATTTGAAATCAATCACATTTACATATGCAATATTTCAAACTAGTCAATTGTTAATAAAATGAAAATGATAATTTACATCTATAGGTATGGGTAATTTACATCTATAATGATGATACACAAATAAACATAACAGAGGCATTGATCCTACGACTACAATACGCTTGACAATCAAGCAAGACCTACCTGGCGATGTTCACCTGTACTGTTAACATGTCTCTCCTTCTTTTGATTTACTTTTGTTGAATTGTTTTTTGAAAATTACAGTATCAAATATATGTCAAATATTTTTTTTGATAAAACAGAGTGACAAAGACATATTGAAGACAAACATCAACCCTCTATCTTCTATTCTACTTCTAGATTATCTTAAAATATGGTCGTTTGAAATATCTTTAATAATTCATTGATTGTATCAACCGTTTGGATCAGAATTGTGTCACTAAAACTGTCTAAAATTGCTCTTAAAAACAAATCCGCTCGATTCGCACATAGCAGTAACGTTGAGGTCTTAAAGAACCCATACAAATAAGCGTTGACCTTAAATATCCTTTTTACCTTTAAACATTTTTGGACCATGTTTATATCAGATCGACCTAGATCATCAGAACGTTGATTTTCAATAAGATAAAATATATGTGTAAATATAATATAATATTAACGTACCTTTGTTGATGATCAAAACCGCTAATGTTATATATACGCCAAACATCATGGTATCCCATAACATCAACCGAAATTCACAGCTTTCGTAATTTCCATTACATTTAGGATTATGTTATTATGTTGCTTTAATATAAGCTCGCCTAATAAGTTCCCGACTGTCAGTAAATTTACAAGTTACTTGTTGGCTGTTTACCTTTGTAGGATTTAGGAGAAGCATACAGTTTATTCAAAATGATCGACAAGTGGTCTTAACAGTGTTAATATTTTCTGCTTCTACTTCCTCGTTGAGCATTGCATTGTAGGACTAAGCCCAATACATAAAGGCGACATGACGTGCACAACTCAATTCATACAGTCGAATGAATTATTTGCTCATATACACCCTTTCAATCCTAAACGGTTCAGTTCCAAACAAATGTTATTTTATCTGAGATCAATTTTACTCAGTATGAAGTTCTTGGATTCTTTGTGTGGTTTGTTACCTCTGGTTTCTGAGATTTTTTGAGACCTCATGTGTTTGGTGCTGTATCCTGGAAGGTTGTAAATACGCACGCTTATGTACCAGTTTAGAGCCATTCGTTTCCAAACGAGTTAATACTAAATTGAATGTCAAGGATATTTCTGCCGAAGTTATTTCAAGCGACACTCTGCCTTAAACTAAACACAGCTTTAGTATTTATATGTGCTTAGTCTAAATTAAGCAACCATATATACTTTAAATAAGTACGTATACTTGTGTGTTTACGATCAAACTAACGCATACATGCTGGGACAGAAGAAAATCATATATCACACTTAAATAAATGTGCACTATGCTTTGGTAAATGAAATAGATTTTCGTCATGAATAAGGTGTAATAAAATCAGCCACAGTATACTAGTAAATAGCATTTCTTTACTGTTCATTAACAAATATTGCATTTTTTGGGTTTTCCAATTTTGAATTTGATATTTTTCTACTCGAGTTTAATTTGTCTTGTATCTATACATATTGCAAATCAGTTATTCTGTTAACTGAATAATTGTATTCCTCAGATGGAAATCTAGAAATTGCTGTTGACCCCTACGGTAAAGGTTAGCAGCCTCGGTTTATAATAATCACATTTGTATACCATAAGAATTAAAAATTGCTCCCATTCAATAAATCTTTTGACAACTTCTGGCGTCACAAACCTTTTTACCTTTATAGCGTGAATAAAAGAGCATTTATATAAACTACAGAGATTTACATTGAGATTTGTGTAATCAGAAAAAAACTCGTTTCGTAGAATAAAACGGAGACAATGGCCCATATTCAATTTCAATATAATTTGAAACAATACTTTCGACAATAAAAAGAAAAGATAATAAGTGCCATGTTTCCGGATAGGTTATTTTCAACCTTGAGGTATGAGTTAATCTCAAACACGGAAGGACAAACGCTCAAAACATTTCCACAAAGCTTAAATTAATTTATGAAATTGCAGCAATTTAAAGAGGATTATTAATGTTCTATTTGGTGGCAGAAATTGAACTTAACACCCCAGTCACATTTCCCACGGCCGCCATGCGGTCTATCATTTCTGCGGCCAGTAGATTTGCTACGCTCGCCGTAGAATTTCTGCACTCTCATACTTTTGCAGTCACATTTCCCACGGCAGCCGCACGATGAATTTTAAATTTATGTTGATACTAGGATGTAATATCAAATGAAAAGTGATCGTAAATTATTGACAAATAATGATTCAATCTTGTTGAGCCTGTTGAACTTACGGGCACCGGAGAAATAAACAAATATTATAACTCCGAGTTATGATTTCTACGGCGACCCTGCGGCCTGTAAAAAACTGGATACGCCGTACAGAGGCCGCAAGGCGAGCGTAGTTTTCCTACGCTCGCCGCAGAAATACACTGATTTAATTGATCTGCGGTCGACTTACGGCCGCCGTGCGACAAATGTGACCGGGGTGTTAAATAACTATTTTTATATGACATTTCAACAAAATGACTTGGTGATAATTTTTCTTGATATTTTACACTGAAATATATTTCTATATGATCATTTGTAGGCCATAAAAAGCTGATGCTTTGTTAAAACGTTCCTATTGTGTTCTTACAAATAGAAATGCAGAACCCAGTATGGCTACAAACACTACGAGTATGGCAAGTGATTAATACAAACAGGGAAAAACTTATAATCATCACAGGGACAAATTTCTAAACGTCCGCGTCCATGTTTTTTAAAACATGTAGCGACGTATTCCCCCTTTGAATGAATGTGACCAGGAGGAACAAGCTCAATTCCCGCATAATTCAAGTGTTGATTTTGGTACAAAGATGTTTGTGATTAATCGAAATAAAATAATAACCAGAAAAGGTGATAAAAACAAGAATAAACGGTGCTGAACTGAGCTAAGCTCATACAAGTAGCCATGTCTCACTACTTCTCATTACATTTCCATTTATTTCCTAGAAAGTCTAATCGTCGGTTATACAACATATCTTTTGCATTGGCTCTAAATGACCGAAGATGGTGTGTTTTAACAAATATTAAAAAACAAAACACATCTCTGTCCGCATACACGTACGTATACTCTGTTGCTGCGAGTTCTCGACATTTTGACAACCATGATTTATTGCGGGAAATGAGATTATTTTTTTATTTTGATTTATTTTCAGTTTTTTAATTACATATCGCTATCACTTTTAGCTGGATAACCATCGATATCCTTGTGTTATTTAGTCAGATTGTGTGTGAGATCTCCAGCCAAAATTGTCATTTAGAATCATAAATACAAAATTTTTAATACGGATCAGATTACAGATTGTCAAGCGTATGAAGGGGACTGTAAAACATGACAAACAGCTTAAACATTTTTTGCGATTGGATTTGTGATGGAATTCGTGACAACGTAACAGCGTGGTCTTACTCCATTAACAGGTACAAATTCTGGTAAAATACGTCATAAAATGATAAAAATCTACCATCCCACCAAATATCATAAAGATATACAAGAATATGAATGCGTACGAGCCGGTTACTTTAAATGTTTACACTGAAATTTTTTCTTGAGAATGCCGTCATAGAATATAGTGGAAGACCACTACCTTTTTTAATAATCACCGCTTTTATGCCGTCAACCTCCAAGCTGCGTACTTTAAAAAGTTTGAGTATTTTTGTTGTACTTTGTCTTTCAGCCTCTGGGTGCTTCACATAAACATGTAGCTGTTGGATCAAGGGTTTATTTGACTTGTCTTGCCATTCAAACATTTATTCTTATTTCTCAACTTTCTCGCTCCTTTCTATTTTTCAGAAACTGATTTAATCTTCCACTCTATCATTTAATAGGTACAATACCACTGCATGCAATGTAAATAGATAAGTACAAACATCCTGAATCGTGCTAGAAAATTTCTAAAGTGAGGTAGATTTATACCTCAGACACATTTGATCTTCGGCAACCGTACGTTTCACGGTCAGCTTGCGACTCCTATAGCAGTGCATGGGATACAACTGACCTTTACGAGCCCGCATGGCCCCTACGACCGCGGCGGCGCCTTGCGTTTGTCTTGGTATTTGTCAAATGGGGGGGGGGGGGCGTTGTTGCCCACTGATATTATTATTATTATTATGAGCTTTATTATACTTGTATCCCACATTTGGGCAAAGTGTACAGCTTAAACAGAAAAAAATGAAAAAGCTTAACTAATTATTATCTATATATTATATTAACTAATCAAAGGGTGCTTGATCATTGCACGATTTTTTTGGATGCATTTCGTGTTTTTTTCTCTCTTGATAAAAATATTAGATATATATTTTGCTAGTATATTTAATATTATTTCCTCTGAATTAAATAGAAACATTAATTTATATTCCACGTTATTCATGTTTTCTAAATGTTGACAGTGTTTTTTTTATTTTATTCATGTAACTTTACCGAACATCTTTTAACTTATTGCATTCTAATAGGAAATGGCACTCTGAACCGGTTTCCTTGTTACACATTAAACATTTTCTTTCTTCAATAGGGGTTATTGGTTTTGTGTAACGACCTGTTTCGATTTCTAATTTATGTGCGCTAATTCTTAGCTTTGTCAAGTTATTTCTGTCTATTTCATTTTTGATTAAATCCAAGTAGGGTTCCTTGTTCCATTTTGCTTTTATTATCTTATAAAACCTCAATTTACCATTATTTGATTTTATTTTAGTTTCCCAAAATTGTATGTATCTTTTTTCCAGGAATTTCTTAATTTCTCTTGGTTTTAAGTTTAAATAGTTTGGTGAAGTACCATTGTAAATATATTTAAGTACATCATTGATGTGTGTGCCACTGATATATTATTGGATACGGTGTAAAATTGTTTTATATGATCGTAGAAACTATTGAATACCGAGAGAGAAATCATGCCGGTGATAGTAGTGTTCACTGTTTATGCAACCATTTCTACATGTCCTCTGCAATCCATGTAACATGTAACCTATAGAATACTTTAGAATTGAACACATACTAAATATAATTCCCATGTACAAAGATTTAATTTGCGATTAATTGAATAATTAGGTACATCATTGATCACTCATTACAAAATAAAGCTATGGTAATATATGTACCTAAGTATTAATAAAGCTCAGCGCTATATCACAGATGTGAAGTGAAAAGTCCCGACCAACGCCCATGTAATAACCTACCATCTGGTGCCAACGTATAGAATGCTAATCATGTATAGTTTTAAACTTTTGTGCACTACATGTGACCATTTTCCTGACACTGAAAAACATCCAAGTTTAATGTTTTATGGGAAATATTTGAATTTATGGTAAAATGGATTATAATCAATTGTAAAGTATAAATACAATGGATCTTATTATTAAATGATTGATAGCATGGATTATATATGAGAACACGAATATTGTGGTTCTGCTGGTTGCTAAAGACAGCTCATATGGAAGAATACGATAGTTATTTTCACAAAAATGTTTAGTGGAATTTTATACACATGGGACTAGCTGATGTCAAAGTATACAAAAAGGAGAGAAAATGATTTTATCAATGAGAATATGTGTAACTTTGGTGTGCGGAGTAATAACGCCGTGTTTAGGTAAGTACTCGTCTGTAAATATTTTCCAGTTCTCATTTATTCATTAAAAGAAATTTAAGTATGATACAATATTAAATTGCCTAAGTCTGTGAATATTGAATGCAACATGTACCTGTATCATACATGACTGTAAAAAAATCAAAAACGGTATACAATTCTCTGAAATTCTTCATTACATTATTAGTGGAGACACTCTAAACACACTGGAAATATTGTGTCTTCGTTGGACTTTAGCCCCTGTCTGGTAACTAGCACCGTTCGGTTTATAACCCTCCACCGATTGAGTGTAGCCTTTCTATAATTAAGGAAAATTTGTTATTCGGTCAATATTTGCGATCTATTTTGTCCAGTAAATGTACTATTAGAACAACAGAAGTATTTAAATAACAATTTGAGAAAATACAATAAATGTCACTCTACTTAAATATCTTTTCCTTAAATTAACACTATTTGAATATGGAAACTGCATCTGAAAGTACACCAGCCATAAGGAAACAAATACAACATTCCCTAATAATGATCTAACATATAAAGGAATACTTTGAACCCAATTCCCACCATTCAGATAGCCTCATCTCGAAACCACGGGGCACTGAAATAATGTATACTTAAAAAACAAATACTGGAGAAATAGAGAATTCAGTCATATAAAGTTAATAAATTTCATTAAAGGCGTTCTAAAGCTGCTAATAGATTTTCAAAATATATGATATAACTTGCTTTATTTCCCACGTAAAAATTGTAATATATGTTTTATCATCACAGTATAGCATCGTGCGCCATATGTTCATAATTAATAATTAAATGTGACCTCCCTCTCTCAAATTTACATGTACTATAGCATAGGATCGTAGACATATCCATTTTCCAACTGTAATTTGTAAAGTGATTAATTAAGATGTGAGCTAACCCTAATGCAGGCAACCATTTTTCATAAACCATAAACTGTCAAGTTTAGATGGCCCCCCTCTCAATTACTTTGATGTTGCTCTTGAAGAGCAATTTTATTTATTTCCTAAAATATGTTACACAACTAACGAGTTGCATATATCATCATCTAACATTTGTCTTTCAGGTAGTTTTGTTCTGAGTGAATGCTATGGGGCAGTACTTGGGCTCAGTTGTCGCTATGGTCACAAAATACACGTCATAGAGGACTATTTTGGTCTCAGTAACCGAACATCGGGCACTGACCAATGTAAGTCTATGGACGGAGATTGTGTAGTGAAGAGCCGGAGAGAAACTAGTGTTATACACAGGTTCTGTGAGGGACAACAGACATGTAATAGATTCCAGGTGGATAGACGTCATTGTGGGGAAAATCAAACTAATTATGAACAAGTGAAATTTGACTGCATTCCAGGTAACTTAATCATTTTTTAAATGTATTATTTTATTCTGTATAATGTGAAGATGTGTCATTGCTATGTTCGATATTAACTGTTAATCTTGTTAAAAAAACATGCAATTTATTTTTCAGAATCATCAATTAGTGATATATGCATTCCAACAAAATACGAAACTAAACTTGGTTACTTATCCAGCCCGCTGTTTCCGAATGAATACAGTCCTAATCTTGACTGCCAATGTACATTAAAAGCCTCAGATCCTTATGTTAAAATAGAACTTGAAACGATACACTTTATCGTAAAATTTGACACTCCGTGTAAAGATTGGCTGGAAATCGGTATGGGAGACCAGAAGAGGAAAGTATGTGGACCATACAGAGCTACTTTGTTAAGTGATGTATATGCACTAAAATTCCACTCTGACAAAGCCAATGGTCACCAAGGATTTTGGATGAAATTTTCAGGTGGGGTATCACGTTAGGGAAATATGCTAATTTGAAAAAACTCGGAATAAATCTAAATGTTTAAGTTTTCCTTATTATACACATGTATATAAATATTTTTTTTATAAAACGTAAATGAATCCGATGATATTGATATAGCTGCTGAATTATCCGGGTCCTTATTCTTTCAAACTAATGATATCCTCATGCAAGTTAACCCTTTATAACGTATGTCTCTATGGCAGCTAATCCATCTTTATTCCAGTTTATCCCCCTAAATCCAATGCCACTGTGAAAGTTGAGTGTAATATGATCCAAACAACTACTACTACTACAACAACTACCACAGAGGCGACTACAACTGCCCTGGCGACAACACAAGAATCTGAGGAACTCACTGACCTATATGACACTCTTGGAGAGGAATATGACTACAAGGACTATACTGAATATATCCAGGACTCCAACGAGGTAGACGAAGACAAGTACAAAACAACAGCCACTTCAGCAAGCACAACTAAATATAGAAAACCAACAACACAAGAAAGCACAGATAGTAACACTTTAGTTGAAACCGATGATCCCGATGAGTATTTTGAACTTGAACCAACCTATGCAACTACAAGTGCACGACCAGTGAAGAAAAAGAAAACTAAACTTAGGAAAAAGAAAGTTAAACTTAGAAAAGAGAATAAGGGTAATGAAGTGCAGCTGTCTCCTACGAGTGATACCTATTTACTAGAAGAAGATCTCGAAAATCTCGATGGGTTAATTATCGAAGAGGAAAATGATGCCAATATGACATACCCTAATGGCACCCTTATTAGCAGTTACGAAGGTGAGTATATCCCAGTGAAATAAACCTAATGTATTCCTAAATATGAAGGGATGTCAACATAACATTATATTGCTATATTCACTATTTTCTGTGATAGATGTGAGATACATCGAAAATAATCATAATCAGGTGTCCAATACTGTACTAAAAAGTGTTCATACTTACAGACTCTATCGCTGAAGATACGGACAAGCGAAAGGCTGTCAACAGGATGACGGGAATCATCATCATTGCCATCTGTGTTGGTGGCATTATTCTCCTGATCACCATCCTTGGTATACTCTTATGTGTCAGTAAAAGGTATGGCCGTTTTGCATTTTGAAGCACCATTTGCGTTTATAGCACGTGTTTGCATTTGTAAGTGGGATGTCAGCTTACGCTTTGAAACGTTGATACCTACTGTAACGTAACCCATAGCTCGCACATATTGATCTCATCTCGGTAATTAAATATTAACATCATTACGACCAAAAATATTACTTGATATGTTTTCTGTTGGCTACTTGTCTTGGAGACATTGTTGCAATAATTATACTCTTGAATTTAGGCGCAAGCCAAAGAAAAAAGAGGAACGGTTACGGAAACGAAGACTACAACAACGCCTGAACTCACTGAGCTTTTACGACAGCATTCCATTGTACGACAGTGTTGGTCGTAAAACGGTTCCTCAGGGAATGCAAGAACACCATGGTGTCTATAATGTCGGTATGGCTAACATGGTACCAGCACAGGCTCAAGGCCCGTATGACACTGCTCCAAAGCCCCCTGGTTGGAAAGACTGGGGGAGTCAAGAGGGTGGGTCGGATAAGGACAGTGCTGTGTATGCTGAGTTAAGTGACAAGCAGTCCAGAGGTGGTAGAAGTGAAGCAGAGGACACGCCAGATAGATCCAGGAAACCAAGAAAAGAACACCATGATGATTTGGACAGTGGTGTGAGTCTTAAAGTGCCAAAAGAGAGAAGCCTTGATGATGTGTATACTCATGTCTAATGTTTGAATACAAACAACAAACGTTGTTAAGGTTTATATAGTTTCTTAACTATAATAGGGAACAGCACTGTTCTGAAGAACGTGTACGTGGAACGTGTAATATTATAGTCCTAGATGGGCTAGTTATCCCCATTGGCCTTCAATTGCCCGATTGAGTATGAAGATGTGAGGGAAATAGTTGTAATAAGGTCCAAGTTTAGACTAATTCAGAGGTGGGCAACAATTCCCGTTGGTCATATTGTAACACGTTAACGTTCAAGTTCTTCCAAATACGTGTAACTAAACCTATTCAAAATTACAAAAATATTTGATTCCATTGAGGTGAATACCTGTTCATCTGTGTCACAGGTATTCATCGAAAATGGAATTACATATTTGTTTTATCATTCACTGTTATATTCCTCACTCACATATATTGAATAACAAACCTTTGATGTCTAATTTATCATGACAATGTACTCCCGTGGATATGTAAAATAAAAATTACATGGACTAAGTCGTGACTGGTGAATATAATTTGAAGTCACTGACTGAAGTCAGTGACTTCCGTTGAATATCGCTTATTATTTTTTAGTCACGTGTAGGACATGGACCAATCAGAGAGTCAGGAATATGTCAGTGATATGATAAGCATATGTAGTGTACGTATGACAAAGGGCTAGGCCAAATTCAGCATTATTGACCCTGTTTATACAAAATAAATAAGTCAACAAAATTGACGTTTGCAAATATGTGTCATATCATATTAAAAAAGACTTGAAGTACTTTAACATGAATACATTTTATTTTTGCTTAGTCCTTTCCATCTATACATACATTTGTAGATACATTTTTATTTAGAGTATTTTCTTTGATCATCTTTTCAATAAAAAGTAGGTCCTCATAATGAATTCAACACATTTGAAAAGTTTATGGGGGCTGGTTAAGATGACTATCACAAAACTGTTTTTAAAGCAAGTTACTCATAAAATTATGAGTTTATCCTTTACTTTTTATGTTATATAACTGATATGTTCAACAGTTGGTGAGAATATTTCACGTGTATTTATTTTAATATCAAGCTTTTGCAAACTTGATTTTTTGAAAAGTTGTTAATTGATTTATCGTACAAGCATCTTGCATCCAATTTTAATATATTTACAATGATAGGTCCAAAATTTCTAGTAGTACCTTCTTCTCAATTTGAATTCGCTGGTGTCCGAATGTTCTATTTGCTCATCATGATGAATACGTTTGTCTTTAGATTTGTCATGTGTCTGTGGTAGAACTACGGCTGAATTTTAGTATAATGATCACCAAGCGTATATGTTGTCTCGAAGGTTGCACAATTGTATAGATTGTATATAGTTTATATTATATTTGAATTAAAATGTGTAATCATTCGATGTACTGTGTATATAATTCATAAGAATAAAAGAAACTTAATTATGTTTGTATTTCCTGTTAGTTCAATTCAAGGACACAGTAGATCTAAATGGACTTTACCTAAGCACGGTATGTGTTAACCCTGCCATGCTTAGGTATAATTGGACGCTTTTTCGATTAATAAACACATGTAGCTCGACAATAAAATTGACACATATTGGCAAAAAATAGTAGATTCACATGACGTTATGAATCAATTCAGTCATAATTATCTGAAACAATATCTGTTTTGAATACATTAGATTGTACCACTCATTCTGAATCTCACTGGATATGTAACAAAACATTTATTACTCTTTTAATTATTGGACGGTCAAAAATCGACGATGGGATTCCTTAGGAATGGATTGGTATTTTGGATGACAATCATATCATTGATGAATGGGAATATGTGTCAAGGTGGGTTGATTTCATAATACATCTGTCAACATCAGCTGTAAAATTACATTCAGTATATTATTTCTACAGAGAATGGTGTATGTTCTATTAAATCGTATAAATATTTCGATTCCGTCGGAATTACACCAAAGTACAACTTTGGACATAGGAACTCCACTATTTACTGTACATTAAAACTTTCTGTGCATATGGATATCGTGACCCGTTTCCAACGATCTCTGAATGCAAAACATTGACAGACACGTAAATAAGTGTCTGGCCTATAGCTAACTGAAACATGGTTTTAATTGTACAACGTATAATTATTCTGAATTGCAATTATACACTTAGTTTAACCGCCATAAGTGTGTTAGGTTACATTTTGTCTTGGCAGTGCAATAAAAAGCGTCGCTTCAAATATGCATTCAATATATTTTCAATTGGTGTAAATTTTACCAACCCACGACATGTGTATGATGAATGGATCTAGTAAGATTTCAATTTTCCTCATTATTTTATTGCATTAAATAAGGAACATATATTTTTATAATTCACTGATTATGTATAGCAACCCGACAATATCAGATTTACAGTTTGCATTGTTTTATCAACAGGTACATGTATACCATGTATTCTCCAGGAGGGATTTGATATGTGGAATATCACAAGGTTGATATCATTATTAAGAAATATGATTTACATTAGGGCATCGCTAATAAGATAAACATCTGTAGCTGTCATCGTCAAAAACCTTAAAATATCCATCGTTTAAGATGGAGGTTCGTTCAAAAGTAACGATGGTGGTAGATCGTATATATTAAAACTGAAACATATTTCGATTCAGTACTAAAGATACTGCCCCTAATTATTAAACAGTTGCATCGATTTTAGTTTTTATTTTGTTTAAGATATTCCAAGTAAGATCATAAAGTTTAAGCACAATAAGGAATACACTTTTGTAAATACTTTTTCAGATTATAATTTTTCATATGGTATATTTTTGAATAAAATGTAATTTAAAAATCTTATGCAGGCAAGCTTCTGAAACTGTTAGTAGGGGTGTCAGAGAAACGAAAATCTCATTTGTTTTATCTGGCTCGTCAGAAAACAGATCTCTAACTTGCAAAAAAGTCCATTGGCGTAAAGCGATGTATAGACATCAAAAATCGGAATTTAATACCATGATATCAACGTAACGTTAGGATATGAGCCTTTGGGCCTAGATTTACACTTACATCGACACAATGTATATTTAGAGGAGTGCACCGAAATGGAATGTGCGTGCGACGATCAAGACATAATGGAAACTGAGTTAAGTGGAGATTGCCTAGAAGCTGGAGGGAGTGTTTCAAGAATTTGGAAAACAATGTGTAATGTACCAGGAGAATGTATTGAATGTTACTCTGACGATAACTGTATGTTGACCACCCCTGGGTACCCTTACCTAGGACAACGTATACCTAAATGCAACTTGGATCCAAATGGAGTTAAGGATAACAATTACTGTGGTGAGTGTAAATTGTGTTACGACACAGATAATCAAGATGGAGAAAGGATGCACTCATGGAAACAAATTTTACTTAAGTCATATTCGTCAGTTCACGCAAGTTGAGGTCTGGGTTCGTTTAACAAATCGATTTTGATCATGAGTTTCTGACTAATTTCAACCAAGAAACAAAGCCAAACAAACATTAAAAAACTTTAAACCTTTCCAATAAAGACTCCCAGTAGACAAACAAATGGAGGTGCTTTGTGATCCAACTATATATCGTTGATATTTTTAAGGCGAGTGTAAAGATGATGAAAAGTCAAGTCAAGTGTGCATTGATGAGTATGGTTTTACACGGGCGATATGCAGAGAAAGACAGTGCATGGAATGTATGGATGATGAAGACTGCAAAGCGACCACAAATGCATTCCCAGTGTGTAATCTAAATATTCCTCATGAACAAAACAGTGAACTGAAACTCCATATGTGTGGTAAGAACTCGATCACTACATCCGATTCTCATCTATCATGGTTGACAAACAAAAATGTCCCATTTTAAAAATGTCCCAAAAGCTCTTTTTAAGCGTTAGAGTTTTTTTAGTAAGCTCCACACACACTTGCCAATATAAGAATTTAATCGAATAATTTCTTAAACCTCCATGAATCGGTTTTATTTTGTTTAGGGGAATGTTATGACGATTCCGTGAAAGGGGAGGATGGTCAATACTCGATCAGTGACCAATGCATACAGTCAGTGGGTGAAGAGAGACCATATTGCATGAATCGCATTTGCCATAGTTGTTTGGAACCCCTGCACTGTCCAAATTCTGATAAATGTGAATATGGTGAACACTCAGAGTTCTCCACGGAAACTGTGTTAATGTGTGGTATGTCAGGATAAGTTTTTTTCAATAAGTTTTTATTTCAGGTTAGCAGTATTACAATTACAGTAGATACACAGTGAAATTAAAAGTGATTTGTTAAGTTACGTCTTTCTGATCAAGATAAGTTTAATTGTGGCATGATATGTTTATATGCCTTGAAGAGAGCTCCACTTATCGTACAATTAAATGAGGTTCACTCATCTGAAAAATGGTAATATATAATAACCATATCATATTTGGCTTTGTCTTCTTTAGGTGATCCCCATATTCGACACAGTATCCAAACAACAAATTCCAAAATTCCGGAAAAGCTTTGCTATGAGTATTTTGGAAGACCTGGTGCAAAATACACGTTCCTTTCTCAAAACGACCTGAGTATGTTAAAAGTAAAGTAATCAAACTTAATGAAGCATGTCATGAAAAGTTTATAGTCACCTGATGAACAAAATCAAAGTTCCTAAATTATAAATGAGTGTAAAAAGAAGATCAGCGGTAGTTAACACCTTGTTTTGAATGTATATTGAATGTGTGTTGTCATACGTAGAAGCGAATGTTACAAGCGAATAGGTTCGTGGACTTAGTCCCTCTTATTACCCCTCTTCATTCATCATTTTATTGGTTTCAGAAATCATAACTGAATTTACGCAAGGAGAAAGCCAGATGCAAAAACGAGTGTCGAGGTTAGATATATCATACGGCAAAAATCTCAAGAAAAAGGTGGTAATTGACCAAGAAGAAGTTCATATTGGCACCAGTGTAATCAAACCTTGGACAATATCAAGGTAAACTACGGGAAAGTTTTTGGATATACGTGTATTTATTGACGGGTTGACATCTATTTGTACATCTATAGATATTTATCTACTGAAGCAACCGATCTACTTTCCTCGACATAATGTAGGTCTAATAATATTCAAGATATTTCGTATTAGATATGAAACTTATTCCGAGTTGCTCCTTAGCCGTTCATGATTGTATCATTTAAGAGATGAACTAACGCCGGTTCAAATTAAGATAGAAATCACATATTTCCGAACACGGGCTATAGAACTCGCTGCACTTATCTTGATCTTAGCTGCGGTCGAAGGAAGGTGGTCGGTGATCTCATGACCCATCTCCAAGTATAAATACATAAGTTATTTTTGATGTCATGCGGATTTATTATGTTAAAGCACTGCTATATTTCTCTATCAGTTTTAAAACTTACATAAACAATAATCAACAAAATCATTAACAATACACTGCATTTTAGGAAGAAGTTGAGCAATGGTGTTGAGATTTCGGTTACGCCATCATCAGTTGATGTATTCTTCCAAAACCTAATCCTGGCTGTCAGCAAAACAGCGACAGGTTTAAACTTGGTTGTTAAAGAAGAGTATGGCTTTCCAAAAGACGCTGCTGGCATTATAGGTATATATCACACAATTAACTAAATATCAACGTCAAAGAGTAACACTACGCACCCGTCCGAAAGCCACCACATACTCAACCAAGTTGTTCCGTTATATTAGATGCTAATATTGCCCTTTGCGTTTGCTTTTTAAATAGGTATAATGGCAAACAAAGCAAGTCTAGAATTGAATGGTGAGAACGCCATTATTCATCTAGCAGGTTTTGGGGAACACGTTGGTTATGATAATCGAAAGAAATGTTGGCATTTAAGAGGAGTCTCAACGGACATTCACAAGTACATTCTTCACAACACGATTATTAAAGACTGATTATAAAACACCAATGAAAGGGTACTGAAAATAAATATCGCTTAAATAACTAAGACTGGATCCAACCGATTACATTGCCCGGCTGGAAAATTTTGATTCAGCTGTGACATACAATATGTATTGAGAATTGAGAAATCAATGTGAATAGATTGAACATGACTAAGAAATACTTTAAAAAATTGTTCCCATTAGTCTTGAAGTTTATGAAATGTATACAAAAGTACAAAAAATGCCAAAGGAGTAATCAGAAATGCTGCAGTTGTTTAAGATTGTCATAATTTAAATCGATATAAGCAGTCTAGTGCAAAATGGAAAGGATCAAAAGTTGTTATGGACGAACCTTTAAGAAAAAGCAATCTCTTAGTGTTACCACTCATAAAACAAACACCATATTACGTATATTCCAAAACTTGATCTCGCGTGATTAAAGAGACTGAATCCTTAAAGACTCATGAGATCTCTTTGCAAATATGTTTTGAGTCGACAGGCGACTTGTACCTGTGCAAAATATATGTCTTGTTATTTCTGGTGTTCTTTAAGTTGTTCATAAACATGAGTGTCTGCATTATCAGCTCGCACGCCATCTTGAATAGTCTCAGCTTGGTCTAAATACGTTGATGATTGTCCATTTATTTCAGGCATTTGTTTATTAGCCTTTAAACCAATATTTACATATTCAGGTTCCGCGGTTGCTTGCCTATCAGAAATCTGCCCGATATCTAACGAAGGTTTCATTTCAATTCCATCATACTCCATACTCTGTTCATGTCGTCCCGTAGGGATTGATTCCATATTTTGGTAGTCTTTGTCCAATTTACTTTCTGATGTGTTCCTGAAACTGATGACGAAATTCATACATAAAAGCAAAGGTTGCCCTCATATTGTACATTTTCGACTAAACATTTTTTATTGTTCATTTTAAAATTTTAAATTCTGTATTTAATACAAAGTTTATTCAACCCTATTGCTACTATATATATATTAGGGTCGTTCGAAAAGTTTTGCACGAAAGTTTTCTTTTTACAAAATGATATAGACTATTGAGTCATCGCCTTGGTTACTATAGCAATCGTAGAATGTTAAGTAGTAGAGGTATATACATTAAACCTTAACAGTGTAAGGGAATAAGATGAGGGTACATACGTACCAACTATGAACATAAATGGTCTATTATTTTCACAATTAGATATATTTGTGCAAAACTTTTTGAACAACGCTTGTATATATACAACATTTTATTCGACGAATAAACTAGACATCAGATTACTGCTCACAAGTTTTACCTTTTGTTTCGTCTGAGAAGTACAGCGATAATGACAATTAATATCAGGATACACAGCGCGCCACCTATCGCCACCCCAATGATAAAACCTACATGTACATGTTGATTTGTATTGGGTTGTCTTGTGCATTCTTGACTCCCTCCTAAATCAAAAGGATAGTAAAACATAAAGAACGTACAGAGGGTTTACAGAGACCCATAAATAGAAATATTTGCAAAAGACTTACGAAGCCACACGTCGTTCGGAAAAATTGTTTAGACGAACATCAGACACGTGTATGGTTGTATTATTGCGATGTTAATTGTATTGAATGAAATGGAATGATGTCTGCATATTCTGATACTGCTCTGACATAGCAAACTGACAATAGGCTTTCAAGCTTTCAATTTCTTTTATTTACAATTTTGTAGAACATCAGTAGTTCCAATAATATCCTTCGAGTTTGATATTAGAGATAAGTCGCATTACAGAATCGTTGGGGTTATAAGTATCAATAAAAAACGTTGAGAAGGTGACAACATAGCATTTTTATGTTATATCATAGGTCAATCTGAGTATCCAAACAACTGGCTCTTACTCAATACCCGTACTGAAACATATGATCAAAACATAGACAGAACGTTAACAAAATCGGCTATGCTGTGAACTATCAAATGGTTACTATAGCAACAACCATTTTGAAGTGATTCATTGTATCTCAATATTTTTTTCTTTTTCAGGGGGTTAGGAAAATGTCAAATGCTTCTTTTCTGAAAATTTGAATGATGAATGACAAGAAATAAAAGTTTGAGAGCAAAATTAGCTTTACTTACTGAACGCCTTGTACAATTACCTGTTTCTGTTTGAAAAGAGTCTTTCGCCACGGGTCCATAACCTGCTTTTGTTGATGCTTTGACTTCACACTCATACGTTGTCTCAGACTCAAGATTACTGACAAATGTCTCGCTAGTCTCAGACGCCAGTATTTGCTTTAACACTACGTATGTTGCGTTCACGTAGCATGTTACCTTAACGGGAACAGAAAACATGCAATTTCAAATGTGAAACAGTTTAACTCAATAAAACATGTCACGCCCTGATAACTTAATAAATCAATGATCTGAACCAAGGGGCCTTCCTTAAACCTTTAAAAGTGAGTCTTTAATTTCTTATTTCAGAACTGTCAAGGATAGGGACAGGATAGGGACAATTATAGGGACAATTATTTATATCAGTAATTATCAAAACAATTAGTTATGAAGATTTAAGCGAAGGATGTACACGAATTTACGGTTTACCTGATACGTCAGCAATCGGCCATTTGTAAACTCTGGAATATTCCATGTAAGATGAAATGATTTCGTATCACTTGCTCTTATACGAAGATCTTTTGGTGGTGATGGTTCTGAAAAAACCCAGACATCGTGTATTGCAAGAACAAAAGATTTAAAAACAGAATTATAACTTTCACCTCAACTAGATACTCACTATCAGCAGGAGTCACTGTGTCAAAGACTAAGACCTTTGGACCCTCAAGATCTGCATTATTTACCATGGAGAGCTCTACTTTGTATTGGGTTTCAAACTCAAAATCTCTATTTGTGAGTTCAATATTCTCCTCGGATGTATCCTTCAAATACTCTCCATTTCGATAAATCTTGTAGGATTGCATCTCGTCACACTTTATTTCGTCTTTTATAGGTTCCTAAAGCAGAAACACAAAATAAAAACTAAATTGTCTGTTTCCCCTCTGAGCCAGCAATGCTATACACTCTTCTACTCATATGTATTCTGGGCGTATTAAAGCATGGCCTTACAATCGTATATCATGTTGTTATTGACACGTATGTGACAAATATTAGAGGTGATAAGAAATATTTTGACCCACAATGATTTCTGTTCTCTCTCGATTCACTTTTCCAGGGACCTAATTACAGAGGACCATGATTCTAGATGTTCATGTAAACGTTAAAAACGTGTATCTTTACCTTCCTAATAACGCTAATTTGGTTCAATCACTTGTGTTTGATATCAGCTCGTCGATAAAATGATACAATAACCATTCAAAATTATATTTTTTATATACACTCATTACACTTGCAAAATTCATGTTCAGTTTCAAAGGTCCTACAGTGGCTATTTACATACATACCATCCATCTTAATTTTGCAGTTAGAGTTGATTGCTCTGTGTGATCCGAGGATGATGTTATGACAAAGTCATATGTGGTATTCAGTGTCAAATAAGTTGGATCTAAACGAAAGAGGAAAAGAAATACTATGTGGTTTTTAATGCTCCTATTTACAATGCTAATTTCCATTCATTCGTTTTTTATTTTAAGGAATGTACATTCCTGTTTCACATTGAGTTTAAGTTAAATGTTTAATAGGATGTTAATTTTGAACTGATTTAGAGCAATATTTTGCATTTACCTCCGCATGTAATAAATGGATCACTCCAATCAGATGTTGCGCCTATTTCTATATCACTAACTTCATATGAGTACAATGCTGAAACACGAAAAACAAAGATGCTATCCTTTGATAAGTTGTCAATTCTTGCCATCAACCCAGAAATGTAAATAGATTCTATATTATCATCTTCGTTTGAGGAACTTCTGTATTCAACTCTGAAGGATTTTGTAGCTGCAGTATCACGTTTGATATTACTCTTAGCTTCTAAAACATTCCATTCTATCTCAATGTAATCAGCACCTCGACTCTTCAACACAGGTTTACCATCTATTTTGGGAACCTCTGAAATTACAATTCAATCATACTTTGATATATACAATTATAATGCTAGAAAATTACAACAAAAGTGATTTAACAAAATTTAGCAAACGTATTTTATTACTGATTCAAAAACGAAAAAGCAAGTGTACCTTGATTACAAGCGTATTTTGGATAGTAATTATATTCACAATCACCACTGCAAAAACCATCTTCCCTTTGACAATCGTCGAGTGTCTTGCAATGTCTCGTACACTCCTTGGCACAATTTATTCCCCATTTTCCAGCAGAACATCCTGAAAGTACCGTTCATGTCTATGAAATTGCAGAGAACATGTTTTCCGATCAGAGACATTCATTTCGATTCCCCAATATCCTCAATATACTCCAACAGTTAGTTTAAATATGTTTAAACTATAATCCATGCAAATTTCATTGAAATCCATGTATAAATAAAAAAGTTATGACATTATTATCTTTATTTCCTGAACACACTGTATTCCTGTTCATTTTTTTCAAAAAGTGTCTATCAAATGTTGAAATCGTTTGTTTTGGTTCAGTTTCACAGTGTCAGCCTTGTTCTCTAGCTAAGTGAATCCTACAAATTGATATCAAATTCCCATTGTCAAATATCTTAGTAAAGACATTTTCTGATTTTACGGTGTCATCCTAGAAGCGGTTTAATTAAAGCTTTGTCAAATTTTCATAATCAATGAATATATATATACTTATGCATTCCCTCTCAGGCCCATATCCAGCCATGCAATCCCCAGGACACCATCCATCAGATTTGACACAAGTATCACCAGCTTTGCATTTCCTGGTACATTCTATACAGGAGGCACCATAGTGACCATCAGTACACTCTAAATAAAAAAGGATGAAAGCACATCTGCCATAAATATGAGACAAGGCATAGATCATGTTGCATATTTTAAAATAAATCTACGGAAGCATTCCTTACTTGTTCCGAGATAAATCTTGTATGTTATATTTATAATCATATTACATCTCAAATGATTGGTGTACCTGAGGTCCCAAAAGGTATGAAAAGCATACAAAATGCTAATGTACAGTCAACCAATATTTTTGTATCCAAATCAAGATTCTGTGAAGTTCTTGTAGTTTTGGTAAACAGCTTTTTCTGAACGTATAATTTCCATCTGGCATGGGCTTTGATGTAAATGACAAATTGTTCTACGGCTATTTATAACATGATGAAATCGATGTAATAAGTGTTTCTCACCGTACAGCTCTATGTCACATATTGACAATACTGTACTAGAAGAAGCAGTGTCTTTTATTTTGATTGTAAGGTCATTTGTCGGTTTGGAGAGGCAGCTAATTGTCTTTTCATCTTTATGACCAAATACTTTCTCCTCGCATTTTTCTCCACTGGGCTTCATTGTTACTTCTAAAGTTTGGTTTCCAATGTTATCAGGATCTAAAGTAAGTCAATATGAATAGTAATCTAAAGTAAATTTAACATTGGTACAACTAGTTGGAAAATGTCTAATTTCGTCTCATATCGTCAAGATCTCAATGACGTGTCGCAAAAAGGTGGCGCATTTGTTTTTAAGGGTATCGCGTGATTGTAACTTTGATTCCCCGGATTATAAGATAATATTCTAATTAAAGTTATATATTATTTTAAAGCTGTTTCGATGAAGTTTCTAGATCAACTACACTCCGTTCACAATTCTTGTGCGTTCTTTTTTAAAAAAGAGTTTTTTACCAAAACATCTGGCAAATATCCCCTGTTGACACGTTACATTTTGAATTATTTTTCGTCTTTAAACGCTCATAACTCAAACAATATATGACTATTTTACTTATTTTTCGTCTTGATAAAGGTAGATGGAAGTTTTATTTTAAAGGATGAATTTTAGTAAGCGTCCCATATTGTGACGTCATAGAGTTTGAAAAATAGAATCTGTTGACAGCGACCTTTTTTGCTCATTTTTTGTTACCTTCAACTTTTCAGGTGTACATTAAACAAAAAATACGAGATCAATTTTTAATAAATCATACATGATTATAATGCTCTTAAACTTTAGTTTATTAATAAAAAGTTGATTTTGTTCGCAAAAGTATGTGTTTTCTGTTGTATGTGGAAAAGTGGAGGACGAAAGGTTTTCAAAATGCATTAAAATAGGGCTAATTTACGCCATTCGCATATTTTCAAGCACAGCAACACGTATATTTATTTCACCTAAAATATCAATTGATTCGTGTTTTATGATGGTCCTATCCCATTGTTAATACATATACGATATCAGAGTTATTCGCCTTAAATATTTTGAGATATAGAGGCAAATGTGGAGGACGAAAGGATTTCCATATGTTTACATTTTTCTCAATAAACGTCACATTCTGTGGTGTGAAAAAGCGAAAATGTGTAACAATGCGTGTGCGACCTTTTTGCGACACTTCAATATAAATAAATAAAGACATATAGTGAATAATTAATTAAAACATAACATCAGTACGAGGGATAATAATGTGTCTGTGACAATGTGCATACAATTAAATGAGTTTCAACACATGCAAACTTATGCCTCACCTCCTATTATATTGTATGTGTAGATGCTGTTTGATTCAGACCCGTAATTTTGACATATATCTCCGAAGTATCTACAGCTCTGTTTGCCACGTTCAAACTGAAATGCAGCACAGAAACCAGACTTGTCGCATTTAGTTTTGCACTCTTGAAATGTATATGCAGTGAGTTCTCCCTTTTTGTCATGGTTGCACGTATTACGAGTTACATTGTAACGCAGTGGATCTGGAATAGAGTATACGTCTAAAATACACAATGAGAACTACCATTCCTAACAAAAGGCTTTGTTAAAATTCTACTTGTTTTAGAAAGCGAAATATGTTACATCCAAGAACTTTGCCTTGTATTAAATATGACATTTGCTCCTTGCAGTTTCCAAAAGGTTTCTTCTGAATAAAACATATTTGTCTTAAAGGCCCACTTTGCGTATTTTCAACGTTTTGGGGCAAACTAAAGACTTACATTTGAATTTCATAGTATGTCTCATGTATTGATAAGAACCTTATCTTTCATTTCACACCAGCAACAGTTCAAACGGACCACATCAACGCTTACAATAAATTATCAAAAAATGGTTTATATATCAAGTTTTTATCAATGTCATTGAAAGATGGCAAAGTTGTTTGTATTACATGATACATTCATTGTTATAGAAGTGTCGCCATCAAATCAACAGTATAATTTCAAACATGCAGATTGTTTAATGATGTCCAATGATCTCAGAACTTCAAATGCTTTTTTCTATGTGAGTTATTTTTTCTTGGTTCAATATTAAAGCAAATCAAACTTTGTGTCATAATTGAGCGAGTGTGTGAGTAACATGTTTCAATGATTTTTTTTCTTCTAAATTAAGTATAGTGGGCCTTTAAGTCAATATTACAGAGATTTCGTTGGCTAACTTACTGAAAACCCGAAAACACATCAACTAATTGTGCACGTGTTATAATGATGACGTCAATCCGCAATTAATCGCATGCACATATCTTGTTTTTGAGAATCGCGCCCCGTTACAAATGTTATATATTGTATTTAATGTTTTGATATATAAAAATTATTAAAATACATACATGTGTTGACAAGTGACAAGGAAATTTGATACCTTGACCTGGTAACTATAAAGACTGCTGCCAAAGTGATACAGAAACAATTAACAATAGGCAATCGCATGGGACTTTTAATCCAAAGGATCCTATCGAATACTTACAACCCGTTATACACTTATGTTAAGCAGTGATCTTTTAGTTTAGGAAAAGCCGGTGACCTGCTATCAGCTGCTGCAGAATGTAAACAAAGCCTGCATAGCTGACTACCACTAAAGCGCTAATGTGTAACTTGACCTTTTTAACATTGCTGGCATTTGGTTGCTATTAAAAGACAGCCACTTGCTTGTGAGATGTAACTAGGATTAGGGTTTCCCAATTTTGGGAGTAGTCTTAGTAAAATATGTCTGGGGGGCGTTTGCAGGAAGGGATCAAAACAATTTTTTCAATCCTGCATAGGCAAGACAATTCTCTAAATTAACAATTTTGAATCAAGTTGATCCCTTCCTGCAATTTTGAGAGATTTAATGTTCAAGTTGCCAGAATGTTCAGAGAGAATACATTTATTAACTAACCAGCCTTTCATCAAGGTGCTTTAATCTGATAAACTTTCACTCAAATTAAGAGAAACCCTGGAAACATTAGAGGAAGGGGTAGTACTTTCACAAAGTGTTAATTTCAAGACCTAACTCAGTATTAATTACAAGCTGTAATACTATTTTTAAGATGATCACACATTTTAGATACCAAAGAGTTTCTGTGTAAGCATTAGGCCATATGGTGGGAAATCCTAGCAGTGACGTCACTCACTAGCTGATAAGACCAGCTTGAGTAGCATTAAGTGCACTAACTAAAAGTTCGTTTACAGGCCAACATAACATAAGTGTATAGCATAGACACTCATTGCCCATTGTCCTCCAGTACCAACCACGTCATGCTCATTTCCCCTGTAATCGCCCTTGTATCCTGTACACTCAGACGAACTACCATTTTTGTTATATGTGCCATATCCGTCCCTTGAAGTAAAACAAATTCCACCATTCTGGACACCAATTACTTTTTTATTATTGGCCGCCACAGCAGTGAAGCACTTCTTCACTTCCAAAACTCGATTCCAATAATCATCGTTCAAATAATCAATATCTTCGCCATCAATGTTCCAATCCAGTGCTCTATCAAAGTCGTCCCCAAAGCATCCGAAATATTTATACGGAAGAGCTAAATAAAAACAAAAGCAATGCTGTTTAATCTGAGCTAAAGCACTTGCAGAATATCATATATACGACACACTAAGCGCGGTCTAAATGTCGTTTCAAAAAATAATTATCGATTAGTAAAAAGCGTCATTCAAATATCAATACTTCTCTTGAGAATTCAAACCAGGAAATTATACCAGCAGGAAATTATCCTGGTATAGTCCACGAAACAACTAAATAGTATACATCACGCCTGGTGATTCGAAAATATGACGGAGGGGGAGCAGACATTTTCTGCTAGAAATTGCCTAGAATGGATAGGCGCATGGTAAAATACGTTAGGCCTTCTAGGATGTTTTAAGCCGATACGCTTCGAAGATATGAGATCTATCAAAAAAGCGCAAGGCTACCAACGTCCACAAGTCAATGTTTTTGCTATAAGGTAAGGAACAATTTTCTACGCGACATGTGCTAAATATTTTTCGTTATATAAAAATAATTAAAGCGGGATGGAGGGGGGGGGGGCGCAGGGGGAGGGGAGCAATATGTGTATTAGGTGGAACAATTTTACAAATATTCTTGTTTGTGAAAAATGAACACAGAACTCTAAGTTACAGGACATAAAGTTAAGTGACATCTCTTATCCTTTGTTGACATATTACCCCCACTCCGCCCCCTCCCCTCCGTCCCATTTTAATCATTTTTTTGTATATCGTAGTCGTATGTAAACGTATATCTAATTAAAGTCGGCAATGGGATTCATTTCGTGATGATAATCTCACTTACAAGTATTTATTTCAGGTCGTGTAGACCATTGTTGCTTTATCCATGGCAAAACACTTTATTATGACTTGTGCATGTTGATGGCCTTTGCTATCGATATGGCGAACTGAATTAACACATGTTCTAAACCAGTCATCAAAAGTTCAAAAGATGGCAGCACTTGAACAATATGTCATCTGAATGACATTCAAATAGATGGCAGCATCTCACTATGCTCATCCAATAACTAATAAGAAAAGCAAATTAAAAATAGGTATCGATATGGTGAGCTGAATTCAACAATGTTTTTCTCTTAAGCCAATTATTGAAAAAAAATTGTAAAAACACGGTCCTTTATGTAATTTTGACTGATTGGCAACAATTTAATGCAAAAATTATTTATGTATGTATTTTTTATAACTGTTTCTGTTAACATTTTTGTACAAACGTTGGTATTTATCTGACTATATATATGAACTATGAAAAGTTAAATCTAGAATAATCGTGAAATATGATAGGAGTTGGTAAATGCAAGAGTAGCGACATTCCGCGTATTCGATAACCTAAAGCAGACTTTTGCCATTTGAGGTTATGTCCAAATAAAAGTGCAAGATAAGCTAAAATGGCAAAAGTCTGCTTTAGGTTATCATTCATATAGAACCAAACATATGGTTTTCATTGTTCACAGTAAACAGACTGTGGTTGTCAGTTCTTAGTAAAGTGCTTCATTAGTAACGTAATTGTTAATAAGAATTTCTCGACGGGCACTGTCTAAAAATGGCGAAAACTTACTCCCGTCGAGAGCTACTTAGATTTTGAAAGTATAGCTCTCTATCGCTAGAATCAACAGCTTAAGAATCCTGACTTCAAAGAAAATTTCAGGGAATTCAGCTGACTCATGTTGCACATTATATACCTGAAAATGTTCCTACATCGCCATCTTTCATTCAACTCAACTATAGAACGTCTCACTGCCCTATGTATCGATCAGGACTTCATTTTATTGGTCGTGTCAAAAGTTTTGGCCAGGTATATTCAATATGGCGGCTTGACGTTTCCCAAGTTGCGCATGCGTCGATAGTATTTCCGTTTAACCGCCATATTGGAAATGGGTATCGAACAATAAACGATTAGAACTCCTGATCGCCATAGAAGCACATCCGCGATCCTGCAAAACGGGGAAAGTAGACACATATGTGCCCATAATGTAGGCTACAGTTTGAGACAAACAGCAAGCCGTTGACTGGCGCTGATCAAAATTAGATGTCACCATTCTTCAGCTGGGAGATCCTCACGATGGAGAGCTATACTTTCAAAATCTAACATGGTAGCTCTCGACGTGAGTAAGCGAAAACATCTCCACCGCTGGATGTATCTCAACGTTGTTGACGATAATCCACACTAATACCATGGGCTTTCAACTGTTTTAACTGAAACAAACCTAAAATATCCAACAAACCAAGTTATAACACAAATCAAAAAGTTCGACTCGTGTTCCGAGTCCAAGAGAGATATGAGCTCACCTAGCTAAATCACGCAGTAACTTCGTGTTCCGAGAAATCAGCGTTCTGATTGGTCGAGCTAGCGGATGCCTGTCGCTATAGCAAATAAACGCCATCTACTGGCAGAAATATTACGACTTCCGAGCCCAAAACTCGCTAGAAAAGTACCTTGAAACCATATAAAACAGAAAGACCTTATTACGATGATTTAGGTTGATAATTATACTTAATGAAACCATCTAGATCTAGTGAAGTCAAAGGTGAATGACAAACCTTAAAAAAGTTTAAATATCGGGACTGAACTCGATGGTCGTCACACTATTTTGTTTCAACAAGGATCGGACTATATTTTATTTCAAAAACCACAAAACATTTATAAAATATATATTTAACTAATTTTCGCATTAAATTGTTAAATTAGTGACCATTACATAAAGGACCGTGCTTTTTCAATATGTTTTCAGTAATTGGTTTAAAAGAAAAACAATGTTGATTTCAGTTCGCCATAACGATACCAATCTTTTTGCCTCTGGAAGCCCGGCCATGTTGAAACGAAAACATCATGTCTTCATTTCCAGTGTTCCCCAGTGATAATATTATTTTGAGGAATTCGAAAAGCATAAACTTTTTCGACTTTCATTGGAACTGCAGTTTCTATGTAGATTTAATGAAGGATATTTGTAATGTAAATAAGTGTGTCGATCGAGTGCTGATGTAACCAAAGCACACTAGCCAAATCGCATGTGAGTCCCATGATGTATAGAAGTATAGGGATATTAAGGTGTCACCCTGAACTTAACCCTTTCCCGACGTGAATATGAGAGGAAAATGTTGGCCCTGGTGACGGATAAGTAAGAGCAGTTTTTAGGGGAAAACTGAAAATTACCTATGCCCAGGGACCTATTCCTTGAATTTTATCACTGAAATACATTTTTTAGTAAGGACTATCGTATTAGAACAACTTGTCAAAATTTGGTGTAAAAATACTGAATAGAACTGGAGATATTATCATTTCATCGATGTATATAAATAAAAATTATGGTGCCAAAAGGAGCCTATCGTCCTGAAAGGTATTACATAATAGGGCTCCATATGGAGCCCATCGTCGTGAAAGGGTTAAAAATGGAAAATACCAGTTACACATACCGCCAACAGTAATCCGAATACTATGTACGTAATACTCTTTGTCAAATGATAATGTGAATGTTGGCACTTCACCACCATTAGTACGAGCACATGTTGTCGTATCACCATCAGTAGCTAGTGATGCCCAAGCGTGTATCTTGTCGTCCTCATCGTTGAACTCATAATAAGTTGACGACTGGGATACATTTGATATCGGAATTACTTTGGTATTTGATGCGGCACATTCAACATCTAGAAATGTTAAAACATATAGTTACTACAAACATATAATATGCGTATTCGTTGTTTTCAGGAACTCTATTCAGCAGATTCTAAATACAAGCTGGCTCACATATACTAATAGATAAGGACTTATCAGTTCAGTTTTGATGTTCTTATGACAACATATCTTTGAAATCAAAACAATAATTTCCTAACACGTTCTTTTCATTGAATATTGGAAATGGCAAACGCAGAACTCATTTCGACATTATTCTTGATCCTTTACTGTTTTTAGTTTATATTAATCACCCTTGGTATACGCAGCTAACGAAAATTGACCGGTACGGGTCAAAAGCTGGACCAGTACGGGTTAACGGTTTATTTGAATTTAAAACAGCCATAACTTGCTCAATATTGACTTCCTCGTGTCTAATTTGAAATATATGATGCCTCCCGATGCATTTAAGTACCCCAATTTTTTTACAGATTTTTAAACGGACCAAAACTCTCTAAATGCGCATTTATGCTCTTTTCTCTCGAGAACGACTGTCTCATTTTCACGAAAACTTTTATTTAGTACTTCTAACATATAAGATCTATTTTCCCCATCAAGGTATGATGTTAATGACATACTATTCACATCTTTTGAGTTTCAATGACGCGAGTTTGATTTTATAAAAAATGCCAAACTTTGTGACAAAGAATTTCCTCCTGCTTGCAGCGAGAAGACGGACCGACACGTTTGCCCCGAACCTGTTTATATATGTATATGTATTTGTAAAAATTTCTATGATTAAAAGAAAAAAATCGACATAGACTACACTTCAGTATGTAAGTCCAATGCTCATACTATTTACTTATGAAAGCTACATTTTCCCAAAAATATTTTAACAGCCATTTTGGTGAAATAATTATATTTTAGCCTGTGTCTATTTTCTCACAAAATACATAAATGTATAATGTCATGAAAAATATATAACTACTACGTTTAAATGCGTATATGAGAATCTATAGAATTGAGCACTCAAGACTTAGTGCAATATAACAAAATGTCTCCAATAAAACGCATATTTGTATCTTACCATTGTTGATGATGCTCATTACAGCAAATACTGTAAAAACACTTTGTAAACATAGGTGTATGCTAGCCATATCCTAATTACACAGACAAATGGATCCTATGTATACGTATATGTCAAACTTTCAAACCTTGACGCCTCTCAGAAATACGCAAGGAATTAAATGCTCGACTTCCTTGTTATATGTGTTGACGAATTTAGGTTATACGCTTATTGTGATCACATTTCTATTGATCTATAAAAACTACACAATACTTATTGTTTAAACAAATCGCTTCACTATTTTCCATTCTACATACAACGATTCGTAATTATTTGGTTTACTAGAATGTATTGCAGCTTATTTTAAAAACACTTTGACTCATGGTTTTAATGGTGTGAAGGACTACGAAATCAATCTGTGTTTTCAATTTTCTTTAGATTAACACACTTCTAAGAAATATCATTTTGATGCAACAATTTGTGTTAACACTTTGTACAACACTTTGTAATTTCACATTTCTTAAACATACAGTACCGTTTTGTGCATTCCATCTATCGCAACATACGGATAAAGCGACCCCAAACCATTTTCTTTTTTTAGATGATGTCATGTTATTTTGTAACGGTGTCAACGTAAATATGGACCGTGCTTCATATGGTCCGCTGGTATATAAGTCCTGGAAAATAAAGTCCGGGACTATATTATCTAGAATATCAAGACCGATGGATTGTATTTCCTTCTTAGGTATTTAAGTCCATTCTCTAAAATTTAATGTCCGGGGGGACTATAAATACCAAATTATGGTATCTTTGACCTTCATTTCGGACCATATTTTCTGGTAAAAATGTCCATGGGCATGTATTGAACTCTGCTAAAATAATATTTCATTGACATACAATGTAATACTGTTATTCCATATCGTTTAACCATCACATACTTAGAAATAATGTCTAAAACCATTAAATTAGTCATTGGACATTTGTCTAACTATCGCACTACGCACACTGTGTTTGGCCATGGAATATCTTTCTTATTTTGTAGTTAGTTTAGTCTAGTTTTAGTTAATTTTTGTTGATTGATTGGGATCAAGATAAACTTAATTCCAATATGTCATATTTGGCTTATTCTTAAATAAGATTTCCAATTTTAAACTTTCAGAATCATGATGATTGAATTTGGAAATTATGTCTTTGACTTTATCTTCAATTCTATTCAATTCTCAAATATATTGAGAATTTGAGAATAACCCAGAATTTATAAAAATTCCGGTACATAAAAGTAGAACATAACTTTCAAGTGCCATTTCGAAATGCTAAAAATTATCAATATTTAGATTGAGTGTATAATCAAATATCACTTTGTAATTGTAAAAATGAAAAAGGGATACATATAATAAAGAAGACTAATAAAATAATTTATCAATTATACTAGTGGGATGAGTTGTCTTGGGATGAGATGTCTTGGGATGAGTTGTCTTGGGACGAGATGTCTTGGGATGAGATACATTGTTAAGATATTTATATATTGAATTCAGCGGGAAAGTGCTTTCCATAGCAACTCGGAAATGGAATTCAGCAGAGCAATTCCAAGACAGAAATATCAAAAGGAATGGAGGAGAGAATCACATGTGACCAGCCATTTTATCAACGTAAACCACCTTAGGTAAGTTTTATGGAGTTTTCGTTGTCGATCGCCACCGTGTTCGTAAGAGTGATCCGCTGAACCTGTTTCTGAGTTGCTAAGGCAATCACCTTTCTGCTAGATCAAATATTGGCCTATATCAACAATTTTTAGGTTATTTAGACAAATGTCTATATTCTTCTGTAAAAATCTGAATGATAGATGATTAATTAAAAAATAAAGAGTAACTTTAAGAGTAGCGTTTTAGAGAAAAAATAGTTTTAATTATATTTCTGTTTCAATCTTTATTCGTTAATTTTGATCATTACATCATTATATTCCAGTCATTATTCGTCATCATTCATCATACACATAAGTCATCCAAGACATATTTTCAGTTTACGCATAGTTTGTTTGAGTTGAAGTCCCAGTTGATTAACTAGTTTATATTCATTAGATAGACTCTTCGTAACCATGTAGTGTCCCACCCAAGGATTCAATTTCTTCCCTCCTTGTCCCTTTCTCTCTGTCGTTAACACTGGCCCCGATCTGGTTATAAATACGTTACGTTTTTATAGCAAAATGGATGATTTGCCCCAAAGAAATTTTAAACGGGCGTGGTGATTCCGATCGTGTTATAACTCGAATAATGGGGCAGATGTAATTAAACGATATAGCCCTCCTTGACAAGCATATAGAAAAATTAGAAGAACTGGTCTCGGGGACAGATGCAACCAGAAAGAATAGTCCGATTGGACTGGTATAACTAGAAAATTAAGGAAAAGTTGTCTCGGGGCCAGAATTACCCGGAAAATATAGTGTCCTGGACATGCATTATTAATATAAATCATCCAAGGGAAACTAACGACAAGAATAGTCAAAGACAATTTTAGTTTCATTTGAGTTTTTTAATTCGTTTATAATATATCAATTAAGTATGTACTATAATACGACATCTATACATTTAATCTATAATCTATACATTTGTCAACGTATCTATAGTCCGTCAGTAAATGTAGTCCGGGTTTATATTGTACACCAATACAGAAAATATGGTCCAGTTAGTGTGTACGGAGCTCGTTTTCGAGGCCCGCGCGAGCTCGCACGATGCTCGTAATTGTTGTTTTCGAGGCCCGTACGAGCATGTACGAGGCTCCTAATTTCACAGCCCGTACTTCCTCGAGCGAGACCCGTTATAGGACACTTTTACAGCACGAAAAGGAAGAAGTTTGCATATTTAATGCAATGCTACATCATTCACGTGTCGATCTTAAACAACTCGCAATGCATGTGTAATCTCTTTAACCACTTTTCATACAATCGATGTACACATCCATAAGCTTTATCTATATCACATTTTAACTACTTCAAATACCACACGCACATGTTTATGTATTGCTTTTACTTCACTTGTAGAAAACATGGTATCTCCCATTGGTAACCCTGTTTATTTTGTTTCCTAACTTTTATACTGTTTATCATGGTGATACAGCCATGCGAATATTTTAGTTTAGTTTATTTCAAACAAATAAAAGGCCTCAGGCCCATAGTTTTACAAAAATAACAATACATGTTTACATCAATTTAGTAGCTCCTGCCTTAAATTAAATGCTTTATAGCAGAAAGTAGCTAAGTTACATAAATCATTTACACTTTTTGTAGACATTAAATTAATATACTTTTGTTGTGATGGTAAAATATAATAATACCATATGATGTACTCTTCCCTTAGGTCAATATATGACAGGCAGATTAAAATAAATCTAGAATTGAATGGTGAGAATACCATTATTTATCTGGCAGGTTATGGGGAACACGTTGGTTATGGTAAATGAAGGAAATGTTGGAATTTAAGAGGAGTCTCAACTCTCAACGGATATTCACAAATACATTCTTCACAACACGATAATTAAAGACTGATTATGGAACACCAAGGAAAAGGTACTGAAAATAAATATCGCTTATATAACGATGACTAAATCCAACCGATAGCATTGCCCAGATGGAAAAATTTGATTCAGCTGTGACATACATGTATTGAGTATTGAGAAATCAATGTGAATAGATTGAACATGGCTAAGAAATACTTTTAAAAAATTGTTCTCATTAGTGTTAAAGTTTAAACGTATACAAAAGTACAAAAAAATGCCAAAAGGGTAATCAGAAATACTGTAGTTGTCTAAGATTGTCATACTTTGAGTTGATATCTTAGCACTAGTGCCAAATGGAAAGGATCAAAAGTTGTTATGGTCGAACCTTAAGAAAAAGTATTCTTTAAGTGTATACCACTCATAAAAACAAACACCATATTACGTATATTCCAAAACTTGATCCCGCTGGTTAAAGAGATTGAATTTTTAAGACGAATAAGATCTCTTAACAAATATGTTTTGACAGGCGATTTTGTACCCGTGTAAAATATATGTCTTGTTATTTCTGGTATTCTTTTAGTTGTTCATAAACATGGCTTTCTGTATCATCAACTTGCACGCCATCTTGAATACTGTCATCCTTGTCTAAATACGTCGATGTTTGTCCATTTATTTCTGCCATTTGTTTATTTGCCCTTGAATCAGTATTTTCATACTCAGGTTCCGCGGTTGCTTGTCCGATATCTAACGAAGGTTTCATTTCAATTTCAGCATACTCCATACTCTGGTCAGGTCGATCCGTAGGAAATGATTCCATATTTTGGTAGTCCTTGTCCGTTTTACTTTCTGATGTGTTCCTGGAGCAAATGACGAAATTCATAAATAACAGCAAAATTCGCCCATATTTTACATTTTCGACTAAACATTTTCATTGATTATTTTAGAATTCGAATACTATATCTATTACAAAGCATATTTTTTCCTATCGCTACTACATATACACCATAAATTTATTTGATGAATAAACTAGACATCAGAACATTTTTCACAAGTTTTACCTTTTGTTTCGCCTGAGTAGTACAGCGATAACGACAATTAACAACAGGATACACAGCGCGCAACCTATCGCTACCCCAATGATTGCATCCACCGGCTGTTTTGTATTGGGTTGCATAGTGTAATCTTTATTTCCTCCTTTATTAAAGAATAGTAAAATATAAATACTATACAGAGGGTTTACAGACATATACGTATAAATATCTGCAACACTTACGCAACATCATATTGTTGTGAAAACTGTTTAATCAACATGAGACATGAATGTGGTTTATCATTGCAACGTTAATTGTATTAAATTAAAGTGAAATGATGTCTACATATTCTTAAACTGCTCTCACAGAGGGAATTAACAGCAGGCGTCCCATTAATCTTGTTTTCATTTTTTAGAACATCATGAGTAGTTGCAATAATTCTATCCTTCACCACGTTTCTTAATAATATATCGACATAAGAGGTACATTGTAAGAAGCATTACAGCATCGTTAGGTAATACGTTATGAAACAAAAATGAAACCGTCGAACAGATGAAAAGTTGAACAGCATTTGTTTATGAATATTCACCCCAAGACTCTAAAATACTAGCTATCATTTTAAACCAGTGCTGAAAGTAAGTCTATCCATTTTATGGATTAGATTTAACAATGCAAAATGTTTCAAAATATTATGTATTGTATTATTAATCTCATCTAATGCCACGTTACGCTATCAAGAGGTTTTGCGGTTGCCAAATGGTGGTGAGGTGTTAGACTACAATGAAGCGATAAGTACCTGTTTGAAAAGATCCTTTCGTAGCAGGTCCGTAACCAGCTTTTGTGGATGCTTTAACTTCACATTCATACGTTGTCTCAGACTCAAGATTACTCACAAATGTCTCTCTAGTCACAGACGCAAGAGTTTGTTTTAAAACAACGTATGTTGCGTTTACGTAGCATGTCACCTTAACGAGAACAGAAAATTTGCAACTTCTAATGTGGAAAAAACTAAAAATCGGCAACTCTTTTGAGTAGCAAATCCCAACGAACACTTTATTCATGAATCTTTTATACAGTTTGGTCAAAAAACGGCAACCTTAATTTTTCCTCATATCTTTCAAATTTCGCCCTGATATTTTGCACATATGTATATCATTCAATTTTGTACTAAACTATATTATTTCATGGACATTGGACTGATAGTCGCAATTGTTACAGCACTTAAAACGAGGTGCCCCAGTTGGCCAACACTGTGCTGTTGGCAAACCTGCGCACGTTTCCAAACATGTCAATGACACAACTGCATTTCTCAGCAAGCATGGAAGGAACGACACATGTGATCTTAATTTTGAGGTCAAATGTTGTTCTGGTGATATAACCCTACACTTTATCTTTGGGGTATCCCCGCTGGTAAAGATTATATGGGACCATATCTTGGCTATGGGGTGCCCATTCATTGTCTGTTGTACTGCCGATAATGTGATCATTGAAGTGGTCCCAAAGCCATTATTGCGCATCATTAGGTGTATAGGGTATGGTCTGTCTTGTTGGAACCACTGCTGCGGCCTATCAACCCCCTGGGTTCACCTGTTGACAGTTATTGGATATCCGTTGGCATCATCAAAGGTAAAGGACCCTTTCTTCTTAACTGTGCATCTGTCTATGTGAAGGTGCCTCTGCACTACTTCATCAAGTGCTTGGCTCCCCAAGAATACATAATTGTTACCAGGGTATCAAGTTGGAAATGGAGTTCATCTAAGTAACAGACCAGTTCAGACAGCCCGAAAGTGGCCATCTGGGGCATGTTCCTTAAAATGCAGTAATATTGTGACTATCAGTCCTATGATGGTCATGAAATATAATAAGTTGGTAGGAAATTATTGTGTTTTTGAATTAAAACCAGGTTAATGGAATTGATCATTCGACCAATACGTTACGCCTCTTGCGTATCTCTTCTCGCTCCACACACTTCAGTAACTATACATTCGAGCATCTTGTATTCAGTCAGTCAACAGTCAACATACTCTCGTTTTCATTATTCTTACAATACCATCATTCATACGTTTTTTACTGTATTACAACTTTTTCTTGAACGACAATGGTCTTCAGATATCAGCATCATTTGCCGAACAACGTTGCAACAGAAATAGTTTGGTTTACCATAGAAAAAGAAGAAACTGCCCAGGACGAGTCTCTGAATCCACTGGAGATACAGAATCACGTTAGTGAATAAGGACACTTAAATGTTCAAGAGATGAACAGACGTTGTATATAAAGAGTTAATTAACAGCCCCATCAGATGCACTGGGCTGATAGATAAAACATATTTTCCCATCTTGGATATCTCCTCGTAATTATGTGCACAATGTGCTTCAGAACCAGATGGCATTTGTGATAAACTTTCGATGATCATTTCATCAGTTCGTCATTATATAACATTCGAGTGAAAGCGGGATTTATAAAGTCAAGGATAAAAAACATAGTATGGATAAAGTATCTACCGAGCGATCTTGGCCCAAAAATAAATAGTCACATCACTCGATCAGCCATTCTCACGTGTCGTTCTCCATGGACAAATGTGTCAGCTCGATTTACAAAACCCTCAGGTTCGCAAATCAAAACTTGGCGTACGATTCCTGGGTTTCGAATCGGTTACAGCTATAAGGAACGATCAATAAGCATTTAACTATGAGTGCCAAAAGACCTACAACTTGGCCAGACGTACTGTCTGAACCGATCGTCTCGATACTCAAAGCCAGAACCGACCAGTACCCAGCGTGATTCCACCCACAGCCCGAACTGATCGCTTCAATACTCGAACGCAGGAGCTGAATAGAGAATCCGAGAAATTCTCCCCCCTCTTTATATAACTATAAGGATGTTTTCGTATGATTAACCCAGACACAACTATATCGAAGAATGGTTTTGATTACGCGAAGGCGGATTAAACTATGTAGATACACAAGCAAGAAGACAACAATCAAGAAACTACACCATGTTATCCGATGGTGACGGATAACAGAAGAAAGAACCCTTGCGACTTGGCATGGCTAGCTTCTCAGTTTCTATGTGATGAACTATACCCCACCTGTTTGACGAATTGTCGTGACATTGTCACATTGAACAACAATACCAATGATTCCAGCATTCTACTCTCTGTAACAATACGTCATCACTGACTTTGGACATGATTTCATTTTGAATACCAGAATTTCAGTTTTTCTATTCATATCATATAGGCGTCAGTAGACCGACGTCATCGTAGCACCTAGTGTTCCGATGCGTTTGTTGTAGCATGGAATTCTGGGCTTTAAAGCCTAATAGCATGAACAATGTGATATCTAAAATAGCTTCTAATGAACCTTTAAGTGGTTGTCATCACCTTTAGACTTTTACCACGCATGTTTAGGTTACACCTTAATGCATGGATAATTCAAATTGTTTAAACTTTGTCCAAATGGTATTTACCTATTTCTATTCTCCACGCAACATACTACTGTATTGACAAATTTGGCGTTTTAAATGGGGTTTAAATGGCTCGAGCATTGCGAATTATTTTAGTATTAGATGCATTGTCGTTTTCACAGCCGCATGCTCTGTTTGCCATTTCGTTTAACCATGGGCTCTAGAGCCCATGGTTTAACGTACATTCATTTCTTCCCTAATTTTTGTTTTGATAACTTCCGTTCTGCTACCTACATCATTAAGCTGCCTTAAGGATGATAACATAACTCAGCATGTTTTCGTTGCACACTGAAACTGTACGTTTATACTGACAATGCAATCAACACCGAACGACACCAATATTTGTTTATTCATGCAATTTAAAGAGAGAATCAGATCTAGCGAACAGCCAAGCAAGAAATATTTTAGAATATTCCTGGCTTATGTCAATCCTTTTCATGTCTATTTTCTAACAATCACCAAAGTGTATATTTCATTTTAAGAAAACTAACCATTTGTACGATAATGTAATTTTCTGGTTACTATTTTTATCATTTTGAAGAATTTAAACATTTTGCACCTATTTTCGAACTTTGAACCCATTATAACTTTACCGATTTATAATATGTAGTGGTTCTTTGGGATATTGTATTTGGGATTGTAAGGAATAGATTGGCTGGCTGTTCAATTGAACAAGTTGATTGTAATTTTGTCACCCCCATAAATCTGATTCTGCCTTAATATTATGCTCGTTATTTCAGCTAAGTCACATGCACATGCCTTCACGCATTGAGCAGAGTAGCAAAGTGAATGGCGAGAGACATCCCACTGTGTTTTGATCATGGCATTTCTCTTTCTTATTAATTTCCCTTTTCAGAGTCCAGAAGCGTCCCCCTGAATCTTGAAATTCCACAAATCAATGTCCAATTTTCGAATACCAAGGATGCATGCATATTGGTTCTTAATCACAGATTATCAACATTTCGACATTTTAAGCATCAGAGGAAATCTGATTATATTTTCTTTAAGCTCAACATTGTCATTTTAGAACAGCATAGCATGGATATCTTTATGTAAATGCGACCCGAAACTTGCTTCACCATTTACTATCTAACCATCACGCATCAACCCATGAGCGGGTCACACGTTGTCAATGCCCTGTCTTTGGGCGTGCATTCGTAGGTTCAGCACTTGATGATACATCATGATTATTCATAGTCTTCAATAAGTTCCTTTCTAGAAATATTCATGGTCATGACCTGCTGTTTCTCGCGATATATGCGACTTCTATACGTACACTTCTATACGTACACTGTGTTATTTATCTTAGGCGTAAGCTTTGCTGTAAAACCATTTATATCTTATGATACATGCATGAAAGATGATATGATTTCACATCACTTGGATTCATACGAAGATCTTTCATATGCGTTCATACATGTGACATGTGCATTCCTCTTCGCTGTAATTTTGTTTTGATATCATATCGGCAATTTTAAATTACTTTGTGTCATTGTACCTTTATTTAACCCCTATGTATTTTTACAATCCATCTTATCTTATTTAATATACGGTCCTCGATATTTTATGTTTCGCCTAGGATACTTCACTTTGTGGTAACAACTTTGTTTTCCATATTTAGGGTCCGTACCGACACCTGTTGCTTAGACGTCATAACCTTATCTTAAGGACCAGGGGCTCATGTGTGCGGTTTGGCGGTTTTGGGGGCTGTCGAGTTGCGTAAATGGATTTTGTAAAAACGCAGCGTCTTAGACTGACCATCGTAACTCCGGGAATCGCGGTGTCCACACTCACACCCCTCCCGGCGATGACCAGTCTAACAGACAAGCTTCTGCCATCTAACCAACCGCACACGCCTTGTTTTGTTATTTTATTGGGAGAGGGTTCACAGGAATTAATATTGTGTTTTTGAATTAAAACCAGGTTAATGGAATTGATCACTCGACCAATACGTTACGCCTCTTGCGTATCTCTTCTCGCTCCACACACTTCAGTAACTATACATTCGAGCATCTTGTATTCAGTCAGTCAACAGTCAACATACTCGTTTTCATTATTCTTACAATACCATCATTCATACGTTTTTTACTGTATTACAACTTTTTCCCCACCCACCATCATCCCTTATTTCCTTTTTTTTTTATTTCAGATCATATAATTCATGCTTGCCTTGAAAGGGCACATGAATTCATGTCAATATAGGCCTGCCCCAAAAAGGTGCCTTCTTGTTGTCTCCACATGCCTGCCTGAAACACTGGTGCATGTTACAAAACTGCGCATGCCTGCCTGAAACACTCGACGTGCATGTTACAAACTTCATATGCCTGCCAGAAACACCGGGGCATGTTACAAACTTACCATGCCTGCCTGAAACACTGGTGCATGTTACAAATTTCACATGCCTGCCTGAAACACTGGTGCATGTTACAAACTTACCATGCCTGCCTGAAACACTGGTGCATGTTACAAATTTCACATGCCTGCCTGAAACACTGGTGCATGTTACAAACTTCATATGCCTGCCTAAAACACTGGTGCATTTAATAAATCGGTGGCGGGGGCTGTCGAGTTGCGTAAATGGGTTTTGTAAAAACGCAGCGTCTTAGACTGACCATCGTAACCCCGGGAATCGCGGTGTCCACACTCACACCCCTCCCGGCGATGACCAGTCTAACAGACAAGCTTCTGCCATCTAACCAACCGCACACGCCTTGTTTTGTTATTTTATTGGGAGAGGGTTCACAGGAATTAACGAATGATTTACAAATGTATGAAATAGCATGGAGTTATATCTTAGAATGACAAAGATATTAGGAAAAATAGGGTTGCCGTTTTTTGACCCCTGTATTTCACAATGTAATACTTACCGTCTACTCTACCCTTGATTAAATTGACAGATATTAAAAGATATATTCTGATATGTCAGATATATATCAGAATCTCCACCCATTTAAGAATGTAGGGTTACTATGTAGGAGTTACGAAGGTATAGTGTAACCAAGAGGGGGGATAACCCCAGAGTTCAAAGAATTTATTATTTAAACCCGTATTGAAATGACATACATTTCTGATTGGTCGAAAATGACGTCATCCACGGTGGCTTCAAAATTTTCGAAATACGACTCGAACAAGATTATGTTCATTTCTGGGGTATTACCAATATCATAGCTTCTAATTTCATATCTAGATAAAGAAAGGTATACGGAATATGCCTACATCAATAAAACACCACATCGATGTGTAGTATTTGGAAACTAGCCGGTGAAAATTTGAACAAACGAAGGTGGTAAACAAGAGACGTAATTATGGCTGTCATGTCTAAAGCGCTGGGTCTTTCCCTCCTCTTAATGTAATCACACTATTAGAAGATATCTCTAAGTAATAGCACGTTCATGCTCTAGACAGCCATTTTGAATTTTCTGAGGGACGAATCAGAAAAACAGCACCACAATTCCTTCAATTTGAGTATAATATAGCCAATTTTTCAACACATATGAAGAAAATCTGTTTAAAACTTCTAGTATTCGAGTTTTCCTCCGGACGGACAGAATGACTGACAGACGTACGGACTGTCTGACGGAGGGCTACACTATATCCCTACAGAAGTTCGCTCGTTGGGATAATAAATCATGTCATGCCTTATAACTTAAAATGATCCGAGCCAATTCACATTCTGTAAAGAATTCCAGCACTCTTTCCAAGTCAGTCTTTCGTTACTTGATTCCCAACTTTTACGGATGAGGTACAGTTATTTAAATCAGTAACTAATAAAACATTTTTGCGAACTATTTACTGACTCTATGGTTTACCTGATAATTCAGCAGTCGGCCATGTGTAAACTCTGGAGTACTCCATGAAAGATGATATGATTTCACATCACTTGGATTCATACGAAGATCTTTAGGTGAGGATGGTTCTGAAAAATAAAAAAATCGTATGTATTTCCAGAAAAAAACGATTTCAAAACAGAATTATAACTCTTTTCTAAACTGGTTACTCACTATCGGCAGGAGTCATTGTGTCAAAGACCAAGATCTTCGGGCCCTCAAGATCTGCATTATTTACAATGGACAGCTCCACTTTATATTGGGTTTCAAACTCAAAATCTTTATTCGTTAGTTCTATATTCTCCTCGGGTATATCCATGAAAAACTCTCCATTTCGATAAATCCTGTAGGATAGCATTTCGTCGCACTTTATTTCTTCCTTAATAGGTCTCTGAAACATAAACACAAAACAGAAACATCTAAATCGTATTTTCCCCCTTTGAGGTTCATACAGGTTCATATCTTTTTTAAGTAATATTTCTGGCCAAGGCTGTCATTGGTGTAGGCTAAATGTAACTATTTGAATGATATTTCTATTCTTATTGCATGGTCGATACCTGAAATGGTTCATTTCTTTAAAACACTTGTTTTTTGAATATGAATGCTTTGGCATAGTTCGAGGTAAACAATATTATCCCACATTAAAGTCTTATCCGTGCATAATTCCATGAATACCACGGAGTCCCATTGAGCAAGCCCAAACAATGCTAAAATAAATAGAGGCTTCACCGTGTCCCATTGGTATATGTTGGGCTTATTCAACTAACAACAATATATCATGTTATTATTGTCATATGGTTCGATCATTCGTGTTTGATACAAGCTCGTCAATAAAATGATACATTATATTTAAAATCATACGATATCTTATAGTTAAGCATAACATATACGTGTAAAATTCATATTTAGTTTCAAAATTCCAAACAGATATTTATTAAGTACATACCACCCAGGTAAATTTTGTAGTAAGAGTTGATGGTCCTGTGTGATCCGAAGATGATGTAATGACAAAGTCATATGTGACATTCAGTGTCGAATATGTTGGATCTACAAGTAAGAGACAAACCATATGGTTTTTATTGCTCCTATTTTACCTTGCTATTTCTAGACAATCGATTTTTATTTTTGAGGAATGTAGATTTCCTGTTTCATAATATGTTTTGAATTTTAATGATTAATTAATTTTCTTACTTGTGCATGTATTCAATGGGTTACTCCAGTCAGAAGCAGTTCCATTTCTTGTATCATTAGCTTCATATGGGTACAATGCTGACACACGGAAAACAAAGCTGCTATCCTTTGATAAGTTGTCAATTCTTGCCATTAACCCAGAACTGTTAATCCATTCTATATTATCATCTTCGTCTGTTGAAAGTTTGTATTCAACTCTGAAGGTTTTATTAGTTGCAATATTACGTTTGGTTGTACTCTTATCATCGACAAGACTCCATTCTATCTCAATGTAATCAGCACCTCGACTCTTGAAAGCTGGTTTACCATCTATCTCGGGAACCTCTGAAATTACAAGTGAAATCCAATCATATGCACTTATTATGCCAGAAAAAAATTGATTTTACAAAAATAGCAATTCGAAACATTAATCGCTATTTCAAAAACAAAATATCACACAAGCGTACCTTGATTACAAATGTATTTTGGATAGTAATTTTGTTCACAATCACCACTGCAAACACCATCTTCCCTCTTACATTCATCCCGTGTCTTGCAATGTCTTGTACACTCCTCAGCACAGTTGACTCCCCATTTTCCAGTTGAGCATCCTGAAAGTACCGTCTCGATTCATTGTTTTTAAAAAGTGTCAAACAATTTCAAAATGCTGTGCAAGAATTGTTCAGTTCATGGTGGCATACTTGTTCTCTGGCAAGGTGAATCCTGCAAAATGCTCATATTATATTCGTAGTGTCGAATAATTCAATAATGTAATGATTAAAAAATGATAAGATATCTACTCATTATGCATTCCTTCTCGGGTCCATATCCCGCCATGCAATCCCCTGGACACCATCCATTAGCCTTGATACAAGTCGTGCCAGCTTTGCACTTTCTGAAGCACTTTTCACAAGAGGCACCATAGTGACCATCAGTACACTCTAAATAAAAAGGATGAAAGCACATCTGCCATAAATATGAGACGTGGGATATTAAGAGATCAATTGGACTTTACTATGATAATGTACAGCTGTACGTGGAGAGATTAGCATTCCTCAGACCAAAGACCTTGTATACAAATATCATATTCATGACTATATATCACAACTATAAATATTCAAATCATATTACATTTAAATTCTTGTAGATTTCGTGAACAGTTTTTCTGAAACTATGTTTGTCCCTCTGGGACTTTACTATGATAATGTACAGCTGTACGTGGAGAGATTAGCATTCCTCAGACCAAAGACCTTGTATACAAATATCATATTCATGACTATATATCACAACTATAAATATTCAAATCATGTTACATTTAAATTCTTGTAGATTTCGTGAACAGTTTTTCTGAAACTATGTTTGTCCCTCTGGGATTTTTTTTTTTTTGGATCTTACACATACATCATACATGATATACACACATGTTCATATAATTCTTTTACATTTTACAAATAGGTACTATTTTAACAGCTCATCTCCATGTATGAGGATTTTCTAACAATATGATTTACAAATGTTTACAGCATAACGTACAATGGTCTTCAAAAACATATAGATTACCACAGTTTTATAATATATAAATCCATACCTTAAATATAATACATAGGTATTGGCTTAATAGTTCACTAACCGATCTCCAAGTCTTATAGAATGTTTCTTGCATATCATTTGAATTTGCAATGTTTTGTTCATCTTTGATTTTATATTTTATGATTTCCTTTATTTGGATAAAGGTGATTTTAGTTTTAGTCAGTCTCGATTTATGTATTAAACTTTTTGTATACAAAATACAAAAATTTATGGCTTTAGTTTTATCCTCGTTTTCTTCATCTAATTTTCCTATAATTATATCTTTATATGTTAGATCAACATCGAGGACAATTTTGAAATCATCCCAAATCTTGGCAGAGTTTGGGCACTCAATATAAAAGTGTATGGTATCATCGATTTTGTTATTATTGCATATATCACACAATTTTGAATTTTTGATCTTCTTTTGAGTTAGAAAGTTATTGTTTGGCGTTAGATTTAAAATGAGTTTGTATTGGAGACATTGTATTCTTGGTTCACGTACAGTCTTAAAAGGTAAAGTGAAAATATGTTTCCATTCCTCTTCTGCGACATTAAATTTTGTAATTAGGAAGTTTTTACCAGTTGGTTCTTTGAATAAATCCTCTATGAGACACCAATAGATAGTTTTAGTTTTAATAGCCTTGATGTTAATTGTACCGTCTTTAATTTGAAGTTCTTCATTTTTAAGCTTCTTGTCATTTGAATTTTGTTTAATTAATTGTTTCCATGTGTGTGGTATTGCGTGGATTAAGCCATAGAAGGTTACGAATGGTGTATTAATGTTGTATTTACGAGAAAATTCTTCAAACCCCATGAAATCATTATTAATAACAAGGTCTTTAATTTGAAGAGTACCCTTGTTAATCCAGTTAGCATAACTCACTGTTAAATTATTAATTTTTATAAAATCATTATTCCATATATACTCCTTTAAGACAAGTTCCTTATTATATGGCTCTTTATTATGTAAACATTTCCACGTTTCCATCATACTGAGGTAAAATGGTGGTAATCTAGCCAAGGTTTCTACTGGAAATTTAGATTGAAAGATTGCCTCCGGGATTTGATGGAAATGATTAACTGATCTAAAATGTGCGGCTTTTCATTATGATAACGTCGATGTAAAAAGTGTTTCTCACCATACACCTCAATGTCGCATATTGACAATACTGCACTCGAAGAAGTGATGTTTTTCACTCTGATTGTGATTTCGTCTGTAGATTTGGAAGAACAGTCAATTTTCTTTTCATCTTTATGACCAAATACTTTCTCCTCACATTTTTCTCCGCTAGGTTTCATTGTTACCTCTAATGTTTGGTTTCCAATGTTGTCCGGATCTATAAGAAGTCGAGGTGAATAGTGTTCTTGGTTAAATATAACACGAGTGCAACTAGCTTTGAAATGTCTCCTTTCCAATGTTGTCAGGATCTCAATTAAATAAATTAAGACATGATGAATAAATATTTGAAACATACCATCTGCACAAGGGATATCGGAAATAACATTTGGCAAAAATGGTTCAAGCATATAAGACCTGAACTTGTCATGGTACTTTGAGACTAAGATCCAACAGACGTCGCTTCTTTTCATTTTAAATTGACACGAATCTCAATGGCAATTAATATCATATCTTGCCGTGGCATATCAAATGTCAAATATGCTACCATTGGCCTAAAACGTAAGTGAGGAATGCAGAGAAATTAAGAAATCATTAATAGATGCAACACACGTATGTGTTATTTGCCGCACAAATTCTTTTGCCTCACCTCCTATGAGATTGTATGTGTAGATGCTGTTTGATTCAGAACCGTAATTTTGGCATATATCTCCAAAGTATTTACAGTCCTGTTTTCCGGGTTCAAACTCAAATGCACCACAGAAACCAGACAAGTCGCAATTAGTTTTGCATTCTTGAAATGTAGATGCAGTGAGGTCTCCTTTTATGTCATCGTTGCAAGTATTACGTGTTACATTGTAACGTAAAGGATCTGAAATAGAGTATTCGTCTAAAATGCATTCAAACAATAGTTGTATAGCATATCATTACTTACATTGTGGGCTAGTGGTCTCATATTCATTGTTATACCATTGTATGCGACATCGAAAAGTATGGAGGGGAACAATTTTACATCGGCGTCATCATGCTATGAAAAGCCCTACATTTTAACTTATTCATCATTTGCATTGCTTTATCAAGCTTAGTCATGAAACAAGCCTAATCTGAAGTCCAAACGGACCCCAGGATATATTTTGCAATTACTTTGCAACCAGAGAAGCTTTTTTTCATTCTGACATCAGTTTTACAGGTTAATCTATTACCTTTCAGAATATGTATGCATTATTTATCATACATGCATGGAAATATGTGTAAACCTAATCATAAGGGGTCAGGTGTTTTAGCATTTTGTAACATTTGGTAGCATTTATATTATAACACTGTATTAATTGAATATGTTTCAGTGATAGTGATGTTCTTTGGCCTCAAGTAGCACAAAAAGTCATAATGCGATTTATATCTGGTTTGTTTTATCTGAAAGGAATTATATTAATTGAGGATTAGAGTGAATTTCATGTTGATAGAATGATTATTTCTGATATGATTATTGCAAAGAATGAGCTCTGGGGTCCAAACGGACCCCAAAAACCATTTAAGGGTTAAAAAAATCATGACATTGATACATTACCGAAAACACTGAAAATACATCACCGAAACACCCCTTCAGTGGTTTTGTGAGAATACCCCTAAGATATTATTTCATCACACGGCGATAGATGATTTGCATTTCATTAAAATAATTATGTGCATGCATGCATGTCACAACAACCAAGGAGTTGTAATACCTGCAAAATAGCCTCACGGGTGTTTAGCAGATACGGTGATACCATGAGCATTTGAGAATCCACGTTGCGCTGAAACTTACCACTGACCTCGCTAAGCATATGCCTAAGCCCCGCGCAACAACCATGAAACCGCCGAGCAAGCTCATGATATCACCGGATCTGCTTTACCTCATGTAGCCTGCTGACTTGGTGATACAGAAACAATTAACAATACCCAATCATCCGCAAGATTCTATTAAATACACACCACCCGTTATTGCATAGACACTCATTGCCCATGGTCCTCCAGTACCAATCACATCTTTCTCAACATCCCTAGCATTGCCAGAGTATCCCGTACACTCAGTTGAAATGCCGTGTTTGTCGTATGTCTTATATCCGGTAGTTGAAGTAACGCAAAATCCACCATTGAGGACACCAATTAGTTCGCTGTTATTGGCTGTTATTGCGGCGAAGCACTTCTTCACTTCCAATACTCGATTCCAATAATCATCGTGCAGATAAGGGATATCTTCGTTTTCAATGTACCAACCCAGTGCTCTGTCGACCCCGGTTTCTCCAAAACATCCAAAATATGTATACGGAAGAGCTAAATAAAAACATTGGCAATGTTGTTTAAACTGATTCGCCACACTTCTTTGATTGATATTCGGGTCATTTAAACTGCCCCGCCTCAGCGTTACTTGCATTACTATGGCAACGACAGAATTTACAAATCAAATCGCTTGAATTTGAAACTCTAAAAGTGAATGAAAAAAATCTGAATCTATGAACAAATAAAAAATTATGACATTATTCTGTTTATTTCCTGGACACCCTGTACATTTCCTGAAAATCTTGAATAATATATTGAAGCGACACTTTACTAGTATGTCACATTTTATATTTATGTTAAGAGTTACTATACCACACGGTTCGCAAACAGCGTCGCCCCGAAAAATGCATCCCTAGAGCCCTCATGTTTGGAATACATTGTCAATTATGATGAGGTCTTCTAGAGTTGCATTGTGTACACAAATGTTCTTTTGAGGAATCAGAATAGCATAAACGTTTTCGATTCTCAATGAAAATGCAGTTTCTAGAAGGTTCAATGAAGGGTATTCGTGATATAAATAATTTTGTCAATCTATTACTAATATAGCCAACTCATGTACATGTCCCATAATGTGAATAGAAGTTATGAGCATTTTAGGGGTTACCCTAAACTAAAAGAAATAGAAAAACACCAAATGTACATACCACCAACAGTAATTCGTATACTATGTACGTAATAATCTCTATCAAATACTATCGTGAATGTTGGTTCTTCATCACCATTAGAACGAGCACATGTTGTCGTATCACCATCAATAGCAAGCGATGCCCGAGCAGGTATCTTCTCATGATTGTCGTTGAATTCATAGTAAGTTGACGACTGGGATGCAGTTAAGCTTGATTTCGGAATTTGTTGAGTATTTGAGGCACAATCAATAATACCTGGCGAATAACACAACATAAATGTATGAGGTCTCAATGACATATCGAATATGTAATGCCTCGTTTATTATTTTTAATGTCATCACAAATCCATTTGAAAAAGTTATTTCCTCGTTCATTTAATATCCCCCAAAAATCAAAACATGACACATTTCGACTGAAACCACTACGCTATAAGCGGATTCTCATGGCGTTATTAGTTTCTAAAGCCTTTCAGCTACCATATGCTTGTTTAGTGGGGTGGTAAAAATCTATTTAAATTCTAGATTTCCTTCATCTCCTAGATTCTAGTCGTGATTGAGTCTGGATTTGGTGTCACAGCAACTATTATTTTGAGTCAAAACAACATGAAAATTCTGCCACGCTTGACTTGAATATGCCAGATTGTTATCAAGCAATATCGGCCAATTGTTCAAACGGTTTGTTTTTTTGCAACTCACTTTTATAATTGCCATTGCATTGTTACTTAAACTTTTTATCATTTGTTTTTTTCAAATGATGCCGGGGTAGGCCTACACAAAAATCATAAAATTCGAGTATTCTTTATATTATTTTACACTACACATCTTAAAATATACATTACTAACGTAAGGGTAGCCCAAATATTTTTTAGAAACACAAATACTTCCTAGACAGGTACATATCAAATCAAGCGTGATAGTTAATCTCGCGGGCTACAGTACAACGTGAGGGTGATGAAGTTTAAGCAGACTGATTCTTCGTTTCAGAAAGATCTGGTTTTAATTCTTGATATTTTTATATGTAAATGTCTGTAACAACACCCTTGACAGTGAACGTTATGGTGAATTTCATATTTAAACCTACATAAACTCCAAATGTAGAATACGGGCGGGTAAGATACTGTGTTACGCAAATTCAAACTACTTGTATCGTACCTTACTGTTAACGCGCGTTATATTGAATACTTCATTCGGAGTTTGTGTAGGTTTAACTATGAAATACACCATTAAGTTCACTGTCTGGGATGTTGTTACAGACATTAATTAACATATAGAAATATTTAGAAACTAGACCACATCTTTCTGAAACGATGAAAGCATTAGTGTTTCCTCACATTTCATCACCGTTGTACCATACCCCACGCGTTCGACTGTCACGTTTAGTTTTGTACAGCCGTGTCCTGGGTGAAACATAGTTCGTTTAGATTTGTAACTAGAACCCAGCACCTAAATCAATCTGAACTAACTGTCAAAAATTTGGCGTATTTTGACCACCCTAATAATTAGTTAACATCATATATGCCAGTTTATATTTTAGGTTGTGTTTTTTCTAGATAGCCGCCTCCCCATGCCAAAAAGTTTTGTAAATATGTTATATTTTATATAATAAATTTATAGAAACTTACACATGTTCTTTGGATATAAAATGTAATATAATGCAAGAATCAAACTTACCGTTGTTGATGCTCAAAACAGCGGATGCTGAAAAAGCATATTGTAAATACAGGTGTACGCTTTTCATTTCCAAATTACAAGCAAATATTATCACTGTTATTTCAAACCTAAACAATACTAAATTTGACACCTTTCAAGAATTACATTCTTATTAATTCCTTGTTATATGTGTTAATAATTTGGGTTATACACTTTTCGTGATCACATAAATTATATCAAAGCGTAAACTTCAACTCAACTCACTTCAGTTTATTTCAATAATATTTTATGTCGTCACTTGAAAGTTTCAGAGTTTATTATGAGTAGTATTAAAAGTATTAATATGTAACTGGCGGATTCTAATCGCAAGTAGTTATACTTTAGAATATGCCATCAAAGATGAATTGACAAGATTCCCTTTGCAATGTCGTTTCTGGCATATGACATTTTCAACTTCACTACATGAATACAATAACTTCACGCAGAATCATTGTAGGGGTTCAAAACCAAATCCAAACGTAATAAAGACTGTGAAAGACTTAAGATAGGCTTCATCTTTACGGCAACTATCTCGGCGAAAAGGTGATAATCGATCAAGAAGTTACTATTGGTACCAGTGTTATCAAACCTGGGACAACATCAAGGTAAACTGCATACAGGAAAGTTTTGGGTTTGTAATGGTTCTCGATAGCAAGTCGCTGCTACTGTTCGATCACTGTATTTGGGCATTGGATAACCACACTTCCTTCCATGTCTAGTATCTGACTCGTTACACTACATTTCCCTGAACGAGCGCGCCCAGAGTCCCTACATTCGTGTCAGTAGAAGAAATGGGATTTCCTCTTGTGAATCAGTTACGACGGGACACCTATACTCAAGTTGTTTTGTGATAGATGCGTATATTGCGATTGCTTTCTCAATAGGTATAATAGCAAACAAAGCAAGCCTAGAACTGAATGGCGTGTATGTCATTATTTATTTGGCAGGTTATGGGGAACATTTTGGTTATGATAATCGAAAGAAATGTTGGCATTTAAGAGGAGTCTCAATGGATATTCACAAATACATCCTTCACAAAACAATAATTGAAGACTGATTATCAAGCCCTTATAAAATATGCTTAAGGAAAGGGGACTTAAAATAAATAGTTCATTCAAAAAATTAAAACAGAAAACCTATATTTAGTTATGACATACAGTGTACATGTATTAAGAGATGAAATGCGAATAGATTAACATGGCTAAGAAATACTATAAACTACAAAAAAGTCCTAAGGGTAAAGACTTTCAAGACACAATTTGAAAAAGAACACTCAGTCATAAGAAAACAAATTCCCACATGCAGGAACAAGGCATTAACATGACAAAATGTCACCACCTAGTTGCTCACAATATTATGAGTTCAAACTTAAGTCAGATTTGAATTTCTGAGAACTTGTAAAGTCAAATTTGAACTTCTGAAAAGATGAAGATGATTTTGAAAAAAAAATTTGGTCAATTTGAAGCAAGTTGAAAACAGACCTTTTTGACCTTTTTTGACCTTGAGAAGGTCATTAAAGGTCAAATGTCAAATCTAAAGTCAGATTTGAATTTCTGAGAACACGTAGATGATTTTGAAAAAAAAAATTAGTCAATTTGAAGCAAGTTGAAAAAAGACCTTTTTGACCTTTTTTGACCTTGACAAGGTCATTGAAGGTCAAATGTCAAATCTAAAGTCATATTTGAATTTCTGAGAACATGTAGATGATTTTGAAAAAAAATTTAGTCAATTTGAAGCAAGATGAAAAATACCTTTTTGACCTTTTTTGACATTGAGAAGGTCATTGAAGGTCAAATGTCAAATCTAAAGTCAGATTTGAATTTCTGAGAACATGTAGATGATTTTGAAAAAAAAAATTAGTCAATTTGAAGCAAGTTGAAAAAAGACCTTTTTGACCTTTTTTGACCTTGACAAGGTCATTGAAGGTCAAATGTCAAATCTAAAGACATTATTGAATTTCTGAGAACATGTAGATGATTTTGAAAAAAAATTTAGTCAATTTGAAGCAAGATGAAAAAAGACCTTTTTGACCTTTTTTGACATTGAGAAGGTCATTGAAGGTCAAATGTCAAATCTAAAGTCAGATTTGAATTTCTGAGAACATGTAGATGATTTTGAAAAAAAAATTTAGTCAATTTGAAGCAAGTTGAAAAAAGACCTTTTTGACCTTTTTTGACTTTGAGAAGGTCATTGAAGGTCAAATGTCAAATCTTAAGTCAAATCTAAAGTCAGATTTGAATTTCTGAGAACACGTAGATGATTTTGAAAATTTTTTTTAGTCAATTTGAAGCAAGTTGAAAACAGACCTTTTTGACCTTTTTTGACCTTGAGAAGGTCATTGAAGGTCAAATGTCAAATCTTAAGTCAGATTTGAATTTCTGAGAACACGTAGATGATTTTGAAAAAAAAATTTAGTCAATTTGAAGCAAGTTGAAAACAGACCTTTTTGACCTTTTTTGACCTTGAGAAGGTCATTGAAGGTCAAATGTCAAATCTAAAGTCAGATTTGAATTTCTGAGAACATGTAGATGATTTTGAAAAAAAAATTTAGTCAATTTGAAGCAAGTTGAAAAAAGACCTTTTTGACCTTTTTTGACTTTGAGAAGGTCATTGAAGGTCAAATGTCAAATCTTAAGTCAAATCTAAAGTCAGATTTGAATTTCTGAGAACATGTAGATGATTTTGAAATTTTTTTTTAGTCAATTTGAAGCAAGTTGAAAACAGACCTTTTTGACCTTTTTTGACCTTGAGAAGGTCATTGAAGGTCAAATGTCAAATCTTAAGTCAGATTTGAATTTCTGAGAACACGTAGATGATTTTGAAAAAAAAATTTAGTCAATTTGAAGCAAGTTGAAAACAGACATTTTTGACCTTTTTTGACCTTGAGAAGGTCATTGAAGGTCAAATGTCAAATCTTAAGTCAAATCTTAACTCAGATTTGAATTTCTGAGAACACTTAGATGATTTTGAAAAAAAAATTTAGTCAATTTGAAGCAAGTTGAAAACAGACCTTTTTTGACCTTGAGAAGGTCATTGAAGGTCAAATGTCAAATCTAAAGTCAGATTTGAAGGTCAAATGTCAAATCTTAAGTCAGATTTGAATTTCTGAGAACATGTAGATGATTTTGAAAAAAATTTTAGTCAATGTGAAGCAAGTTGAAAAAAGACCTTTTTGACCTTGAGAAGGTCATTGAAGGTCAAATGTCAAATCTAAAGTCAGATTTGAACTTCTGAGAACATGTAGATGATTTAGAAAAAAATTGAAGTAAGTCTAAACAGTATTTGTTAAGTTATAGGAAGTTGTAAGAAATTGTTACAGACGCCGGACGCCAACCACCAACCGCCGGACGCCGTCGCAAAAAAACGGAGACCATAACAATATGTCACCACTTTTGGTGGTGACATAACAAAGACTAAACTAAAAAAGACAAAATATCCTACAGCTCCTCCAACCGCTATCACAATAAAAAAACTGTGATATTTTTCATTCTGACTTAAAGCAAAACAGTTCATTTAGAAATAATTGCAAAGTCAAAAAAGTTGTCTAAGACCATACATGTAATCTTTTTAAATGGAAATAAATTAAATTTGGTCTTTTGAATTTGTCCTGCATTACAGGTGATTTGTACATGTGTCCGTTTTATGCCTTTTATGTCATTTCTAGTATTATTGAGTTGTTCATAAACATGATTACCCGCGTTATAAACTTGGATGCCTTCTGGAATAGTCTCAACCTAGTCAGGTTCTCCAGTTGCTTTCCTATCAAAAATGTTCCCTATGTCCAGCGTAGGTTTCATTTCAAACTCTTCATGCTCAATACTCTGTTAAGGTTATCCTGTCGTGATTGATTCTTTACTTGGGTGTCTGTTTTACTTTTACTTTCTAATGCATTTTGTGCCCCACATACATTATATGTTTATTATTCACCATTACAAAGATTATTACCCAAATCGCTCCCCATGTGATTTATAATGGAGACACTTTTGAAACGCTTACTGTGCACGTGATGTTGACTAAACACCTTGGGTTTTGTTTGATGACCAAGCTGTATAGCTACTTCATATATTTTTCACAAGTATTAACCTTCTGATTTTCCTAAATAGCACAGCGATAACGACAATTGATAACAGGATGCACAGCGAACCGACTGCCGTCAACCCAAGAGTTTACATACCTATTTGCAGAAGGCTTATGAAACAGTAAATTTTTGTGAAAAAAATGTTCAATGGGGTAAATGGGTTCAATGGGTGAATGTATTATTGCAATATGAATTTTATTGAGTTAAAATGTAAATTATGTCTACATATTCTGATAATAAAACGTGTTCTACAGTATTACAAGCAATTTGACCTTACGCCAAGAGTGTAATTTATCTGTGGCTGAAGCTTGTAAAATAACAGAGGCACAAAAATGATAAAAAACTATTGAAAAATCGAGGACTGATCCCCGCGCCTGCATACATAAGGGTAATAAGCTCTATTGCTAGGAGTTGTGTTTAACAATTAACCGACTCTGTTTGAAAAGATCCTTTCGTAACAGGTCTGTTACCCGCTTTTGCGGATGCTTTGACTTCACACTCATACGTTGTCCGAGTCTCAAGACTACTGACGAATGTCCCTCTAGTTTGTTTGTTTGTTTATGTGATATATGATCATCCAAGAACGAAAGCATTTACGAGCATTATTTATAATCCGAACATGACTGTATTCATGCCTTCTATAAACTGTGAACAAAGTCAATGCTTCAGCTGGGTTATATTCGATATCAATTCCCCGGCTCTGTACTAAGTGTTTCGTTCAGTTCACGCATTGGTCTTTTTAGGCCGTTCCGTTCTTTTCGCACCCCCCTCTCGTCTGCAAAATTCAAAATGGCAGGGAGAAATTGTCTGGAGCCAAAATTTTCTGTCGGAGCATTTGTAAACTGTAATCTCAATAATTTCAATGTAGTAGATATGCGTGAAACCAATAAAATAGGCCGAAATGTTAATAAAAAACTTAAGTAGGGGTCAGGAGGTAAGTAAACAAATTGGAACAGCCAAACGCTCAACCGGAAGTAGAAATGAAAAAGTGGAAATGAAAATCGAAACTGACGATTTTGCTTCAATTTTTTCAAATCATCTACAAACTTTCAGAAGTTTAAATCTGACTTTAGATTTAAGAATTGACTTTCAATGACCTTCTCAAGGTAAAAAGGGTATTTTTTAACTTGCTTCAAATTGACCATTTAAAAAAACATCTTCAAGTTCTCAGAGGTTAAAAGCTGACTTTATTCTTCATATTTGACCTTCAATGACCTTCTCAATGTCAAAAGGGCAACTTGATTCAAATTGACCAAGTTCTACAAGTTCTACAAGTTCTCAAAAGTTCAAATAAAATTTAAGATTTGAAAAGGGCAACTTGATTCAAATTGACCAAGTTCTACAAGTTCTACAAGTTCTCAAAAGTTCAAATAAAATTTAAGATTTGAACTTCAATGACCTTCTCAAGGTCAAAAAAGATTTGACCTTCTCTCTTGCTTCAAACTGACATTTTTCAAAACCATATACAAGTTCTCAGAAATTCAAATCTTTTCTCAACTTCGATCATATTGACAGTTTTTTTCAAAATCGTCTACAAGTTCTCAGAAATTCAAATCGGACTTAAGATTGAAGTCATACTTTAGTGAGCAACTTGATGGTGACATTTTGTCATGTTAATGTCTTGTATTAGATTTGGTATGATATTTAAGAATGTCTTGTTCTATCGTTCTATATGGAAGTGATGAATAAGTATATTTGGTACATGTATCAGCCTTGGAACACTTTCACACATAGAAGCTGCGTTCTGATGCTTTATCTTTTGTGTTCAATGTACGTACCTATATAGCTCCTTCAAAATGTAATTTATTTCAATGTAACAAGGCGGGGTTATGCGAGTATTTAGTCTTAAATTGGGAGTGACGTACATGTACAAGTCTTCTATCTTGTCATAACTATTTTGTAAGTTGTTCATAAACATGAGTTTCTGCAATATCAACGTGCATGCCATCTTGAATAGTCTCAGATCGGTCTAAATGCGTTGGTGTTTGTCCGTTCATTTGTGGCATTTGTTTCTTTGCTTTCGAACCAGCATTTACATATTCAGGTTCCCTAGTTGCTCGCCTATCAGAATGCTGCCCCATACCCAGTGGGGGCTGCATTTCAACCTCTTCATACTCGACGCTCTGTTCAGTTCGCCCCATTGGGGTTGAATCTATACTTTTGGTGTCTGTATTCCTTTTACCTTCTGACGTGTTTCTGAAAGAGCAATTGACATACGGAAGGAAAATCGACGAAACCCTTGTAAAACATAATATTCAACAATTATTGCATATTATTTCCTCCTTCCCGAATGTCGTAACGTCATTAATAAGTACAGGCTTGTTTGACGATTCCTTTCATATTGAAGACATTGCAAATTGCAATACTTGATGATTCATCTAGACTACATAAACTATACAATACACAAATATCAAAAATACTTATGGATACCAAATACCAGCAAATTGGGACAAGAACTACAGTATTAAATGTAGGGTGACAAATGAATTGTTTCTTGTTTGTCCATGTATCTATATCCTTTAACAATCAACGGTTTACATGTCAAATTGATTTGGTTGCATGTAAAATGGTCGTATTAGTGTAATAATATTAAATAAATTCATGGGCAATTATCCATTGATAGCAACTTAATTTCCTCATATATTATTTACTTTAGAATTCTAAATTGCTAGCCCCATTTCCGCTTCGTATGCACCATGGATTTGTTTGATGAAGAAGATGTTAAGCTGTTATATATTATTGCTCACAAGTAGTTACCTTCTGATTTTCCTAAATAGCACAGCGATAATGACAATTAGTACCAGGATGCATAGCACACTGGCGACCGTTACTCCAACAATTGCACCAACTAGTTGTTTGGTATTGGGTTGCATTGTATTATCGCTCGTTCCTTCTTAATTAAGAAAACAACATTACATGTATAAACAGTTTAAACAATTATTAAAGATTCATTAAAATTGAGTAACATTACAAAACGCCAGGAATTTAAGTATTGATGATATCGTCTAGCAGCTAACAATATTACAGCAAGTTCATGTTCATGTTTACATTGAATATTTACCTAATTAAAGCTATACCACTTTTTGGTAAGAAACGAAATAAAATATTAAGAGTTTGGTTAATATACTGGGTATGTAATGATATTTCTGTTTATCATTATAATAACGAAGATTTCCATTTTCCCAATTATGTTCTAATTGTGAACTTGGCCATTTTGAAACAATATATACTTTCAGATTTGACTACGAGTTTTGACTTCGTTTGGGTGATTGAGTTTTTTTGGATCAAGGCAAAATAAAAGTGAATGTTGAATCTTCTCTCCTTGGTATTTAATAATGTCCAGGCAATGAGTTGTATACATGAACATTTATATTATTTATAATTGACATATACCTTTTGTTGTTTGAAAATAGCCTTGCACCACAGGTCCATAACCCGCTCTTGTGGATGCTTTGACGGCACACTCATACGTTGTTCCGATCTCCAAATTACTGACAAATGTCTCTCTTGTCTCGGACGACAGTGTCTGTTTTATTACTGCGTATGTTGTATTCACGTAGCACGTAACCTAAGGAAAACATGGAACAACGTCTATCACGGGCTACTCAAATTAACACAACGATTTATGTACAAGATAGACATCGTCGCTTTCCACTGGGTCTAGTAAACTGAAAAACTATAAAGCAACGTGCCTTTGCATAATCTTAGATTCCAACATTCAATCAAAGTAATTCCAATTGTATTTATTTATCATTTTATCATTTTGTTCAAAAGGATGAGAGACATAAATAAATTAATTGTGAACATTTGAAGGAATACAGTATCATACTTGATTTACCTGATACTGCTGCAGACGGCCATTTGTAAAACGAGGAGTTTTCCATGCAAGATAAAACGAATTTACATCACTTGCTAGCATACGTAAATCTCGTGGTGAGGATGGTTCTGAACAAGACAAAAACACATGCAGATATATTTGGATTTTCTTATGCAATCAAAATAATTTTTAATTTCAATTTTTCACTATTCGAATTAAATGGATACTCACTATCAGCAGGAGTCACTGTGTCAAAGACTAAGGTCTTTGGTCCCTCGAGATTAGCATTATTTACCATGGAGATCTCCACATTATACTGGGTATCCAGCTCAAAGTCATTTTTCGGTAGTTCTATATTCATCCCGATTGCACCCCTCAAATATTCTCCATTTCGGTAAATATTGTAGGTTTGAATATCGTCGCACTTTATTTCATCTTCGATAGGTCTCTAAAGTCAGAAACACAAATGAAACATAGAAAATCAGGAGTGTTCAAAAGGTGGGCTGGATATGACCTGGTCACAAGGTTCTTCTAGTTTAGCTAATGCATAACAATCGTTATTCCTCCCAATATTTCTTTGAGGAAGCTATATCGATAATTGCACTTGAAAAAAGTGTTGATGGTCCTGTATGATTCAAGGATGGCGTAATGACAAAGTCATATGTGGCGTTCAGTGTTGAATCTTAAAGTAAGAACAAATCCATTTCACCTTAATGCTCCAGTTTAACCATGTTCTTCTATTAATATTTTTAGCAAGGTTGGCGTTCAAGTTTCAATGTGCTTTAGATTCCCCGATGTTTTAGACAGTCATGTTTCATATTTATATCTATGTACATCTTTCTCTACCTTGATGTGGAATTACAAGTCGTGATATTGGTTAACACGCCAGAAATTAACACAATATCATTCGAAGCGCATCGTGAGATATCACAGCCTTCTCTCAGTGTCCTTCTAGAATGTGCATAGCAGAGATGGTCTGAGTATCAGAATGTTCGAAGCGTGTCTAGACAATTTTGACACAGCCATTGAATAACGTCGATTTGTTATCTCAATGCAGATTTACATCATAGACATATGTCATCTCTGAACCCCTGGGTTTCCCTCTCTTATTAGCATCAGTTTTATTTTGATCTGTTTCGGAGAATTTTTTGACTTACCTCCACATGTCAAAATTACCCATTCCATTTCAACAACCTCAATTCCTAAAGATTATATAACAAATATCAATGTACATACCATCCATGTTAATTTTGTAGTGAGGGTTGATGGCCCTGTATGATTCAAGGATGGCGTAATGGCAAAGTCATATGTCGCATTCAGCGTTGAATAAGTTGGGTCTAAAAGTAAGAGAAGAACCATGTGGTTTTTAATGCTCTTATTTACGATGCTATTTCTAGACCATCTATTTATTTTAAGGAATGTACATTTCCTGTTTCATAATGCGTCTATGTACAATGTTTAATAGGAGTTTAATTTTGAACTGATTTAGACCAGTCTAATGCTTACCTCCACACGTAATAAATGGATCACTCCAATCAGATAAAATACCCATCCTTACATCATTAGCTTCATATTGGTACAATGCTGACACACGGAAAACAAAACTGCTATCCTTTGATAAGTTGTCAATTCTTGCAATTGACCCAGAGCTGTCAAACGATACTTTATCATTATCTTCGCCTGTGGAATTTTTGTATTCAACTCGGAAGGATTTAGTACTTGCAGTATCACGTTTGGTTGTACTCGTGGTATGTACAACATTCCATTCTATCTCAATGTAATCAGCACCCCGACTCCTGAACGTAGGTTTACCATCAATTATATTTGCCTCTGAAATACACAAGTGGAATCTAATCACATTTCAATGTTCAATGATAATGCCAAAACACAACCTATGAGTTTACTTTATCCCGGTAAAAACATGTATTTCCTATAACCGATTTATCACCGCACTGTACCTTGATTTATATATTTATTATTAGCAATTTACGAAGAATTCGAAACAAAATACAAACGAATGTACCTTGGTTACAACTGTTTTTTGGATAGTATTTTTCTTCACAATCACCACTGCAAACACCATCTTCTCTTTTACATTCATCCCGTGTCTTGCAATGTCTTGTACACTCCTCAGCACAATTGATTCCCCATTTTCCAATAGAGCATCCTTTAATCAATTAATAGTTAAAGTGTCGGAAACACTCGTGCATTTTGATACATTAGTCCTTGTCGTTTATTCTTGAGAGCTCCAAGAGTCACGATTTGTGTCACTGCAAGAGTTCATTTTAGGATGTCGTCGTTTTCTTAACAAAATGATCTACAAATCGACATAATGCTTAGTTGAAATCATTGAATAAGGATTTGATGTATACTTATGCATTCTCTCTCGGGTCCATATCCAGCCATGCAATTCCCGGGACACCATCCATCAGATTTGACACAAGTATCACCAGCTTTGCATTTCCTGGTACATTCTATACAGGAGGCACCATAGTAACCATCAATACACTCTAAACAAGAATAGATGAAGTATATACATGGTGTTTCATCCCCCATCAATCACCAATCCTAGATAAAAATATACCTCCTATAAATACACTCATTGATCTCAACCTCTGTACCCCTGAGTATTTTTCCAGAATCGCGTCTTTTATCTTAAACGTTGAGCAACTCGACAAACCAGCGTTCGAATTGCTAAAGCTAAGTTAAAACCAACGGCGCCATCGAAGCGCGTTGGTGTGAACTTAGTTTTGGGTAATGCAAATATGATTCATTCAAAACAACGCGCCTGTATTCAAATCATAAAACGGTAAAGTTCTTGTAGTTTTCGAAAATAATTTTTCTGCACCTATATTCGAGCCAGGCCACAGGAAAAGGGGTCTTATCGCAGATTTTTCAACATTCAGATTTTCTGTTCATCTTACAAAGCACAAAGAGACCTTTCAAATGAGCCATGGCTTGTGTTTTAACAATTTTTCCTTGCATATATAGACCAAAAAGTCGGATTTGAATTAAGCATATTTCTCTCTTAATCTTGGGCACATTTTTGGCTCTGTAGCACAATTTTATTTTATGTTATAAGACCGGTTTTCCGATGGCCAGGCTTATTTGTCTATCTTGTGTTGACCTGTTATATATATAGCTATTCATAACACGATGAAATCGATGTAAAACAGGTGTGTCTCACCATACGCCTTGATGTCGCATATTGACAATACTGAACTAGAAGAAGCAGTGTCTTTTACTCTAATTGTGATTTCATTTGTAGATTTTGAAGAACAGCCAATTGTCTCTTCATCTTTATGACCAAATACTTTATCCTCACATTTTTCTCCACTGGGATTAATTGTTACCTCTAATGTTTGGTTTCCAATGTTGTCCGGATCTATAAGAAGTCGAGGTGAATGGTGTTCTAGGTTTAATATAACGCCGGTGCAACTAGTTTTGAAATCTCCCGTTATTAAATATTATTAAAACTTTTTGAATGTTGCCAGGATCTCATTTAATTAAACAAACAAATGAATTATAAACATAACAAGACATAACATATGTCTGTACGATGGATAATATTATGATAAGTCACGTGTGGCAAAACAAATACCAGAATATGACTCAAAATAGATGTTATGGTACTTGAGGCTTTAAATATTATGGATGTCGCTTCTTTATACTTCTTTGGTTTAATTTGTTTTTAATATAGCATATCATGCCAGGTGTCCCGAAAAGGTGAGACACTTTTTGAGAAGTTTTTACTCGGCAACTAACACTGAAACTTTCACTGAAATTTGGTACAAAGTATCCTTAGAGTATCATTAGCAAGTTCTAAAAACATGTGAGTTCCATTAAACCGATAAAATAAGCTATTTTACATTTCAAAACATGGTAGCATATATAATAAGCATCACTATGGGATGGAGTTAGGGTTAACTGAACCCACAAGGTTGCGACTGAGTGGGACACAATGTAATTTAACTTGTTTGAAAGCGCACGCACACTCATTTACTGGAAACATCGCATTGATTTTAATTAATATCAGATGTAAGCTGCACGTGGCAGTGGGATTATTTTTGGTGGTTTTTACGTTGACCGGTTCGTCTTCGAAACTGGGTTATGCAATAAAAAAGTCGGTTTGTATTTTCAGATCGACCCAAACCTCAATGACTAATCAAAACACATCATTATTATCTTACCATGGGATAAAAATTTCTAATGCGTGACCATAAGCCTACAGCGTACAGTGAAAATGTGCAGAAACAATAAGAAAGCACGAGAAGCTACACGTCATGTAAAGTTATTTTGCCTCACCTGCTATGAGATTGTATGTGTAGATGCTGTTTGATTCAGGCCCGTAATTTTGACATATATCTCCAAAGTATTTACAGTTCTGTTTTCCGGGTTCAAACTCAAATGCACCACAGAAACCAGACAAGTCGCATTTAGTTTTGCATTCTTGAAATGTAGATGCACTTACTTCTCCCTTTTTGTTATCGTTGCACCAATTACGTGTTACACTGTAACGTAGTGGATCTGGAATAGAATATATGTTACGCGGTAAACTCGATACAAAAAATATGTCATATTCCGCAACGAATATGACATATTCACTTGCGGTGTATGACAGATTCACCTGCGGTATATGGCATACACACTAACCAATGAGAACGTGATACGGAAGTACGCAATTGTCAATAACTGCATCCATTGAACGAACAAGTAAAACGTTATATAGATTAATATAATGATTACTGAATCAACAGTACTGTGTATCGAATATATTAACTTAGCAGAAGTTTAATTCACCAATCTCGCGTAATAAACTTACTCAATCAATCCAGGATTCATATACTAACTAACTATATTGGTAATCCAGCGTAGTTTTACATTTAGAGTCGATTCTCGCAACCAATCAAATCAAGGCTTTCTGTATCACGTTTTCACCTGCGGTATATGTCATATTCACCTGTGGTATATGGCATATTCCGCAAGTAAGTATGTCATATTCCGCAGGTGCGTATCGGGTATTCACTGAAATTAATGTATCGCATATTCACTGCGGAATATCGCATACTCACCTGCGGAATATGCCATATACCGCAGGTGAGTATGGCATATTCACCTGTATCACAAATACCGCGCAACCATGAATATATGCCATATACCGCGTAACAATATATACGTCTATAATACATAATGACAACTACCATTCAATAAATTGTAGATGCAGCGATAACTCCCTTGCTTTTTGCACTTTCGTTGCACTTATTACGTATGTAACGTAAAGAATCTCGAATAGAGTATAGATTACATAATGGGAGTTGAACTACTATTCAGGACTCAATGGCAGAGACTTTAAGAAATTATCACATTCTGCTTGTACTAGAAACCCAAAAATGTCACGAAATGATCGCATGCAAATCTCCTGCCTTTTGAGAATCACCCTAATACGATGCAATACTATATATAGAATGTTTACAAGTAAACAGCCAATTACAATAGAGAGATTTCGCACATAAGTGAAAGTACAACTATATACGTATACTTTCAAGGGTCATGTCGAACTATTATATTTACTAAAATCAATTTTAAATTGTACTTAATGGAACATAGCTATCCCCGAAATAGAAAAGCTCCATTAACTAGAGACTGTGAATGCACTGTCATCTGCACGTGTAGATTCTGCACATTATGATTAAATGCTTGCTCCCGTGTCCTGGTAGAGTCCATTTCACTGCTTCATTTCGTCAGTAGAACGGCAAAAATAAGAAATTGGGAGACCATTGTGGAATTATATATGGAAAAGTATATCCATAATGTACATGAATGACATTTGTATATTTCAGATTTTTTAGTTTTATGTGCAATTTAAGCCTGTGCCGTCTTGTAAATTGAAGAATTTCAGCCATGTTAATCTTATTGAAAATAACATGGCAGAGAAGCATCCCAATATAAGAGGCCACACACTTTATAAGCCAAACTAGAAGCAATCCAAGATATACAAATGTCATTCATGTACATTATGAATATACTTTTCCATATATTATTGCACAATGGTCTCCCAATTTCTTATTTTTGCCGTTCTACTGACGAAATGAAGCAGTGAAATGGACTCTAGTTGTAGTGTATTATAAACACGATCCTTTATAGTGAGTCATGATCCTTTAAAGTGAGTCATTACATAATCAAGTTGATTATTTTAAAGTTTTCTTGATCAGTATAAGTTCAATGAACTTACAAAAGGTCTATACATTAGGGAGGTTAAGATAAGCGTAAAATTGTACGTATACCTATCCCTATCCGTATGTTTTCAACTGACCTCCCATACAAACATACGGATAGGGATAGGTATACGTACATTTTTACGCTAATCTTAACCTCCCTAATATACATAGATGATAAACGTATACAGTTGGATCTCCGTATGAAGCTTTACCTACATGTGTGTGGAACAATTGACCGCAAGCATTTTTAAAAATTAATTGGCTGAGTAGGAACAGTATCCAATCAAATACTTTAACCATCAATTTGAAACACCAATCAAACCAGTAGGTTTTAGCAATTCCTGGAAACGACGCATTCCATTCAGTAGCTCAACAAATGACATACAGGGTGTTTCATAATGAGCATCTCCAAAAAGTCAATTTGAGCAGAGATGGGTCTATAACATATGTACTATATATGAGCCTATTTTATTCTAGACAAACACATTTGGATCAACTAAACATGCTACAATTCAAGAAAGTACAAATGGCATCCCTTTGACCTTTATTATTACAGTCCGAGAAGATCTTGCCTGACGAAAAGCCCACATTATGAAACACCTTGTACGTTTACTTATAAGTATAAGTATACGTTATAAGTTGTACTTTCACGTATGTGCGAAATCTCTCTATTACCCGATAAATAGCCTGATGACACGTTGATACAGAAACAACAATAAGCAATCACACGAATTCGAAAGATCATATTGAACACCTACCACCTGTTATTGCATAAACATCCATTGCCCATGGTCCTCCAGTACCAACTACCTGTTCACCATTCCTGTTACTGCCTGTGCACTTATTTGAAGTACCATATTTGTTATATGTGCCATATCCGCTGCGGGAAGTATAACATATTCCACCATTCAAAACACCAATGATTGTTTTACTATTGGCCGTTACAGCAGTGAAGCACTTCTTCACTTCCAATACTCGATTCCAATAATCATCGTTCAAATAATCAATATCTTCTGCATCAATGTTCCAATCCAGTGCTCTTTCCCAGTCGTCCCCAAAACATCCAAAATGTTTATACGGAAGAGCTAAATAAAAACAAAAGTAATGCTGTTTAATCTGATAAACCACTTGGCAATGCATAATATCATATATACGAAACACTAAGCGCGGTGCTAAAGTCACTTCAAAAATTAATTAACTAGTAAAAAGCGTCGTTCAAATAATCAATATCTTCTTCATCAATGTTCCAATCCAGTGCTCTATCCCAGTCGTCCCCAAAACATCCAAAATGTTTATATGGAAGAGCTAGATAAAAACAAAAGCAAAGCTGCTGTTAAATCTGATCCCTCACACTCCTTTCATTAATACTTTCCTCAAAATTCCATACCAGGGCTCTATCCTTGTAGTACCCGAAACAACTAAAGTATTCATATACGGAATATACAGATATAGACCCAAAAGTGATATTATTATGTATTATCCTACACTTAGTGTACTAAATGAATAATAACATTACAAAATAAATTTGATATTTATTGGCAAAATGACTATCCGGAGGATATCGTAACGATATACTCCGGGCGGAGGATATCGTGACGATATACTCCGGAAAACCCAATATGCGGAGGATATTGTGAAGATATACTCCGCTTGTTGATTTCCCGCCAAATTGACTCTATTTGGCATGGAATTCATTTTGCAATGATATTATACATTTAGTACACTCCTTGTAAGTGTAGGATAATAAGAACATCCTATGATTTTTTTCAGAATATCATTTTAATCTACTCGGTGATATTGATATATGCACTCGTTCGCTTCGCTCTCTCGTGCAGATATCAATATCACCTCGTAGATAAAAATGATATTCCTCAAAATCATAGGATATCCTATAAATATTAAATAAATCAATTACATGTACACCAACGCAAATTATATTTGTTTTGTCAAATAAACAACTTAGCAGGTCAAGGGAAGAGACACAAAATTAAAGGACTTGTATACATTGTGGATCGAAAGAGCTTAAAAATATATCAAATAAGAAGTGATAACAACGTCATACTTGATGAATACTTGAAAATTGATCAAACGCATGCATACTTTGAGTACTCGGGGAAGGTTAAGGCCAGGGTGCATATATTTATATCGGTTACTTCAACTGAAGTTAAATTACAAGTCAGTCTCAAAAATGCATCATACCAGTGCCCCCACGTTTGAAATTTAGTATCAATAATGATAAGGTTTCCTAGATTTATCTTGTATACAACAAAAGTGAAGTTTCCATACAGATTAAATGCGGATGTTCATGAAACGAATAATTTTTTCAATCGATTGCTAATATTACCAACGCACTTGGTGAGACTTAAAAGGTATCGAAATGGGATCGGAGCAAGTGAAGTTAACCTCTACCGTTTCGCAGAATAGTCTTATATTGATAGAACCTTGAGGCATTTATGGCCAACCTGCCATAAGAAAATAAGAAAAACATCAGTTGCACATACCTCCAACAGTAATACGTATACTATGTGCGTAATACTCTCTGCCAAATGATAACGTGAATATTGGTTCTTCACCACCATTGGTACGAGCACAAGTTAAACTAGTATATGGTAAGTAATATAAATATTGACTTCCTGGAAACACAAATTATTCTTAAATGATAAAAGTGTTCCCCCTGCACTTACGTACCGCCAACAGTAATTCGTATACTATGCACGTAATACTCCCTGCCAAATGATAATGTGAATGTTGGTTCTTCGCCACCATTGGTACGAGCACATGTTGTCGTATCACCATCAGTAGCTAGTGATGCCCGGGAATGTATCTTCTCATCATTATCGTTGAACTCATAATACGTTGACGACTGGGCTACTCTTGATATCGGAATTACTTTGGTATTTGATGCGGCACATTCAATATCTAGAAATGTTAAAACATATAGTTACTACAAACATATAATATGCGTATTCGTTGTTTTCAGGAGCTCTATTAAGCAGATTCTAAATACAAGCTGGCTCACATGTACTAATAGATAAGGACTTATCAGTTCAGTTTTGATGTTCTATTAACATATCTTTGAATTCAAAACAATAATTTCCTAACACATTCTTTTCATTGAATATTGGAAATGGCAAACGCAGAACTCATTTCGACATTATTCTTAGTCCTTTACTGTTCTTAGTTTATATTAATGATCTTCCTGAAAACTTGCACAGTAAATGATACATATACGCAGACGACAATTCTCTTCACCAGTCATTTAACCAAGATTATTTAATTGAAAAATATAATATTTTACAAAATGATTTGAATTCCATTTTCAACTGGTCAAACATATGGAAATTGAATTTCAAAGATGAAAGAGTAAGGACATTTTATTCTCTAACCCTCGTAAACATCTATTATTCGAACAACATATTAATGAACTATACAAAAAAGTCTAAAAGAACTTAAACCCACTCAGATCACTCCAAAAGAAATTAGGAGGTAAACACTTGAAGCTAATTTTCAAGTCATTATACTTCCGATTTTTGACTATTGTGATATTCTCTACTCGTGTGCAAACTTATCAAAATTAAATTAAATTGATCAGCTTTATTATAAGCACGGGATACTAGAGTATCCGCGTATATTGAGTATGACCGGTTCTAAGCTTACGAGTGTGACCGTATTTCTGTTCCTATAAACAGACGAGGTGAGTACTTGCTTTTTATGAACACTTTCGAACGTTTTCTTTTTATCCTACTTGGTCAATGAATGATACTTGGTATACTTATAATGCCAGGCATATCACAAGGGGCCTTACTTAAGAGAAAACGTATTAATATTAGATTGAAGCCGTAAAATCCTAGTTTCCAGCATCTTTGATCAGTTTTTGTGTAACACAACGCAACTCCGAAGAGGATGACACATCTTATGTATAATATATAGCTAGATCTACGAATTAGTCATGAATATTTTAAATAGTTTAGCCTGCTCTGTCCAAATATGATACATCTTTGAATTTTTGAGAATACGAATGTCACTGGTGCCCCATTATTGGAGAATACGATTGTGAAACAATCAGTGGGCCGTGTTACACTCGTTTCCATGACATTTCACAAGCGTATCCTCTGGGAAAAGATAAATCCTTCTCTTGCTCACTCTACGGGGGATCATATAAACTGAGATTTGGAGATCTTGTTCAGGTTAGCCATAAAAAGGTTTGGGATTTGTTTTTTTCTACTGTGATATTAATGATTTGGCTCTAAGGCGAGAAATCTGTACTTTCTGATTGATATTCCATTATGAACAGTTACATTGCTAAAATAGCTCATGTTTAACATTTTTTTGTTACATTACTATTAAATACAGCATAAACTATATTCAACAAACACAATTTCAAAAAGGATAATATAGAAGTTAACCTTTATTTTCCATTTTTAAGCAGCTGTGCCTCTCATGACTTTCCAAAACAGGTCATATTCGTAGCCTAAGAACCGGTCATACTCAATATACGCGGATACTCTAGTTACCCGTGTATAAGGCAGCCTGTTTATGCTCTGGAGTCATTCATGGCACATCGTGTACTAACGTTTTGAACTGTTTAAATTGGACATCATTAGTGGAAAGACGGAAATACAACCACAATATTCTTGTGTTTAGATCGCTGAATAATTTGGTACAAGCATGTGTTTCAAGTATTTTCCAAAGATACCGTAGACATCATACAGTTGACGTTCGAAGAATTGCTCCTTTTCAAATCCCAACTAGAATTACATCATTTTCAAATAGATCCTGTATTTTACAATCAATGATGGATTGGAATTCCCTGTCAAAGCGCCTTATAGAAGGTGAGAATTTAAGTATATTTAAGTCAAGGGCAAAGGAAGAATTATCCAATTCAATTATTCGATCCTCTGAACTTAATATTCCAAGAAATCAAGAAGTTATACTTAACAAGGTTCGTTGTGTCTTAATTTTTAAGTCACATCTATACTCCCACAATTCTACAAACGTTACTTCACCTGCATGTCAATGTGGCCATGCAAATGAAACAATAATTCAAGTTATTTTTTCCTGTATACTTCCTGCTCCATTCTTAGAAGAGTTGGAATACAATTTTAGCTTTTCTTAATTTTGGTTATTCTAATTTTAAACCCAAGAGGGACAAAGTAGAGTTATTTCTTTATGGGGATTCAACCTTAACAAAATCCACTAATTTGAAAATCCTCAAGCTCACTGCATCATTTTTAGAAAAATGTGCAAATGTGTAGGTTTCTCTGCCACCACTCACTTCACTCTTGAGTTCATATTTAATTTTTTTTCTTCACCCTGCAATTATTAATCAAGTGGCTGATAATGCCTTCAGCAAAGCCACTACAAGTGTACAATGTTTATATATTGTATATGTATTTGTAAAAATTTCTATGATTAAAAGAAAAAAATCGACATAGACTAGACTTCAGTATGTAAGTCCAATGCTCATACTGGAGAGGTTAAGCAAATACGGTTTTTCAAAACGTATACGTAAACGCAAAGTACATTGAATCAACATAGGATTGTATCGCTTTAGTCTACTTCAGATACCCGTTCAACTTCAAAGTTGCGTGTTTAGAACGGGAGATTTTTAATTTCACGTTGCTATCAACGGGAATCATTATACTCATGTCTGTTGAATACTATCCTTGCAATTTTGATTTCGATGCAGAGTATAATTCTTTCTGAAGAAGATGATGTATGTTACGCATGATTTAACTCGAATAATCTTACGAAACGAGCTCGTTTAAAATATGTATTAGAAAACCAGCTATTGAACTTCATCAATGGCATACTATGTAATCATTACAAGCTATGGTGTAGTCTAAAGAAACACTAGAGCTGAACGGCTATTTATGTGTGAACTCTACATGTATTTGTATAGGGGCGATTGATACGTTTAAGTTGCGTTTTGGATTTTATACGGTAGCTTAACCTCTCCACTATTTACTTATGAAAGCTATATTTTCCCCAAAATATTTTAACAGCCATTTTAGTGAAATAATTATAGTTTAGCCTGTGTTTATTTTCTCACAAAATAAATAAATGTATAATGTCATGAAAAATATAACTACTACGTTTGAATGCGTATATAAGAATCTATAGAATTGAGCACTCAAGACTTAGTGCAATATAACAAAATGTCTCCAATAAAACGCATATATGTGCCTTACCATTGTTGATGATGCTCATTACAGCAAATACTGTAAAAACACTTTGTAAACATAGGTGTATGCTAGCCATATCCTAATTACATAGACAAATGGATTCTATGTATACGTATATGTCAAACTTTCAAACCTTGACACCTCTCAGAAATACGCAGGGAATTAAAGGCTCGACTTCCTTGTTATATGTGTTGACAAATTTAGGTTATACACTTATTGTGATCACATTTATATTGATCTATAAAAACTACACAATACTTACTATTTAAACAAATCGCTTCACTATTTTCCATTCTACATACAACGACTCGTAATTATTTGGTTTACTAGAATGTATTGTAGCCTATTTTTAAAAATACTCTGACTCATGGTTTTAATGGTGTGAAGGACCACGAAATCAATCGGTGTTTTCAACTTCCATTAGATTAACACACTTCTCAGAAATATAATTTTGATGCAACAATTGTACCACTTTGCACAAAACTTTGTAATTTCACATTTATTAAATATACAGTAACATTTTGTGCATTCCATCTATTGCAACATGCGGATAAAGCGGCCCCAATCCATTTTCATTTTTAGATGATCTTTTTTTTATACATAAATTTATTCCTTTAGTAAACAATAATAGACATGCAATTGATTGCCAACGTTTTATAAAAAAACAAGATTAGTGGCAATTTTGAATAGGAATGCATTAAAATTTAAAATTTATCAAAGTAATGTTATCACTCATGGGCCAGGGATGAGTTAACACATGCATGCAAAAATTAGCCAAAACGATCAATTTGGCTCAGACTTAAATTTTAGATGTTGTCATGTTATTTTGTAACGGGATGAAAAGTATGGTATAGAATGAATGGTCTTTCTTGTAAAAGTTCTAGGGTTTAGTATCTACAATTATTTCTAATGTTATGAGAATTAGCTATCAATTTTAAATGCATTCTTCAACAGGTATTGTAATGACTTAAGTAATTTTGTCTAATTTTGTTATTGTTACCTGGTACACATGCAAATTACATTGGGCCCCGTACGAGCTCGAACGAGCCTCGAGAATTGCGAGCCATTACGGGCAAAAAGAAGCAAGATCCTCGAACGGGCTCGTATGGAGCTCATCATTGTTGTTTTCGAGGCCCGTACGAGCATGTACGAGGCTCGTAATTTCGAAGCCCGTACTTGCTCGTACGGGGCCCGTTATCGGACACTTTTACAGCACGAAAAAAGGAAGAAGTTTGCATATTTAATGTCATGCTACATCTTTCACGTATCTATCTTAAACAACCCGCAATGCATGTGTAATCTCATAAACCACTTTTCATACAATCGATGTACATGTACACATCAATAATCTTTCTCTATATCACATTTTAACTTCTTCAAATATCTCACGCACATGTTTATGTATTGCTTTTACTTTACGTGTAGAGAAACCTGGTATCTCCCATTTGTAACCCCGTTTATTTTGTTTCATAGCTTTTTTACTGTTTATCATATTGATACAGACATGCGAATATTTGATATTATTGAAGACATATTAATTTATAATTAGATATAATTAAAATGTTATTTCTCATGTATGCTGTACGTTTTCATCAAAATAAATGAGCAATTACGGGCCTCGTTACGAGCCCCATACGGGCAAGTACAATGCTAGAAAATTACAAGCCATTAGGGGCCTTGTTACGGGCATCGTGCATGGAAGTACAAGGCTCGAATATTACGACCTATTACGGGGCCTCGTGCAGGCACCGTAAGAGCAAGTACAGAGCAAACTCTTACGAGGCTCGGAAATTACCAACAATTGCGAGACTCGTAACGAGGCCCATACAAGGTTGTACAGGCCACAATCACGATCCATCATTTGAGATTGGAAATCTATTTTATGTTGTTCCCTCGCCGCCCATGATTATATCGCTTAACGTCGGTAAGTGATCTCCATGACTCAAGTTTATACATATTAAGATATTTAAAGCTATGTCAAGCGGTTTTATTATGTAAGCACTGTCATTTCTCCATCAGTTTTTAAACTTTAACATACAAAACAATCAATAAGATTATTATCAATACAATGCATTTTAGAAAGAAATTGCACACTGGTGTTGAGATTACATCTGTTGATATATTCTTCCCAAACCTAATCCTTGCAGTCAGCAAAACTTGCAGCTGGTTGTGAATGGCTTTCGAAAAGATGCTGCTGGAATTATAGGTATTACTTTACAAATTTATCTAAATATCAACGTCAGAGAGCAGGCCCATAGCCAGGGGGGATCTATGGGTTCGAGCAACCCCCCCCCTCCCGGCCAAAAATTCTTTCAAAATCACCCTTAGCAAATCCTGGCTACTGGTCTGAAAAGTGACACCATGCACCCGTCCAAAAGCCACCACATGCTCAAATAAGTTGTTTCGTAATTTTAGATGCTAATATTGCACTTTGCGTTTGGTTAATTTCTCAATAGGTATAATGGCAAACATATAACGAAGACATACAGTCCATTTAAAACAGTTTTGATACGATTATATCGTTTATTTAAGGAAGACATGCGTCCATTTTAAACAGTTTTTATAAGATTGTCACTATTCTAAATTGTATAAGCACAAGTGTCAAATGGAAAGGACCAAAACTTGTTATGGAGCCTAGCCAAAAAGTAAACGCTTAGTGTTTACCAGTCATAAGAGAACAAACCACTTGATATCTCAAAACCATTATCTAGCGTGATTCAATATATTGAATCCTTATATAAGAGTTCTTTTCAAATATGTTTTGAATTGACTTGCGATTTATACATGTATAAATTTATTTCTTCTCATTTCTGGTGATCTTTAAGTTGTTCATAAACATGATTGTCTGCATTATCAACTTGCACGCCATCTTGAATAGTCTCAGCCTGGTCTAAATACGTTGATGTTTGTCCATTTATTTCATGCATTTGTTCACTTGCCTTTGAACCAGTATTTACATATTCAGGTTCCACGGTTGCTTGCCTATCAGAAATCTGTCCGATATCTAACGAAGGTTCCATTTCAATTTCATCATACTCAATACTTTGTTCAGGTCGCCCCGAAGGTAATGATTCCATATTTTGGTAGTCTTTGTCCATTTTACTTTCTGATGTGTTCCTGAAACTGATGAAGAAATTCATACATAAGAGCGAAATTCGTCCATATTGTACATTTTCGACTAAACATTTTTTATTGTCCATTTTAAAATTTCAAATTTTATGTTTAATACAAAGTTAATTAAATTGAATTGATTTTGCGAATGCCTTTGATAGGTTAAAATCGTTCGGTCAATATTCGTTTCTTAATCTGTTAATCAGGTTATATTATGAGTAATTTTCTTTTAAACTAAGCATATAGTAGTTAATATGTTGTCTTTCTTTTAAGTAATACAATTTAGTTGTAGCATTATGCCAAATCCATAAGTAAATGTCTGAACCACCCTACCTATAGGATGTCGAGCCTTTTCATAACTACAGCTACCCTCAGTACATTTTCCCTTCCCTTCTAATTCAATCTTTAAATACTTCACAATGCCAATTGGAGTCATTATATGCAATATGTACTAAGGCATGAATGTTTATAACTTCTGTAAGACTGTTTCCCCATTCTTTATCATGTATTCTATCAATGTTTTCTGCTTCAACTTTATTATTTCGAGCCATATTCTCCAATATTTCATACATTCATGAGAACTTTGATAACATCATAAAATCAGTTGATTTTTTCAAAATGTTTGAAGAGTATGTTTACGGTCATTATTGGCATGATCAAGAAAACAAGATGGAATATTTTGATATTAGATTCACTTTTGCCATGAGAACAAAACAAGATCTTGTTTAAATCTAAGTTGACAGTTTATGTGAGTAAAAGCATGATTGGTAATATTGTTCTTTAGATATTACTAGTTTTCTTTTTACAAAATGATATGGACCACTGAGTCATCGCCTTGGTTACTATAGCAACCGTAGAATGTTAAGAAGAGGTATATATATTAAACCTTAACATTGTAAGGGAATAAGATGGGGGCACATACCTACTAACTACGAACAGGATTGGTTCATTATTTTCATAATTAGATATATTTGTGCAAAACATTTTGAACAACGCTTGTATATATACAACATTTTATTTGACGAATGAACTAGACATCGGATTACTGCTCACAAGTTTTACCTTTTGTTTCGTCTGAGAAGTACAGCAATAATGACAATTAATATCAGGATACACAGCGCGCCACCTATCGCCACCCCAATGATAGAACCTACATGCTGATTTGTATTGGGTTGTCTTGTGCATTCTTGACTCCCTCCTAAATCAAAGGGATAGTAAAACATAAAGAACGTACAGAGACTCATAAATAGAAATATTTGCAAACGACTTACGAAACCACATGTTGTTTGGGAAAAATTGTTTAAACGAACATCAGACACGTGTATGGTTGTATAATTGCAATGTTAAGTGTATTGAACAAAAATGGAATGATGTCTGCATATTCTGATACTATACTGCTCTGACGTAGCAAACTGACAACAGGTTTTCAATTTCTTTTATTTACATTTTTAGAACATAAGTAGTTCCAATCATATCCTTCAAGTTTGACATTAGAGATACACTCCCCTCCATAAGTTTGGCAAATTTTTCCCCCCATTGAACTACGTGTTAAAGCCTCTTTACCTTTGAATTTTTATTTACCAAACCTGCGATGAAAATACAATTGATGGAAACGTAATTTGACTTTAATTCCAATACCTCCAAAATTTTTCTCAATTTTTTTCCTCAATTACAATAGGTCGAAAATTGGTGATAAATTTGATAAATTTTTGAAAATCGTCATTCCCATGTTAACCAATGGGAAATGGTAGGTTTGCCGCAAGTCATATGACAGAATATCCATCCATCCGAGTCCTTGCAAAAATACGAGTAAGGCAGGAAATTGAATTTGCTAACTTTATTTAACAAAAAATTAATATGTTTCTTCAGGTTCAACAAAGTTATAGGGCTTTAAAGTCAAAATTGTTTTTCGAAAAACCTCTCCCATTGAAATAACACAAGAGGCGAAAAATTATTTTCAAAAATGACTTTGAAGCGCTGTAACTTTAATATTCATCAAATAAACTAAATACTTAGTGTTCAAAAAAGTTAGACAATTCAATTTTCTATATAAAAATATTTTTTGCTGAATCTTTTACTGAAAAGATATCCTGATTTCTGATTTGCCCCGAACCCTTCATTTCCCCAATGGATTACATGGGAATGACGATTTTCAAAAATTCATCAAATTTATCATCAATTTTCGACTTATTGTAATTGAGGTAAAAAATTAAGAATATTCGGAGGTATTGGAAATAAAGTCAAGTTACGTTTCCGTCAATCTTATAAGTTATTTCATTGCCGGTTAAGTAAATAAAAATTCAAACGTAAAGAGGCTTTAACAGGGAGTTCAATGGGGGAAAAATGTTGCCAAACTTATGGAGAGGAGTGTAAGTCGCATTAAAAAATCGTTGAGGCTATGAATATTGATAATTAAACCGTTGAGCAGATGAAAACATAACATTTCTATGTTATATTATAGGTCAATCTGAGTCTCCAAACAACTGGCTGTTACTTTATACCCGTGCTGAAACATATTGATTCGGATACGATTAACAAAAGCACAATGTTGCAAATATGTATCTTAGAAAATCTTTGATACACTCACTCTATAAGTTGTGGTGGCGTGTTTTCATTACGTTAAATTATGGGCTTATTGAAAGCGAGTGATTAAATCAATGACTTAATGAATTGATATAGATCGCCAAACAGGCATTAACCTGTGACCAAACTTTCAGAGTCCACGCTTGTGGAGGGGCTGAGGGCTACCATAAAGCAAGGATCCCTGGCTACGGATTGATGTAATAGAGGGCGTTCAGGAAATAAAGCTAATTTTGCTCTCAAACTTATATTTCTTGTCTACCGGAAGTTGGTAGAACGACACCAGTTAAGTGTGAAAGCTAGGGGAAATTATTTTGAACATGAAATGGAATGTTAACTTGATGAAAGAAATATCTAGCAGCACTATGATCAAAACATAGACATAACGTTTACAAAATCTACTATGCTGTGAACTATTTTGAAGTTATATTAATTATATCTCAATATTTTTTTCTTTTCGGTGGAATTAGGAAAATGTCAAATGCTTCTTCTCTGAAAATTTGAATGATGAATGACAAGAAGTAAAAGTTTGAGAGCAAAATTAGATTTACTTACTGAACGCCTTGTACAATTACCTGTTTCTGTTTGAAAAGAGTCTTTCGCCACGGGTCCATAACCTGCTTTTGTTGATGCTTTGACTTCACACTCATACGTTGTCTCAGACTCAAGATTACTGACAAATGTCTCTCTAGTCTCAGACGCCAATATTTGCTTTAACACTACGTATGTTGCGTTTACGTAGCATGTCACCTTAACGGGAAGAGAAAACATACAATTTCCAATGTGAAACAGTTTAACTCAATAAAACATGTCACGCCCTGATAACTTAATAAATCAGTGTTCTGAACCAAGGGGCCTTCCTTAAACCTTTCAAAGTGAGTCTTTAATTTCTTATTTCAGAACTGTCAAGGATGGGGACAATTATTTATATCAGTAATTATCAAAACAATTAGTTATGAAGATTTAAGCGAAGGATGTACACGAAGTTACGGTTTACCTGATACGCCAGCAATCGGCCGTTTGTAAACTCTGGAATATTCCATGTAAGATGAAATGATTTCGTATCACTTGCTCTTATACGAAGATCTTTTGGTGGTGATGGTTCTGAAAAAAAACAGACATCGTGTCTTTCAAGAAGAAAAGATTTAAAAACAGAATTATAACGTTCACCTCAAATAGATACTCACTATCAGCAGGAGTCACTGTGTCAAAGACTAAGATCTTTGGACCCTCAAGATCTGCATTATTTACCATGGAGAGTTCTACTTTGTATTGGGTTTCAAACTCAAAATCTTCATTTGTGAGTTCTATATTCTCCTCGGATGTATCCTTCAAATACTCTCCATTTCGATAAATCTTGTAGGTTTGCATCTCGTCACACTTTATTTCGTCTTTTATAGGTTCCTAAAGCAGAAACACAAAATAAAAACTTCTAAATTGTCTGTTTCCCTTTTGAGCCAGCATTGCTACTCTTCTACTCATACTTGTATGTATTCTGGGCGTATTAAAGTATGGCCTTACAATCGTATATCATGTTGTTATTGATACGTATGTGACAAATATTAGAGGTCATAAGTTACACATTTTAAGAAATATATTGACTCACAATGATTTCTGTTCTCTCTCGATTCACTTTTCCAGGGACCTAATTACAGAGGACCATAATTCTAGATTCTAGATTAAAAACGTGTATCTTTACCTTCCTAATATCGCTAATTTGGTTCAATCACTTGTGTTTGATATCAGCTCGTCGATAAAATGATACAATAACCATTCAAAATTATATTTTATATATACTCATTACACTTGCAAAATTCATGTTCAGTTTCAAAGGTCCTACAGTGGCTATTTACGTACATACCATCCATCTTAATTTTGCAGTTAGAGTTGATTGCTCTGTGTGATCCGAGGATGATGTTATGACAAAGTCATATGTGGTATTCAGTGTCAAATAAGTTGGATCTAAACGAAAGAGGAAAAGAAATACCATGTGGTTTTCAATGCTCCTATTTAAAATGCTAATTTCCATTCATTCATTTTGAATTTTAAGGAATGCACATTCCTGTTTCACATTGCGTTTAAGTACATTGTTTAACAGGAGGTTCATTTTGAACTGATTTAGAGCGATATTTTGCATTTACCTCCGCATGTAGTAAATGGATCACTCCAATCAGATGTTGCGCCTATTTTTATATCACTAACTTCATATGGGTACAATGCTGACACACGGAAAACAAAAATGCTATCCTTTGATAAGTTGTCAATTCTTGCCATCAACCCAGAACTGTTAATTGATTCTATATTATCATCTTCGTCTGAGGAACTTCTGTATTCAACTCTGAAGGATTTTGTAGCTGCGGTATCATGTTTGATAGTACTCTTAACATCCAAAACCTTCCATTCTATCTCAATGTAATCGGCACCCCGACTCTTGAACGTAGGTTTACCATCTATTTTGAGAACCTCTGAAATTACAAGTTGAATTCAATCATGCTTTGATATATACGATTATAATGCTAGAGAATTACAACAAAGGTAATTTAACAAAAATTAGCAAACGTTTTGTATTACTGATTCAAAAACGAAAAAAGCAAGGGTACCTTGATTACAAGCGTATTTTGGATAGTAATTATATTCACAATTACCACTGCAAAAACCATCTTCCCTTTGACAATCGTCGAGTGTCTTGCAATGTCTCGTACACTCCTTAGCACAATTGATTCCCCATTTTCCAGCAGCACAACCTGAAAGTGCATTTCATATCTATTGAAGTGGAGGGAACATGTTTTCCGATCAGAAACATTCATTTCGATTCCTTAGTACATCCCTGTTCATTGTTTTCAAAAAGTGCCTATCAATTTGAAAATGTTTTGCTTTGGTTCAGTTTCACAGTGTCAGCTTTGTTCTCTAGCTAAGTGAATCCTACAAATTCATATCAAATTCGCAGTGTCAAATATCTTAGTAAAGACATTTTCTGGTTTTACGGTGTCAACCTTGATGCAGTCTCTGAATTGTAAAGAATTCATAATTAATGAATATATACAGGGTGTCTCAAAGATATATACCCAAAAGTATATCAACAGCACAGATAAAACAATCAATATTTTAAGACATTTTTTGCACGGTCATGTAACCAAAACATGAAAGTTTGCTCCCCGATACACCATATTTATTTCAGTCTTGCCTTTTTGATGCTTTAATCCTTTACCTTCTACACCACACATCCAATGTAACCCCATATTTCGATGACAGCCTGTTTCCTTACTGCTACGTTGTTCATCACAAATGATTCAGGAGTTACCTTCCAGACTTACGCAGGCTAGCCTGGAGACCAAATGATATCGAAATGAAAACGCAGTGGTCTCAAATTGCTTGAGTCCCTCTTCACCCAACAAAGGCTACAATAGAATCCCACCCAATGCAGTTTATTGAACGTCTGACCTCTCTGTATAAGGGGGCTATAAGACATTGTGAGGGCCTCCCTATTTGCCAGATTTGATCTGGGGCTATCTGAAGGACCATTTTATGCTAAACCCAAAGAAAGAGACCTGGAACAACTTAATTAAGACGAGCATCAGAACAGAAATCAAACCATTCCACCAGAAATATCAAATATTAGGAACATTGTAGTAGTAAGGATGCAGAATGCCATCGAAATATGAGGTTATATTGATTATGCGGTGTAAAAGTTAAAGGTTTTCAGTATTAAAAAGATAAAATGTTTTGACTACATGACCATGCAAAACATGTCTGAAAATATTGATTGGTTTGTCTATGCTGTTGATATACTTTTGGGTACATTTTTTGAGACACCCTATATATCTACTTAGGCATTCTCTCTTAGGACCATATCCAGCCATGCAATCCCCGGGACACCATCCATTAGCCTTGACACAAGTATCACCAGCTTTGCACTTTCTGAAGCACTCTTCACAGGAAGCACCAAAATGGCCATCAGTACACTCTAAATAAAAAAGGATGAAAGCACATCTGGCATACATATGAGGCGAGGGATATGTAGAGATCATGTTGTTTATTTTAAATAAATCTACGAAAGCATTCCTCACATTCGGGTAGACTTGTTCCGAGATAAATATTGTATATTATATTTATGATCATGTTACATTTTAAATGATTGGTGTACCTCAGGTCTCAAAAGGTATGAAAAGCATACAAAATGCAAATATGCTATATTCAACCAATATTATTGTATTCAAATCAAGATTCTGTGAAGTTCTTGTATTTTCTTAAACAGCTTTTCTGAACTCTTTACGAGTTTTCTGTTTTCTCGATTTAATTCTTAGAAGTCAAGCTGTAAATTATAATTTGGCACAAAGCTAGAAAATATAGTCTTAACAAGTTTCTTCGATTTGGAATTTGTTTTGTAAATAAAGTTGCAATTTATATATTTAGCCCCTCGCTTTTGTTACATTGACGACTTACGTCAATGATACAAAAGCGATGGTCTAAATGCATCAATTACGGCTTTATTTAAAAATCAAATTACAAACCAAGAGCATTTCTAAAAGCTAGACTATATTGTCTAACTGTGTGCCGCATGATAACCCGCAACATGACTTATACGTAAGTTTGAATCGAAAAAACAAAAAACTTGTACCCAGGAAGTTCATATCCATTTTGTTACATTGACGTTCCGTTAAAGTGACTAGTTGTGGAACAGTGTAAATGCACGGCTATTTATAACATGATTAAATCGATGTTATAAGTGTTTCTCACCGTACACCTCTATGTCACATATTGACAATACTGTACTAGAAGAAGCAGTGTTTTTTATTTTGATTGTAAGTTCATTTGTCGGTTTGGAAAGGCAGCCAATTGTCTTGTCATCTTTATGACCAAATGCTTTCTCCTCACATTTTTCTCCACTGGGCTCCATTGTCACTTCTAGTGTTTGGTTTCCAATGTTATCAGGATCTAGAATAAGTCAATATGAATAGTAATCTAAATTAAATAACATGGGTACAACTAGTTGGAAAATGTTTAATTTCGTCTCATATCGTCAAGATCTCAACATAAATAAATAAAGACCTATATTGAATAATTAATTGAAACATAACATCAGTACGAGAGATAATAATGTGTCTGTGACAATGTGCATAAAACTAAATTAGAGCTAACAGTTGCAAACTTATACCCCACCTGCTATGAGATTGTATGTGTATATGCTGTCTGATTCAGACCCGTAATTTCGGCATATATCTCCAAAGTATTAACAATTCTGCTTGCCGGGTTCAAACTCAAACGCACCACAGGAGCCAGACAAGTCGCATTTAGTTTTGCATTCTTGAAATGTAGATGCAGTGAGTTCTCCATTTTTGGCATCGTTGCACTTGTTACGTGTTACACTGTAACGCAGTGGATCTGGAATATATTATACCTCTAATAAATTAATACATTCAAACAAAAGATTGCTGTACAAATTGTACGTTTAAATATCTCTGTGGAATTTTGTATTGCTTTTAGAACTAAGATAGAAAATCCATGATGTCATATGTTAAAATATTGAGATAAGAAACAATGACATGATGAAAATGCTATTGAAGAATAGTTGAAGAATAAATACTCAAAAATATTACAATCTACTTGAACTACAACAAAGAGATGCAACACACCCACGTACATTGGAACATCACTAAAACATCCCGAGTCAAAACAATCCCATTCACTCATCTTAGTTTAAATGAAATATAATATCTTAGTTTCCATAAAATTAGTGTTTCACTAATTAAGAAATATTGATATTCATCCCATGATTTTTCTACTTCCCGGTGAATATCACCCGGAAATATTTTTGATATTGAAAATATTGATATACAGCGTTTTATATTGATGTTCTTATGTTAAACTATATTTTCCAAACATAATTAAAAAAGAGATTTTGAAAAGTAAAAAGTATATAAGCCTATTAAATATAGGAGAATTGTAATTTATCATCATGCTCTGACACAGTCAACGTCATAGAAATCTGAGGAATATGCGAATACCCTGTGATGGACACGTATTGTTAAATTTATTTGATGTTGATGTGTTTATGTTATAGAATTTTTTTTAACATTTCAAAGTTAAGTCATATTTTGTAGACTAAATAATTATATAGTCTGGTTTTGTTTCATACAAAAATCAGATATGGATTTTGAACTGATGATTTTATGAAGAGAGTCATGGAATAAAAAGCTTATTTAGTGATGTTATTTCCCCTTGGCCCTCTAGGCCCCCCGGGAAATATCATATTGTCCCTAGAAATAAAGCCAATTTTGAATCTGTATATAGTCAACATAAGAGAGATTTTCCACTTTGCCTCTTATCCCTCCTTTATCTAAACCCGGAACACATCAAGCACATGCGTCTACTAGTAAAAAAGCGATTGCAATATCTGCTAGATAGCCTGATGACCCGGTGATACACTCGGAAACAATTAATATCCATAGCATATGCATGACAAATATCTTATCGAGCACTTACAACTCGTTATTGCATAGACACTCAATGCCCATGGTCCTCCAGTATCGACCGAGTCCTTATAGTATCCTGTACAGTTAGTTGACAAGCCATATTTGTTATATGTGCCATATCCGGAACGGGAAGTAAAACATTCTCCACCATATTCGACACCAATGATTCGTTTCTGGTTTGCCCTTGCAGCAGTGAAGCACTTCTTCACCTCCAAAACTCGATTCCAATAATAATCGTTTAGATAATCTATATCTTCGCCATCAATCCTCCAATCCAGAGCTCTATCCTCTGTGTCTCCAAAGCATCCAAAATATTTATACGGAAGAGCTTTAAACAAAAGAAGACGTATACACGAAAGTAATGCAGTTTGATGTGATGCATCACAGTATGGAATTTTTTCTGCATCTTTATTCGATTTTCACACTTTTGTATTTGATAACGACCATTCGATATTCCACTCTATTAAAATGGTTCGAAACACGTAATAAATTTGTTTGTTTTTACACATTTATATTTGATTTATGTAACTATATATGCGATAAATGCACTTGTATATGCTGTTCATGTTATTCAGTGTTTGGTAAAATGTCACATATTTAAGTCCATGTACACACACGAACAAAGACGGTTGACACATATATTTAGAACACGCATCAAATACAAATATACTTTAGAACCAAACATAAAGTACACAATAGCACGGACATATAGTGACTTAGATGGCGCAAGTCACGTGACCAAAGTCAAAGTCACGTGACTTACCCCACATCAAAACAGTGAACATTGGTTTATATAAAATCATTCGGTAAGTCACGTGACTTACCCCACAAATGAATAGGCCTATGTTTACCACAAATGAATATGTTTACCCAACACGAATGGTACTTGGCATCGCATATATTTAAAATACTTATCAAATGTATATTTGATCGGGTCGAATACAGTTTTGAAGCATCTTACATATTTGTTTTGTAAGACGGTAAATTATATGTTGGATAGTTGGTATAATTTGTTGTAACTGGTTTTGTTTATATTCGGTTTAACTTTCTCCGATGGGTAAAAACCGAAGATATTAATGTTACGAATATTGATGCAATAAATACACTATATCACAGTCGTTGCGCATGTATATCTGGTTTTCAAAAAAGGTATCAAAGAGTATATCAACAGCACTCTCAGATAAACCAATGAATATTTTGGAAATTTTTTGCATGGTCCTGTAGCCAAAATATGTAAGTTTTCTCCCCCAATACAGAGTTGTTAGGTACAATACAACTCACGTGGCCTTTTGTTTACTCATCGTATAGGAAAAGTAGTCCATTTTGAAAACTGTTTGGGTGTTGGATGGTGTATAAATGGGACATATTAGGATGCAATGTACCTCTTTGCTGGTTAATAAGTAAGTACAGACTCTTAGGCATTGGATGATAGCAGAAAACTTTCATGAAAAAAATTGGATTATTTTTTGGTAAATATTGATGACGTAGGGGGTGTGTTGGCTGGGCCATGTTAATTTTCCATTGAAAAATCACTACGCGTGTGAACAATCCAGCGGTTCTTTTGATTTTCGTGGGATATTTTTTTCAAGACTTTTTCTGAGGTAAGTTTAAGGATATCTCTTTATTGTCTGTTAATATGAGTGAAATCGATGGGCTAGGATTTTTGTAATATTCTCTCAAACTTTGTCAATTCACCATGTTATCCTATGTCAGAAAAGTAAGTTGTTTTCTACCTAATATTCAGATTTTTGGAAACACAATTTGGTAAGAAAAATGATTTTTTTGATTTTTTCAGAATTCATTCTATCTTATCTCACTTGTATAACATATAAGTTGTTTCTTGCTTGTAAAATAGGCCAAAATGGATGCCTGGGGGGCAAAATATGCCCAGAGATTGGGCCGGGAGGCAACAGTCTACCCCAATAACTGCATTATTTGGACAGGCTATCGTAACAAGGCTACCGGGTATGGGCAGTTGTGCATACAGAAGCGCGGTAGTCAAAAATGGGTGACCGTGTCGGCTCACTGGCTGTCGTATGCCACACGGCATCCTAACGATACGCTTGATTTATCGACACTGGACTTATCTCACCTTTGTCATAACAAGCTATGTATCAACATAAATCACCTTAGCCTAGAACCACATTCTGTAAATAATGTGCGAATGGGTTGTATCAATGCCGGAAAATGCCGTCAGCATGGGGCCTACCCTGATTGCCTCTTAAAATGGAAAATGTAAATGGTATGATTAGATCACTTACCTCATATAATCTCTTGGGCATAATCGTGATCACCGAACCTTGGTGATCTCCTCAATTTCATTTTTAAAATGGGTTTTTTGTCTAGTTGCTCTTTCTTATAATCACTAGTTCGCTTTTCTAATCTTGTGTGTAAATACTGTCTAGTGTAGTATGCTCTATGAAAAGACTTGTTTTTTCTTGCATGTGGGGAATTTTTATATTTTCTCATGTATCTTTTCTTTTCACTCATGCTACGTAGATGCTTTGCAGCACTTGCTGATGATATTGGGGCCCCAATAAGTTCCAATTTGAGGTGAGTGGCATTTTCTCTTCCATGGTTTATATCTAATACTGCAGAATGTAATCTGCCATTACATGTGGCTGAAAACACCTTGTTTTTAGGTAAATATTCTGCAATTACCTTATTTGATGCTTCATTTTTGTTTGTATGCGTGTAAAAGCGCCCGTCATTAACAGCTTCGGGGCCCAACTTCATTTCTAAAAGTACGCGTATGAATTTGCAATCTTCCTGAGATGGCATCAATTTGTCATTCTTTGTAATTCCACACACCTTGAGATTGTGGGATGTTTCTAGCCATGATTTCTTAGCCCCTTTGCAACTATTAAGGTGGGGTCTACATTGCTCATGATTCCCCGCGTAACAGTTCACTGTACTTGTGATGACCCTATTCATGTATTGAACTGATACAACACCCAAATCATTGTATTTTTTGGCAAGCTGACCCATGATTTTGTCACACCTCTCTTTTATATCTAGGGAAAACATTTTCTGCTGGAGATCTTTGTTACCTGGGAACATATGTCTACTAAAGCTAGCTTTAAGACTGTGCTTAAATTGAAGTTGCCCTTTGTGCACTCTATCGCTAAGTTTTGTAACTTTGTGATTGCTCTGTTTTTCATCGTAAAATGACTGAGCACCAAGGGAGCCTTTAGCATCACCATCTGTAGTCAGGTATTCTATTTACAAATTGTCTGCATCCAAATCTTTTGCAAGTTTGTACCCCATGTTGAATTCTTGAAAAGCTTCAGATTTCTTTATATTTGATGTACAACCATCATGGCCACCAGGACATTTAACATCAAACCCACGCGCCCTTAGGTAAGCCCCGCGCCAACATAGCTTATTATACAAGCATACAGATATTATCTGCATGGCATCGGTCATTGTTTCAACAGATACACCAACTGCTCTGGTAGCGCGCTGACCAAGCTTACCCCAAGATCCGAATGTGCTACTACTGTAACACCCATCAAATGCTACCTGGACTTTTTTTTCATCTTTTGAAGATACACCCCTCAGTTTATTCAACTCTATTAATTTGCTACGTCTCGTTTTTAAATCATTTTCACCCATTTTCTCAATATCTCCACTGACCGCTTTAGAATTTTTTTGCATTCCTTGGGAAGAAGGGGCCCTTGCATTGCAAGTAGCTAAAATTTTTCGAAATGCCTCAACACCAATAGAGGAAGATTGTAGAGCTACATGTATTGCTACATTGATCTTAGCTTTCCTCCTGCCACCTTTCTTTTTTCCCTTGACTTCTTCATATAATTTGCACATTTTGGAGAGAAACCCACATTTACTACATGAAAGCTGCATTTTGCAAACTAAACCAAATGGAATTTTTTTATGTACCTTCAAATCACCTCTACATTTTTTGCTATGGGCCCTATGATCTTTTGCTACCAAGTTGAAACAATTAATCATAGAATTCTGACTAACTATTAGAGTTTCATCTCCACCAACAGTGCCATCTAGGGGTTCATCAGTGATGTATTTATCTGAGATTTTTGGTTCAGAAAGTTTTGGCCTTAAAATCTTACCTCTACCAGGTTGCATGTGGACATCGGGTACTTCATAACTATTCCCACCTCTACTTTTCCTGACAACTAACGAATGAGTCTCCTGATCTAGCCTCCTAATTTTTGTAGGTGGGGACGATTCCTCTTCGCGATTCGCTACCGTCCCATATGCCGGATGCTGCGTATGTCCTTCAGAAAATGTTTGCTGGTTACGAAACTTATTTTTGGAATAAAAATGACCAAATCCTCTTGGTGGTTTTGACATAGTTGACATTGCTTGATAACTTGGAACAATCCAAAGCAGAATGATGTTCTCCTCTCTAAGTCCAGTCTTTCAAGTGAAAGTAGTGGTTTGATAATACATGAGATGTGTTTCTGGGTGACTTGGGCAGCCATCTGACCAATTAATAATTCCAGATTATGTTTAAAAAAGTGTCTGAAGAATGATAAAGTCTTAACACAATAAATAGTTCACTGTTTGAGTTTGAGATAAATCACCCCTAGATCAAAAGATGGCATGTCAGTACATTGTCAGTATATGTAAACAAACTGTATCTTGATTTATTTGCTAGATAAGGCATTGTTGTCCCATTTAAAGCAGACCTGGTCAAATTACCTGATTTATAGATCAGCTTTTTTATGAATATATCACAATTTTAATGAAAAAACACAATACTCATTAATTATGCGCATATTAATTAGTTATTGCATAACTCATTTTTCGGTTCATGTTTTTCAGTAGCCGTGACTTGTTCCTACATCACATCATACAGACAACATCTCAACTGAGAGTACATACACCGATAGAGTCCATAGAAGTTGAGACAACAGCAGCACAATCAGTGTTTAACCAGTCAGCACAACCAAATATTCCATGTGAGGGTAAGTCAGAATTCAATTTTTTTTACATAGATAAACATGGAAGAGGATTAAAAGCATTATGGACTTTTATTAAGGTAAGACAGTAGATTCACCTCACACAGGACATTGGTGCCAGGGATCAACCAGGTGTGACTATTAGGTACAATACAACTCACGTGGCCTTTTGTTTACTCATCGTATAGGAAAAGTAGTCCATTTTGAAAACTGTTTGGGTGTTGGATGGTGTATAAATGGGACATATTAGGATGCAATGTACCTCTTTGCTG